AATCTAACTATATTTTCATGCACTTTGCCAACCAGATCCATGTGTCAAACAGGCTGACTCACTCATCTGATAATTTCCAGCTGTCCAATTTTATTAACTGGATGATTTTAACAAGAACCGTTTCTTCAATTACACAGCAAAGAGTGAGTGAGCTAACAGACCAGACAGTTTGCTTAGGGGTCAACAAATAAATTAGCCCTGTAGTCGTGAAAGGCTACAAAACAGTATGTGATCTATCTATTGTAGCGCTCAGGGACGCTACCTGCGTGAAGGGCACTGTATAAATGCAAGTTGTTATTGTTATCTTTATTTATATTTCTATTAAAGCCATCAGAAGGATTTTTTTTCTTATATGAATAGCATCATAATTTGAATTCCTTTGACTGGGACATAAGTAGAAATGATTAGAGTATGTTTTAGTAAATCTGTGGTAATGACTACTTTGAATTGGTACAAATTTAAAAATTCGACCTCAATATTAATTAATTTGGCACTTTCTCCTGTTGTGCTGGCACATAAATTATGTGTTGCTTCGTAATTGTTTGAGTAACTATAAAAGACAATTATGTACTTATCAATATAATTGTTAAACTTGAGAAATTTCATGTTGTTTAAAAATCCATTATTACCTTGAAAATTGGGAATTGTATGTAGGATGCATGTTTGAAATAGAGCATTTAAACTATTTTAACAGCAGCTTTCGGACACTAAATCTGAATGCTAAGAATAACTGTCTTATTTAGTATAAATAATAATTATTTCATTTGATAGAGTCCTGTAGCTCAGTGGTTAGAGCACTCGCTTTGCAAGTGAGAGACCTGAGTTCAATTCCCGGCAGAGGGCGAAACCTCGGGCAAGTTTCCTTACTCCACACAGAGCCTAATAATAATCCCTCCAAAAAAACAAAACAATAATAAATTGGTCATTTTCAATCTACGACTGTTTGTGGGACATTGCTGTGCGCAATTGGCTGCCGCGTTCGCCCACAAATATACAGTCAATTCACTTTACAGTGTGTTCTGTGAAGCGCTTTGGGACGTCTTCCTGACGTGAAAAGCGCTATATCAAATGCAAGGATTATTATTATTATTATTATATAGAGCTTTATTGCGTTGTCGAGACATCGTAAAGCACTTTGCAGGATATACTGTAAAGTGTGTATTTTGTGGGCAAATGTGCCAGCCAATTTGCATGCAGCAATGCCCTACAAACAGTCGTGGAGTGAGTGACCAATATCCCTGCTCAGGAAATTCTGTCCAACAAACTAATCACACTGCATTGGTAGCACAGTGTCACTTTAAATAGATAACTGACGAATTCACTCTGTTCACAGTGTGGATTCCACAAAGCTGACAAGCAACTGCAAATGTGCAAAAAACCCGCGGAGTCTTAGCATCCGCTGCTGCCTCCAGTGGTGCTAAGCAATACACCTCTTTAGCACGGTCTCATTTACACTTACAATGCCGCAAATTAAGTCAAGGATGCAGCAATCAGAAGAACCAAAATGTAAATGCGTCTTCATTAGACACAACAGGTTTCTGTTTGGTGTGTGTAAAAAAAAATCCGAAGTAGCCTGGGCCGAAAATTAACCACGAAATTTTGCATTTAGAACTTCAAAGTTGGGAGCAATCTTTTTCCTTGCCAAAGAATTTATTCTGGTCTCTGATTAAAAGAGAAATTATGCAAATTTGGGAGAAGCACTTTGGGTCCTTTAATAGTCCCAGGAGAAAACTAAAAATCTTTACTGAATGTTTCCTAATCAGCAAAAATGTAATGTAGACATTTTTGAATTATCTGCATAATTATGAATTATGCCCACACATTCATTTATTTTTAGCTCAGTCACTGTAGGCATTTTATCAAATGCACCGTTCCATTTCTATCTGTGGAGCTATGTTGTACTTTTAGGGTCATGCATATACTTTTAGCTAGGACCACCCTTCATGATAATCAGAAAAATAATGTATAAATGGGAGTATAGAATTATTGATGGTAAAGTCATGACTATCTATGGAAAGAATGCTAAAAAACGTGATTAAAATGCAAATGGCTTTAGCTTAAAATATTTCAGTCAGAACACAGCAACTCTTGCATAATTTGAGGATTTATTATTACTTTTACAACAGAAATAAATTTGGGGATTTACCCAAGGATATACCACCTCAAACCTACACACAGTAGTTTTATACCTTTAAAATACCAGAACTGACAATGTCCGACCTGGAATGTGCCCTCTTGCTAGTTTTTCAAATAAATTGCAACTAAAAGTTTGATCTTACCTGCTATTCTAGCATACATTTAAGCAGTAAATGAATGGATAACATAATCCTAAACATGTTTTATTCCACTTCTTCTCCTTTTTTGATTTGTCTCAGTAATTTCTCTTGGGATGCACTTTCCCAAACTGAGATGCAAAGGCAAGCAGACCGTTCCCAGGCCACATCCAATGTGCTGTTGGCTTACTATGAGGAAAGATGGAACAGTGGCCTGGTGAGAACTTTCCATTCAGCTTTCCTTCACCTGCAGCGTTACACCTGGCCTGTTCGAGTGAGCCTGAGATCAGGAATTTTAACACAATGGGGAATCAAACCTATGTGTCACTGCTCTATGCATCTGAACATACTGCACCATCTTGCTGCACCATGCCAGTTATGTGAACAACTACAGTATAAAGTAGGCAACGTTCAACCCACTGGTTAGTATGCTAAAATAAATATTTTCATACCAGCAATTCAACAGAAAAATGTATCTTGACACGGATGAGAATTATATACATGTTACCTAATACAAAATAAATTCAAAAATTAGCTCCAAATAGCTTGATGGTTCTGCAGGAATATTTGCCAAACTGGACTTCACATATCAACAGAAGTCGCCGGGAAAACTCAGCAGGTTAGGCAGCATGTTCTGACAAAAGGTTATTGACCTGAAACGTTAACTCACTTTCCCTTCTCCGTAGATGCTGCCTGATCTGCTGCAAACTAATTGCAAAAAAATTGGCAACTAATAATCAGGCAAGTATAAGCACTGAGCAACAATAAAAAGAAATATCTTAACAGGGAAGAATTAGGAATTAAGTTACTACTGCCATAGACTATTTCATGATTATTTCATGAAATAAATCTTGGATAATGGGAAAAAATCACAGGAATGTACAGTGAATATCAAAAAAAAGACCATTGCATCTTGAACTATCCAAGTAGGCAGACGTGAGTTTAATATCTCTTTTGAATCTCATGTTCAAAAAATTGCAGCATTTTTTCAATAATCCCCTGGAGTAACAGTCATTGATGGTGGCGGAAATATTCTTGGTGGTGGGGGGGGGGTGCTGACCTTCACTGAAGACTGCAGAATGTGTGTGTCAGTCTTTTTGTGTGTGTGTCTGTCTGTGTGTGTGTGTGTGTGTGTGTATCCCGGCACTGGATCTAAATCGCAATTGATTGCAATTGGCGGCCGCATTTTGCTCACACAAAACAGTCAATCCAAATATACAATATATCCTATGAAGCGCTTTGAGACGTGTCAACAACTTGATAAGCTGCTATATCAAATGCAACGATTATTATTATCCAACGCCTGCTCGCTCCGCTCATTGATTGGTACACTTGCTTTACTTCACTTCCCGCTACACACTGATACCGATGTTGTAAACTGACAACTGCACAGAATATATAAAATATAAATGAGAAACAACAGTTAATGCTTGAAGAGGATGACATTTGGTAGAATAAATTAAGAAGCCTTTTGACAACAACAACAACAACAAGATTCCATTTATAGAGCGCCTTTCACGTCGGGAGGACGTCCCAAGGCGCTGAAAGTCATCATACTTCCTTTGTTTGGCTACTTTTATTATTCCAGTCAAATCCTTTCATAGTTTAATTCTTACTCCACATTCTAAGATGAATTAGTAATTATACCTTGGGAGATGCCAATAACAGTGCCTGTCAGTATCCCTATTTCAATATTATGTGTTTTCATCAAGTTTTAACAATTTTTACGGAGCTGAGAAGTTCATATTTTTTGTAGATGTCACGTTGGTTTAGTTGGAAGATCTGTCCCATCTCTCCTTGACCATCTGCCGTTTGGGTTCACGTTTGTAAATTCCCCACAAAAAGTCAAAGTTATATTTTGGGAAAAATGCAAGATTTGAGACAATTTTCCACCAGTCTAAATTACCCACACCGTGACTTCCATTATAAGTGAAGTTCAATTCAGCGTCCTCTTATAATAATAATCCTTGCATTTGATATAGCGCCTTATCACGTTTTCGAGACGCCTCAAAGCGCTCCACAGAGTGTACCCTACTGTAAAGCGGATGTTATGTTCACTGCATTATGATGATTGTCATTGTTAACACGCGCGGGAGTCCAGTGGTTAGCGAGAGGACCCGGGTTCGATTCCAGGGCGGGGCGAAACGTCGGGGAAAGTTTCCTTACTCCCCACAGCCTCTGTTTACCCAACAGTAAGTAGGAACCCGGTTGTTAGTCGATTGGGGGGGGGTGGGGGGTGGATAATAATCCCTCCCCCCCCCCCAAAAAAAAAAAATTGTGGTCCCTTCAATCCGCACCTGTGTGCGGGGACGCATTTCGCCCACAAGGTGACCCGTGAAGCGCTTTGGGACGGCTCGAAGACGCCGGGGCAAATGCAGGGATTATTATTATTATTTACTATTATTATTATTATTATGATCACATGTAGCGGAGGTGGGACTGGAACCAGCAAATAATGGGGGGGTGTGGGGTGGGGGAGGGGTTGGGGGGGGGGGGGTGGTTCCACCCTGACCACGTGCCTGGAGCTTACGTGCTCGCGTTGTGTCACGTGGGCGGGCGGGCGGGCGGGCCAGCGAGCGTGCGTGCGTGCGTGCCTGCACGTCGAGTGACGTTGCACAATGACAGTTGCGACGTGGAGCGAGCGCGCGGCGGCGTCGGCGGAGGGCGGGCGGGAGGGCGGCGCCTACTTTGACGAAGGGGGAGGGGCGGGAGTGAGGTGGTGGTGGTGGTGGAGGGGAGGGGGGGGGGCGGCGGCGGCGGCGGACGAGAAAAACATGTCTACCGCTGTCGACTGAGGCGGGCGGACATGGACGCCAGTTGCTTCGACCAGCCGTCGTGCGACGCGCACAGTGGGGAGGGATTTTGCCAGTCCGAGAGGTAAACACACGAACACACGCGCACGAATACCTTAAATAAATAAAAGTTTGGTGCCGAGTTTTGCTGAGCAACTCGAGTGAGGGGCGGAGTGAGGGAGGGATGTCAACAGGCCCTTACCCCCCCCCCCACCCCCCACCACCTCGCTCTCTCTCTCTCTCTCTTACCCACCCGCCCGCCCCCTACTTCACCTCTAAACGCCCCCCCACCCCGGGGAAGACCTTCCTACACAACCTTTTTGTTGTTCTCGTACACAGCGTTTCTCTCCCCACCACCGCCACCATTCCGCCTGTGCGGAGAATCCAAACTACTGCAGCTGATGGGGTCTGTCTGTTGTCTGTGTGTAAAGAGCTTTGCATTCCTCCCCCTCACACCCCACACCCCTGTCGTGTTCTTAACGACTGCCTTACCCGCTTCCCTGAGTACGATGCAGTTTATTTCTGCGCCTCCTCCCACCGCCCTCGTTTATTTGTTGCCCCTCTATTACCAAAGCAGTTACTCGAATCGTAAGGTTTACACAACAACAAAAAAAATACTACCTGTCCAGCGCCTTGGGACGTCCTCCCCAACGTGACAGGCGCCATACAGATGTAATTTTGTTGTTGTTGTTGTATTTTGGTGTAATTTTTTTAATTTTATTTGCTGTCAGTTTCTTCCCTCTCCTCTTGAACTAGTTTTGGGTGTCGTCTTTTGTAACTTGGCCAGTGGGCTATTCTTCATGTGACTTTAAACATGGAGTATTTTATACCAGAAAGGATCACAGCCAAGCCCTGCTCCATACTGCACGTCTATAAAAACACACATTACAGCAGAAGCCACAACGGTCAGGAGTGGGTTGACTTTCTTTCCACCTCAAAGATACTGAAACTTTCATCTGATGTTTTATGTGTCATCCTGGCTCAGTTGGTGGTATACTTGCATTTGAGTCAGAATGCTGTGGGTTCAGGACTTTGAATTCACAGTTAGGTTGATATGCAAGTACTGGCAGAGTGCTATTTTTAGATGAGATGTTAAATCAAGGCCCTTTCTGGCTGTTCGCTTTGATTTTAAAGATCCTATCGTACTGTTCGAAAAGAGAAGGAAATTTCTTGTGCCAACAATCTGCCAAATAGAATTGGTCATTCAATTTGTGGCAGTTTATGGGACATTGTCGTACACAAATTGGCTCCTGTGTCTACCTACAAAATGCACAATTATGACAGATGTAAATCTGTATTTTTAAGTATTTTGAAGTAAAAGCGCCATATGAAATGCGTGCAAGGATTATTATTTATTGTTCTGAAGCTGCTAGATTCTTGCTGAACAATCTTACTTCGTACAATCTCATTTAAATTTGAGGTAGGCTTTTGCCGTTTTAACCCTAAAGTCTTGATTGGTTAAATATTTTTTCCCACTTCATGCAGTTTGATTTAGAAAAGCAGAATATACTTAGCATTCAGAAACAATTGTGGTAATTTTAGATATTAACTTAGTTGAAACCTTAGTGTTTAGGTATTAGGAATATCAATAACACGTTATCCACCATTATCAATCTGTAATTTCAAATTTAGGTGATGTTATAAAAAGCAAGAGTGGTTTGCAATATACTTGAATTCTAAAATGAGATTATATCATTGAGGCTACTGGAGTGGTGGTACAAAAATGTCAATTTTGGGTGAAGAGTTTGCTGCCGGTATTATGGTGGAGCTGAATGATTTATTTAATTTGATGTGTAATGAGAAACGCTCGCCTACAAATTACAGTCAGTAAACTTTACAGTATATCCTTTGAGACGTACTCCTGACGTGAAAAGCATTTTTATCAAATGTAAAGATTATTGTTTATTATTAACAATTTAATTAATGTATGTTTAGGGAGCAATTAACGACTGATTTCTGGGAAATCTATTTTAATAAGTCCCCATAGTTTGACACAATCTACGTGATAATTATTCTTCATATTTATGCATGGTATACATGTTTAGATCATGTTAAAATTCTCACCATTTAATTTGACTTTGCTGTCAATTGTCTGTCAAAAACATTTGTATGCTAATCTTTAAAAAGTAATATATTCAGAGGGACTGTTCTGAGTGTCCGACTACTTAAATCCTCATATTAGCCATTCAGCGCATGGAGCATAGATGATCAATTTACCTCATTATCATGCAAACCTTTTCTGAGAAATTAGCAGTTGATGCCTTGAAAACAACTGCTTAGTATCAAGTTCACATCTTCATATACCTGCACTGTGTTCTACAAATCATTCCACTAGCAAAGCAACAGTTTACAGTACTCTTGAAAATAAGTACTTAACTTATTTTAACAAGTTCAGGTATTTTTACATGGTGCATTCACAATTTGATCAATGCAATTTCACTGATCATTTCAAAGTCAAGCACAGACATTGATAAATATGGTAACGGTCTATTGCTTCTGACCATATTCTTTGAAGGATGAGGCCTCTCATGTTGAAATAAATCAACGTTTATTGGAAAATCATCTTTGGATCGTGGGATACCAATTGTAATAATTAAATCCTGCAGTCTCTTATTTGGACAACAGTCAATTCAACACAAACAGCACTTAGTCTATGCTGTCCCAGAACTAACCTGGCACCTGATTTCAATTTTCAATATAAACAGGTTGAACTCTGTGCTGCTAATGCAAGGTGGCCTGATTGTTCAAATGTGGGGTTTGAAACTAGAATTAGTTCTGAAGCAGCAATGTGTAAACAAGAATCAGATTCCCATTGCGCATGCTAGCAGCGCAATTAAATAGGGCACACATACAAATGTATATAAGTATCAGCTAATGAGATGGTTCACATTAACACTGGAAATACTGTAGAGATATCGTAAGAGAAAAAAATGAAGCCAAATGCTGTTACTACACATCTAACCTCCGGAACTCCATGTCTGTATCCCTCCGCCTCGACCCCTCTATCTATCTTTAAATCCCTCCTTAAGACTTACCTCTTCAACTGCACCTACGGTTATCTCCCCTTCCCCACTTGTTCGGGAGTCCAACCCCATCTCTGTGCAGCACTATATTCAACTCAAATCAATGATATCTTAAGTTGTTTTTTTAATTGCCAGGACGAAGACATTATTTGAAGAGATCCGAGCATCTGTTAAAAATAATTCTGATGAAGATCGATCTTTCTGGAGACCTGTTCTTCCATGGGGTGGAGTGTACACTATTAAAGCTGGAAGAAAGGCAATGGCTTGCAATCCACTGTACGTCAGGATCAGCCTTAAAAACACATGCACAATTGATGGGTTTTTGATGTTGCTATATGTGATTCTCAGCGAAAATGAGTATTTCCCTAGAGAACTTTCAAACTACTTGGGTAAGGAATTTGTGGAACGTTTTCTATATTTGATGGACTCTTATAAATTTACAACGGTGAAACTTTTGTGGATTTGGGATAAAATGGAAAAGCGACAATATAAGACTAAAGTCCACAAAGCCTCCCTGGAGATTGACCTTTTTGGAAATGAACACGAAAATTTCACCAAAAATCTGGAAAGCCTTATGTCAACTATTCAGGAGAGTTTTTGTACTAATTGGAGATGTCGAATACGTATTCAAGAAGACCAACACAAGACTATTATCATCAAGTAGGTTGATCCTTTTTTNAAGTCAGTAAAAAGAAACTTTTGGTACGTTGTTCTTTTACTGCTGGAACCCGAGTATGACCCGCCCAAACTGGAGGAATGGCGGTCTCTCCTGGGAGCTATGAGGGCTCTACATAAAATACAACAGTTTAGACGAGGGGTCTCCAACCGGTCGATAACGATCGACTTCTTGGAGCATCAAGAAGTGGCCAAGCAAACAGCTGCACAAGTCCAAGCAAGTCCAAGGCAAATCAATACCTTGTTTTCAGTAGCTACTGTGGCTCAGCCACAAATGAAGAAAAATTCAATAAAGAAAAATGTATTTGGTTGGCTACCACTGCTTTAGACCCTTCCCAACGAGTTTACAACACAAAACAACTGCCCTCAAAATTACTCAGATTGTCATCAAAGAGACCATAAAGTGATTTGTAAATTTTCATTGGTGCAGTGATAGACCTTTTTTGAGGGTAGGGGGGTAATACTCATTTTTGGGGGTAGAGCAAAAAGGTTCAAACTGTATATAGAGCATTGATACAAAAACTATGTCAAAAACATTTTACAGAGCATGTTGGCACCAACAGTCACAAAAAGGGCTTTCAAGCGTCGCGTTCCTGATGGATTAAGATCCAGATTTTAGTTTAGAATATAGGTAAATGCATGAATTTTCTAAGTTACTTTTGTTCTAAAAAAAATACTTGCTGAAATAGGTTATATTGGAAAATAATTCCTGGATATTTCTGTGTCCAACTCATACAATGTTTTAGAACTAAACTAGGCAGTGTAATACTTTAAATATTTTTGTGATAACCCAATCTCTTCATTTTTGGTTATTAAAGCTGTGTGAGATAAGGTTTTGGGTTTAATTTTATTAAATTAAATTGTGTTCTCATTGTTATGCAGTAGTTCCATGGCTTTAACTCTTGGCAATCTTGAACCAAGAATATAAATCATTAAACGTAAGGGCAGAAATTACATGTGTTTTTCTGAGTATTGTTAAAAAAAAATTTTTTAAAGGTAATGATGAGAGTCCATTTAAATGATTATTATTGTTATCATTATTTTTACTGGAAAATAATTCTTTGGGTGTTACTGTAGATTAAGAATTAAAGAACAATTTAAAAAAGACAATCAGATAAAGGCAGGAATTACAAGAGAAGAACAAATGGTTGTGGTTAGTGGATTACAGTTTTTGAGTTGATGATGAAGAAACTCACTAACATGCCCATAATTTGGATTAATTATCATTAAAATTACAACTTTAACTGCTTTGTGAACTTTCTGGTTCATGTAGTTTTGAAAAAAATTCCTATTCATCAGATATACTTTTTGATAACCTCGGTTAAATGGTGATTTGTGCCTCACCCAATTGGCATTGGGCTATTGGCGCTGAGTGGTTGTAATTAATTTAGTACAAAGCTTATTAGAATTTGAATTTCCACTTTGTATCTTAAAAAAGAGACTATGGCAAGATGCCTTCAATAACAATAATAATAAGCCTTTCATTTGATATAGCACCTTATCACGTCTTCGAGACATCTCAAAGCACTTCACTGAATATATTGTAAAGTGAATTGACTGTACATTTTGTGGGGGAAAAGCGGCTGCCAAATGTGTACAGCAGTGTCCCACAAACAGTCATGGATTGAGTAACCAAATTATTCTTATTTTTATTTAATTTTTTTTAAGGGATTATTACCCCGGAAAAGTGATACGCCAATCGATTAACAACTGGGTTCCTAGTTACTGCTAGGTAAACAGAGGTGTGTGGAGTAAAGAAACTTGCCCAATGTTTTGCACTGTCCTGGAATCGAACCCAGGTCCTCTTGCTTGCGAGGCGAGTGCTCCAACCACTGAGCTACAGGATTCCACCATATTACCATCTTAATAATAATAACAACAATAATGATAATCCTTGCATTTGATATAGCAATTTTCATGTATTCTAGACTTTTCAAAGCACTTCACAGAATATGAGTATCTTAAATATCTTGGTAGTGTTTTCACAGTTGTGAACACTTTGAAATAATAATAAGATTGTCTACAGATGATTATCTTCAATACATCTGTTGTCATATGATTTATCTCCACCATTTCTAATGACCATTTGGTGATTATTGTTCAGTATTGCTACACAGTATTACCACATTGCTTATGCATTTGAACCTCATAAACTAGATTCAGCGTCTTGGAATGTCCTCCCAACGTGAAATGTGCTATACAAATGTAAATTGTTATTGTTTTTGGTGTGCAGTGACTGATATCCATCAAAATGGATATGAGAACAATTAGCATGACGATGCATAAAATATTTGTTCTTATTAGCAAAATGTACAGACAGCTCTGGAATTATGGATTTTTCTTGGAATTTGCAATTGTCATGTTCTATACCATATTTTTGCATTCATCTCTCTAAAATATTAGAACAAAGAAGCTTGAGTTTACAAAAAATTATGGTATTCAAGATTGTATTTGATATTGTGATCCTTTTAGTGACACAGCATCTAATCCCCAAGAAACAAGTAATTAAACTGCACCTATCAAAAGTAATTGATATTTCTTAATGTAATAGTCTCTGGAGGACTATTTCAACCACAGAAGGATAAACAGTAACGGATTTTGGAACCATTATAAGCTATGTAAAAAAAGACTATTTTCAAATCTGTTAAATTCTTCAATCTTCGTGAAATTGATGTATGCTGCATAAAATTGCAGTTTTAATATATACAAGTGTTGATGTTTCTTTAGCGTTCATTAGTCAGAAACGTGATTCTAATCAATATTTTCATTTTCTCTAAGTTGTCCACAAGATCCACTTCTGGATGATCTGATTCAAGCAGCAGTGGATGAATTCTTCTGTTCCAAGATTGAGCTGTGTGAAGAGTTTGGGTATATTAAATTTAAAGTGGATTTATATTTAATTGTATTTCGTATTCTATTTAAAGCTTACAAACTGAACTTTTATGTATTTGATAGTCGGTGTTTTAACATTTATCTTGCTGTGTATTTTTGGCATTAGCCTGTATTAATCACATCTTCATAGTGGAGCCAAATATTTATCACTCGTGGCCCTTTTCATTCCACTCTAAATTCCTCTCTGAGACTTCTCTTTTCAAAGTGCTGCCCTTGAAATGAAATATTGTACACGTCTGGTCCTATCTGCCTGATTTGGCAATAACATGTGGAGTCCTGTAGCTTAGTGGTTTGAGCATTCCTGTGCAGGGTGAAATGTTGGGCAAGTTTCCTTACTGCTAGGCGATTGGTGGATTACTTTTCCGGTAGTAAAAAAAAATTGGTCATTCAATCCTCAACTGTTTGTGCGACACTGCTGTGCTCAATTGGCTGCCACTTTTCGCCCACAAAATATAGTGAATTCATTTTACAGTATATTCTGTGAAGCGCTTTGAGACGTCTTGAAGAGGTACCCCAAATCACACTCGGTTCAATGTGGTTATATAATATTAAATACTATGTCCTTTGTTTTTAAAAAAAATCTGTATTCTGCATGATTAGTCATGGTATAATGGTAAATTTTTATTTGTACAACAAAAAATTATATTGTTTTCATTTTCTGCTCATTGTAATGAATGGCTCGAATGCTTTCTATCAGTGAATGGAGTTTTTAACCCTCTGCCCATCTGTTCCTTTCTCTAGTTGTGTTGGCCAACGTGAGTTCACACAGAGAATCTTTTGCCATGGTGCTCCTCCATTTGTTATCTTGAATATGCAGCAATGGAAGTCAGAGGATTTGGCCTATATCCCATATTATTTGGCCGTAGCACAACAAAGGTAGACATTTCTTGTGTCTTTACTTTAAAATGTACATTTAGAAAAAGTTTACAAATTAGCTGATGTGTAGTAAATGGGGGGGGGGGGGGTGGAGTGCATGCGGAGGTTCTATTCATTTTCTTGTATCTAGGGCCTGACAAGATATGAGGGGTGAACGCAAATGCAGTGAGTAAGAGTGCTGACTAGTGCCTGTATTTTGTCGTCGTTTGGAATTAATAGTGCAAGGAACTTCACCTTTATTTGATTTTAAGGAAATACAGTAAGATGTTTATTCTAAATTGGTATCAATTTGATATAAGTATTTCAATTTTTATTGTTAATGGAGACACACAATGACATTGGTTTTGTGGGCAATTTCAATGTGATATTTTGGGGAAAAAAATATTTTTAAGAGGAATGTTTGAATGCATTTGAGCAATTTTGTCCTATTGTATTTGTAAAATTAGCTTGTTTGGTTCCTAGGTATTTATTGGAAGGAGCAACACTTTTCAACAAGGAGGAACACCATTACTCTGCTGCATTTAAGATTGATGGTAACTGGATGCATTATGACGGTCTTAGGACCGAGAATTTGGTGTTGTTGAATAAACCTCCAGAACTGCTCCTTCTATCCTCTCTGGTATATATTCGAGACGTAGAGAAATGACTAAAATTGACTTATGTAACTGAATACTTACTGAATACGTAAGATTTTCATAAATCATACCATCTTAAAAAAGAGGGAAATAATTAAATCATCTTGGCATCCAAGGAAAAAAATGGACTATAATAGTTATTTATTAACCCAAATAAAATATTCTTACAACTGAATGTACAAATTAGTAAGTTGAGTACTTAACTATGCAAAATATGTAAACAAAATGCACTATTTCACAATGTATTTTGGATACTTAATGGCTTGACAATATTTTTATACAAAGCTGTACTACTGAAATAAATGTCTTTCTATGAGTTGTTGCAGATTAAATGTTGTCATTGGTGTGTGAGGGAATTTAAAGAATTCTTGATTTTGAAAAGCTCAAACATTTCAGTGGAAAATAATTGACATTGAGGATGGTAAGTTTTTATTTGGTATTGGAAAGATGCAGACTGTATTAAATTAACAATTGTTAAACATAGTTGATCAATTGAACAAATGAGCAACAAAAATTTCTAACTTGTTTGTTCAACTCTGATTAACTGTGCTTGACAATAGACTGACCCAAAACATGCTGGCATTTGTAGTGAAAGGAGATGGGTGAAGGATTTAGTTAGGATCAGTGTGATCCTTTAGATTGGGCAGACTTAGTTCTTATAATATTAATAATAATCCTTGCATTTGATATAGCGCTTTTCACGTCAGGACGTCCCAAAGCGCTTCACAGAACACACTGTAAAGTGAATTGACTATATTTGTGTGCGAACGCGGCAGCCAATTGCGCACAGCAATGTCCCGCAAACAGTCGTAGATTGAAAATGACCAATTTAATTATTGTTTTTGGTTTTTTGGAGGGATTATTATTAGGGCTGTGTGTGGAGTAAGGAAACTTGCCCAAGGTTTCGCCCTCTGCCTGGAATTGAACTCAGGTCTCTCACTTGCAAAGCGAGTGCTCTAACCACTGAGCTACAGGACTCCACAAATTATTTTGAGATCAAAGAAGTGTTAGTCACTTGGCAGGTCTAGTTGGTTCCGGAGACCTACAAGTTGATTTGTACAAATTAAATCATATATGTCAAAATATGAACTGATCAAATAACATGTAATATGCTAATGTTTGTAGCAATCTAAGAGTTCATGTACTTTCCGACAATGATCACAGGAGAGGATTCTAAAAGTACCCTGGTTTTTAGCTCATACTGTTCCAGTTGCTGAAACCTAGTGGGTTTGTATTGATTAACATAATACCGCATGCTGTTCTTGTGCATCCATTAAGCATTGGGATTACCATACCCATTTCAACATTAGGTCATGTATAAATTCAAGTTAAACACCTGAAATAATGACAGATACCCCTTGTAATTGCTCTTGGTTAAATGAGACCAGAAAAATGATTTTGTATTGGGTTGTCAAAGGGTACCCTTTGACTCTCGACATGGTCCAAAGTCCAGGTGCAGCAAGTGATAGACAACCTTGAATTATTTGCTAATGTTCTCTCTCCTGAAGGCATCGAGTCTTGTTGGTTCTATTATCAACATCCCACTGCTGCCTCATTTTGTTGATCTTTCTTTGAGTTATCCCAAACAGAGAACATCAGCAGTTGATTCAATCATGGAGGTAAAATAACAGCTGAGCAGAGCTGAGGCAATACAGTGGTTAATCAAGAAAATTAGCAACCTGCCACAGATACATGAAATACTGTGAGTGAATTAAGGTCAGGCCTGCTGTTTAGCGAGATGGGGAGAAAGGAAAACTTAGCTCCAATTGACCGAGCTCAATCAGTAAAGATTTAATATTAACCACTTCTAAAATTGTTTCTTCCAGCAATTAAGTAAGATATGGGTGTAATAATAGGGAAGCTTTCCTTTTCCCTCTTCTCACTTTTACAATTAGGATATCGGAGATAAAGTACTTCAGCGTACATACCGAACAAGAAAACTTTTGAAGTTGACATCAAATCAAAAAAGTAATAAGTGGTCAAGAATGCTTCAGGTAATTAGCTCTTATGCTTATGAAGTACATGAGAATGGTTCTTAGATACTATCTGGCTTTAGTGTAGCACTCAGAAACAGTATGAATTAAATTAATAGTTAACATAAGGGCATAGTTGCATTATTAGTTATATTAGTTGCAGTTATATTGTCAAAAGGGCCCATAAAGTTAATATATCTAAATTCGCGGATGACACAAAACTAGGAGGAAGTGTCAACCCATTAAAAAAATGCAGCGAGACATAGATAGGTTAGGTGATTGGGCAGATAGGTGGCAGATGAAGTATAATGTAGGGAAGTGTGAAGTCATCCACCTCGGTAGCAAAAACAGTAGAGTGGGTTATTTTTTAGAAGGGGAGAGATTGGAATGTGTTGTCCAGAGGGACTTGGGTGTCCTTGTACACCAATCACAGAAAGTTAGTCTGCAGGTGCAGCAGCAATTAGGAAGGCGAAGGGTATGTTAGCATTCATTATGAAAGGATTAGAGTATAAGAGTAGGGAAGTCTTGCTGCAACTGTTTGGAGCCCTGGTGAGACCACACCTGGAATACTGTGTGCAGTTTTGGTCTCCTTATTTAAGGAAGATTGTACTTGCCTTGGAGGGGGTGCAGCGTAGATTTACTAGGTTAGTACCAGGGATGAAGGGGGTGAGTTACGAGGAGAGGTTGACCAATTTGGGCCTATATTCTCTTGAATATAGAAGAATTAGAGGGGATCTTATAGAAACCTATAAGATCATCAAAGGGCATGATAGAGTAGATAGTGGGAGATTGTTTCCCCGGTTGGAGAAACTAAAACCAGGGGTCATAACCTTAAAATCAGAGGCAGCCCTTTTGCACTGAGTTGAGGAAGAACTTCTTCACTCAAAGGCTGGTGACTGTATGGAACTCACTACCCCAAAGGGCTGTTGACGCTCAGTCCTTGAACATATTCAAGACTGAGATAGATAGATTTCTTATTGCAAAAGGTGTTAAGGGATATGGGGAGAAGGCAGGGACAGGTTATTAGCTGGAGTTAGATTAGAAGATCAGCCATGATTGAACGGCGGGGCAGGCTCGAAGGGCCGAATGGCCTATCCTGCTCCTATATGTTATGTTATAAATGAAATGAATGGGTTAGACCATATGGCCTATAATGGTCACCATTCCAATAAAAACAAAGCATTTAGAAAAAAAGACCAGTAAATGGGAAAGGTGGGAAAGAAGAAAAGCATAACTGTTGAGACTTAATTTGCTTTTGCAATTATTTATTTAGTAAACACATTCAATGAAATAGTGTATAACAAATAGTATTTTACACAGCAGTACCACAAGGAAATGTGAGCACTGCTTTAAGGAAATTAAATGACAAGTGTGGAACAGTCCTTAGCACTTTGCCTGTGTAACAAACACAGCAAATGAGTTGCAGGTGAAATGTCTACCACCTTATAAATAAAAGATTGTGCACACACCTACACCTATGATTCAACATTTAACCACTTACAGTCAGCACAAGTCAAAAGAGTGATAGATTTTTCCCTTATCCTTTATTTACAAAGATTCATAATAGCATTCAAAATAATCTGGCCTGGATTTAGAGGGCAGCACAGAGTATATGACAATTAGAAAAAAATCTTTCAGATATTGATTACAATTTTAAGTCAAGCTGTGAAATGACTATTGACCATAGACAAGCCCATTTCCCTTTTCAATTTATAATTGAGTTTATAAACATTCCTAGTAATCCACTGCACAATATCAGAATATTAATTAAAAAGTGGTGTTTTAGGTCATTCCTGCAGAGTTGGCTCATCAAATTCTAAACTAAGACTTGGGAGTGAAAATGAATCGAATGTCATTTCTATAAAACTGAGTGCAAGGATGTAAATAAATCAGATCTGAACATGCTGGGAATTTATCCAAGGACTGCCAAACAATCTAGAACTAAATCTTAGTCCCTTAATGGTCTCCCTCAAAATGTATAATTGTGTGTTTACTTAATGAAGTTATCCACTAATTAGCAAATACCGTCTATATAGTCTTGGTGTGAGAAATAGATGGAGAGCATGGGAATTACTATTCCAAACATTAGTTCTTTAACATTGAACATAGAATAGAATAATCCTTCCATTTGATATAGTGTCATCAAGTCGTAGAGACATTTCAAAGTGTTTCACAGGATATACTATAAAATGACTGTGCATTTTGTGGGCAAATGCAGCAGCCAATTTACACACAGCAATCAATGTCCCATAAACAGCCATGGAGTGAGTGACCAATTTTATCTGTGAGCATGTTGGCCATGGCACCAGGAGAAACTCCCTTCACTTTTCGAATAGTCAAACAAAATCCTTTGTAACTTCTGGTAAACGGTTTAAAATCGGCCTCCTCGAACAACTTGAATGCATGGTGTGACAAAGATGCAGGTGTTTAATACGGGGAGGGGGAAGCGAAGATGCTTAATAATTACTTAATTGTTACTTAATAATACTCCAAGCACCAAGTGTGCCTTTGTATTATACAAAGTGCGAATAGATATGTCCATGCCACGATTGTCTCCTGAATCAGAACAAATCAATAAGTTGTCCAATCTTAGCATTAAAAAAAAACAGGAGATGGAACAGTTTATTTAAAAAAAACAATAGTTTCATTCTTGGAAAGATCTTTCACATTTATCACTAAATCGGATCACTTAAAGTTTAAACAACTAAAGGCAAAGATTGGTCTATGGTACTGCATGACATTTGTTGTATTTAAGTGTTCATTTTTATTATTTCAAATTAACCAACCTTTTCCAGGAACTGAAACTTTATTCCTCCGTCGCATACCAGAACTGGAGATATTCAGTTCTGATAGAAGAGCCCAAATTAGGAAAGATAGCTGATTTCTATTGTGAAACATGCTTGAAATTTGGCGGTGAGTAAATTTGCAAAAATTAACTCAAAATAAAATTAACTAAAAAATAAACAGCAAAAAAATTCATTGGCACATCTGCCAGTTTGCAATTTTTTTAAAATCGGCGAATTACCCCATCATTCATTATGTTGTAGTCACAATCTGCATAAGAAAGTGCTCATGTGTTTGCAAGTAAGTCAATAAACCAGCACAACCTAATAATAATCCCTTTGCCATAGGTTAAATATCAAAATATGAAAAGTAAAAATTAGTGGAAATTAAAAAGTGCATAATAATCAAAACTGATTAAAATACTCTCAGCTACATATCCACTAGGAAAAAGGAGATGTTATACTAAAAGTGATTTCAGCATTCTCTATAATCCACTGCATAAAGAGAAACGTATATTGTTTTAAAAAGAAAAAATAAACATCCCTCACCATTTCTCATTACTGACTTAATGATAAAATAATAATCCTCGTATTTGCTATAGTGCTTTATCAATTTGTTGGGACGTTTCAGAGCGCTTCACAGAATATTCTGTAAAGTGAATTGACTATTTTGTGGGTGAAATGGAAAAACTATTTTGTATGGAAAGTTCATACTCTGCACAACACTTTACCATTTTAAATAGAAATGGTTTTAAAAGGTATGTTTTAAAATCGTAATCCTGCTCTCCTGGTTCCAGGGAGCTACATTTTAAAATAACAATTTCTTAAGATTTAAAAATTGACTACTTATTGCTATATCAGCTACAATAGCCAAACAACATTTATGCTACTAACCAGCATAAGGTAAGGTTACTGAACACCCTGGGTTTAGACTTGCTTCAGTGGATATTGCTAGTTTGTTTACTGTAGCCTCAATGTACATTAAAATCATGCTGACATTTGTAGAGCAAAATGCACATCATCTATTTGCTTGTACAGTATTTTGATCTATGGAAGGACGGATAGAAACTTTATAATCTACACAAGAAATAGCAAAAAGTTATTGAATGTATACTGTACAGATTCACTAATAGATATTTGCAGGAGTAAATGGAAGTTCCATAAATCCACCCATCCATCTCTACAAGTATAAATTACACCTAATAAAAAAAGCCATATAAAAATGTTATTGCACAATTTTATTCAAAATACCAACAAACATTTGTAGCCTTTACTGTCAAGGTCTAGAAGCAAAAGAACTAACTTCCAGAGGGTTTAAGGATAGCTAACTAGGAGGAGGATTTTGCCTTATCTGAAACACTAATATGTGTGCACATACATACCATACCCTTCATGCAGTCTCAAAAACCACTTGAATTTACAGTCAAGATTAAATATAACTCTTATTGACCAAGTGTACAAAATTTGCACTTTGCTGGTCTGGTCATAACATTACTAATGTTTGTAGCAGTAATTCAGCCAAACAAAATGTTTTACGGTATTAAACTGATAATTCAAACAAACCTCTGCCAGTATCATTTACCCCTACTTTGTTTTGCACATTGAAGTATACAGAGCTGCAGACTTTATAGGGAAATACTCTATAATATTTCAAAAACAGTGCAACTGGTTGCTTTCACAAGGCATAGCTACTGACAAACAAAAAATGAATTTGAGGTACATCCCTAAATTGTCAGTGGCGTTCTTCTTATTGATCAAGAAAACATCAGTTTTTTTTTCAGATTGTTCTATGGCACCATCTTCAATTCCAAAGCATGGTCTTCCCTGCTAGACCATATTCAACGTCCTCCAGGCAAGTTAAGGAAAGGAGGTATAATCTCAATCAATGTCTTAATAATGCAAGTTGTTAATAAATGTTCCTGCATTGCTTAGGTTTTACATTTTATTGTATCAATATAAAGCACCATTCCAAATAAGCTTAACATGGGTTTTCCTACAAGATACTGCAGCTTTCAAATAAAAATGTAAAGTGACACACTTGGGTTAAACATACAAAAAGATTAACATAAAAAATTTGGCAAGCAAAGTTATTTAAAAATTGGCTCACATATACAGTAAGGAAAATAATTCATCATGAGGCAAATGATAACAGTGACCAGCTGAATTATCAACTCACCCTTACAATGTTAGTCACTGCAATTGGATGGATTTCTTTATTCAGCTTAATTAGGGTTAAAAAAAAGTGCAGAAAATTCACTATATAAAACTCCTTTTCTCCAGGGTTTAATTGCTCAGAGGCACATATGAGTTCTACTCATAAAAAAAACAATGGGAGTGAAAATAAAAAGTCAAAATAATTCATGAGACAGGCTACAACATAAACAATTATCAGTGTCCTGAATCCTAGGATAGCACCAAATACTAAATCTAAACACTCTCCCTTCAACAGCAGCTGTAGATTTAAAAAAAACAGCACAGCAACAAACCTATCACTTGCACGTTAGAGCTGGACAATGCAGTAACAATTACAAATGCAACAAGAATTTTAACATCCATTAAAATAAGCCCATATTCACAAAGCTGGTTAAAGAACTGAGCATATCAAAAGGTTGTACATTCCTACACTACTGTCTTGTGAATACAGGCTTACAATCATGTTTGCAAGTTTAGAACTTTCTAAACCAGTTGCCATGTTATTAGAAATGAGAACCACAACTGCTGAAAAGAGATTTAGTTTTAGTTTTCAGAATTATAACTGAATTTAAGATCACCTTTTTATATGTTCAATTCTATTAAGTCCCTTTAAAACATCATAGTTCAAATAGTAAATTTTATGCTGCACAAATTCAGGTGACCTTATTGGTCCAGCTGGAAGATTGTCGATGTTACATCATACACAAATGTTTACAATATATTATATATTTCTACCAATTTCTCATCCAGGCCTACACACTATAGTCACATGACACAATACAGACAAGCACACCATAGAAAAGTGTTGAGTTACAGGTATGAAAAGGCAGCCCTTAAGTATTAATCTTCATACAGTGAAGCACTGATGTTAAATGTAACATGTAATCCAATGAACCCTCATGGCACAAAAATCCCACAGGCACACATCATGTTGTATACATACAATGAGTTGTGTTATTGGCTTTGTATTTGTGTAATTCTTTATGAGTAAAATGAGGAAGAAAAATGAGGAAGAAAAGGTAAAGGTCCTTAAAAATGGAGGGGAATGTTTGTAAGGTGGAAAAGCTAGAGCTTCCAACGAGCTCCAACTGTTTCAGGCATCGTTTTTTCTTCCCCATAAATGTACAATCATACAATATAATCCATTCAATTAAAAAGGTGAACAAAAACTTTCAGCACAGTAAAAACCAACAGTAGCAGCCAAAGTTCTCAGTAAAACCCAATAGGTTTCGAATCTTCAGTTTCAGCGAGAATGGTCACCTTTTTCATGCACAATATGTCCTTCATAATCAAACAGCTGTTAAAATGCAGTCAGCCCAAAGTTGCACCGACATGACAACATACCAGCACAGTCTGACCAGGCGTCCGAGATCGGATCATACCTCTGCATTATGTTCAGGTAGGACGACCCAGAATGACCTCCCACTACATAGAGGTAGTTATCTATAATAGCTGCACCAACTCCTGTTGTAAAAGATATTTTAACAAAAAAAAATCAAATACTACAGATTTAAAGGTCAGATGTAATTTCTATCACAATTGTAAATCATTAAGCCGGGTACATTAAAAGATCATTTAAGAGAAATGGCATGAACTAATTTCTTTTCACAGCACACATTATATGGTGACATGGATTACTCATTTACCTGTTCTGGGATCATTCATAGGTCTGCACAAGGTCCACTGATTTTGATGGGGATCATATCTCTCAACACTCTGTAAGTGTGACACACCATTGTGCCCACCGACAACAAATATGAAGCCAAGCATTACACCAACACCAAAGTTAATTCTTTTATCAGCCATTGGAGCTACCATCTCCCAGGAATCTTTGCATGGATCATAACACTCCACACTGCAGATGCATACACAAAAAGGGAAAAAAAACACGAGAATTAGATTCAATTTGTACTAATAATTTGTAAAATTGATAAGGTTCAAGAAATAATAATAATCCTTGCATTTGACATAGCGCCTTCTCAGGTCGTCGAGACATCTCAGAACACTTCATAGAATATTCTGTAAAGTGAATTGACTATATTTTGTGTGCGAAACGCGGCAGCCAATCGCATACAGCAGTGTCCCACAAACTAGTTGCTAAAATTATTATTTTTATTTTTTTGAAGGGATTATTACCCACAGAAAAGCGATCCGCCAATCGACTACTTACTGCTACGTAAACAGAAAAGTGTGGAGTAAAGAAACTTGTCTAATGTTTGGCCCTGCCCAGGAATCGAACCCAGGTTCACCCGCTTGCGAGGCGAGTGCTCTAACCACAAAACGAATGAACAACCTGTGATTTATTGAACTAAAATTCACACAAGTGAGTTTTTTCAAGAAATGAACTTGGCTAGAATGGCGCTTTTGCTTAAAATATGAGGATTTTCAAATTGTATGTTTAAAAAATATTTATTTTAAAAAACATGTACTCTACCTGTTCATGTGAGCAGGACCATAGCCTCCAATGGCATATATCATTCCATCTAAAACTGCAGCTGCAAAACAGCTCCGAGTTTTAACCATGGGTGCAACTGGCTGCCATTCTTTGACTTTAGGAATATATTTTTCCACAGAACGTAAATAATTCTCCCCATCATAACCACCCAAGGCATATAGCTCGCCTGCTAATACTGCCACCCCAAGAGTGCTTCGAGACTCGTTCATTCTTTCCAAGGATGTCCACTTGTTGGTTTCTGGGTTCCAGTGCTCCACCAAATTCTCATGTTTCCGATAATTGATGCCTTGCCGCACGTGGGTTGCAATTCCTCCCACTACATAAAGTTTCTGGTCTACCACAGCAATTCCACATTCATAGCGTGGACTGCTAAGTGGTGCCAGGCCTGTCCAGGAATCGGTCTGAGGAAAATACATCTCCACACTGGTGTGTTGTGGATAGAGGGGAAAAAACCACAGAAAAATTAAGAATGAGTTTCATTCAAAAATAAGTCTAAATTAAAATTTGATGCCTCAGTTTTGCAGAAACAATTATTTAACATACTTATCTTTGTAAAGATTTTCAGTTTTACAAAGAAACAATAGATTTACAATAAAATGCAAATTAAGTTTGCACCAAATGTACCTCGCAACGTACACATTTCATAAAGGATCTCTGATATGTCAAACTACAACTGGGATTTTTAAAATAATATACAGCAGAGCTGCCATATACAAGGTTGCAAAATTATATTTTCATGAGAGAATAAATGATAACAAAGTAATTTTGAATCGCATTCAAAATAAAAGCAATAATGTTGTTCAGATGATACTCTAAGTGGTTTGGAGTTGGTGAAGCCAGTTGGGTCTGGACTGCATGCCTTCAATTTGGAGTTGAGTCAGTTTGAGTTTGGGAAACAGGAACAGAGGTAGGAAAAGAACTAATAATAATATTAATTATAATAAAAATGTTAGATCAGTCCATTTGTAAAGAAAAAAATAACCGACTAATAACATATCCTGACAAACAGGTCCTAAAACATTCTTAACCTACTTACCTATCTAATGTAGCAAACAGTCCAGTTTTTCCTCCAACAGCACAAAGCACTTTAGGAGCACAACGTGGCCGTGTCAGCAACTCAGTCTGATGGGAAAATCTGTGCTCTGGCATAAAATGGTATTTGAGTGCGTCATTGAGAAGGTGCTTGCAGGTATGGTCATCACGAATCAGCTGATTTGCTTCATACAATCTTGTCAGGAACTTCACACTTAATAATGGCAATCGAACACAGTGCAGTAGCTGTGCCATATATTTTGGTCTTTCTTGTATATCATATTTTATCCACGATTCCAGCGCATAGAACACAGACTCTTCAGTCACAACATTCAAACAGTCATTTGAGATTATTTCATCCAACTCTGTGTGGCTCAGCTCAAAAAACTCCTCAGTCTGAGAGACCTCTTCAAAATTCTGGCAGATATACTTGTTGGCAGCAAGGTACAAGTCATCGCAACCATAAGTTTCAGCAAAACGTGAAATGCCAATGCAGTTCCCAGGATCAAGCTGGCTTTCGAGGAATGTACAACATTCCTTCAGTACTAGTTTGATCTGAAGCAAGTTTGCAGCTGGTAATAGAGATTCCACTGTATCTTGTGAAATAAACACAGTCCCTGTGTATGCATATTCGACGATAGCCTGCAGTGCAGTTTCATCAATACATTGAAACTCAACCTCAGAGTTTTCCTTCTCCGATAAGTTCCCAGTAAACATGGCTTTGAAGTATGGACTGATACTGGCCAGCACCACTTTATGGGCGTGGATTTTGACATCACCAACCCTGAGGATGACGTCGCAGAGCTCGCAATGCTGCCGGAGAAGATTCAGGCCCTGCAATAACTGCTCGGAGTGGGGATGAGTCAGGTTGGCAAGCATGTAGGATGAAGGGGACTGGTCCATCTGAGTGAAAGAAGGTAAAGGTTATGTTCACTAAAAGTTGAGCAATAGTTTTTGAAAAGTGATTGCAGTTTTATGAAAATCCATGTACTACAAACAAATCTAAAACAAACTTTAAAGAGTACTGTATACTGCATTTGAAAAGACATTCAAGCCCATTTTCAAGTAAAGTAGTTCTACAAGCTCAGTATCACTTGTCAGCATGTTCGTTACCTCATGTCTGGGATCTGGATTCAAATCCAATGCAGATTAACACAATTTGCATTTGATATAACATCTATAATAATAATAATAATAATAACAATCCTTGCATTTATAATAATGCATTTGATATAGCGCTTTTCACGTCGGGAAGACATCCCAAAGCGCTTCACAGAACACACTGTAAAGTGAATTGACTGTATATTTGTGGGCGAACGCGGCAGCCAATTGCGCACAGCAATGTCCCACAAACAGTCGTAGATTGAAAATGACCAATTTATTATTGTTTTGGGTTTTTGGAGGGATTATTATTAGGCTCCATGTGGAGTAAGGAAACTTGCCCAAGGTTTCGCCCTGACCTGCCTGGAATTGAACTCAGGTCTCTCAGGTCATCTGCATCTAACATGTCTGAAAATGCTTCAGTGAATATTATGTAAATAAACGTTTGTTCAATATAGATTTTTCCACTAGCCTTAATCAGTCTATAAGATTCTTTACATATAATATATGTATAGAATCTTCAAAGATATCTTGGAACAAACCTATTTTAGTCGCACCAACATTTTCTCTGCATTTAATTCCTTGAATCAAACAATGGTATCCGAACTCTGAAACTGACATTCAGTTTCACAATACTTTTATTTGATGTACTGTATTTTGATTGTATTCAAACTACACCATTTCCCATTTTTAAAAGAAAACATTTATAGTTTCCTAGTGGTCATGAAAATATTTCTATGATAATAATAAACATTTGACAACCTATTAGTAAATAGTCATTGATTTTGCCACTGTCTCTTAGAAGAAATGTTTACTTTTGAAAACATCTGCTTTTGAAAACGGACAGGTTCCTACTTTGTACTCTATACATTTACAATAGTTTAAATTAAAATGTTTTGTTTTCATCTAGGAAGAACTGTGCTACTTTGACAAAAGTTTATATTGCAGCCTTTTTCTGATAACAAACAATTTGGATTTTAAAGAGAAGAGTCTCAAGCTCCAGTAAAAAGAATATAGTTCACTTTTACAGGTTTTTGACAATGTCCATGAATATTCCATTTCAAAATAGTGACCTTTGAGCAAGAGTTGGGGAGAGAAGAGAGGAGGAGATGGGGCAATGGGAAAAAGGTGGAAAAAGTGGATTTTAAGCATTCATAAAGCCCAAATTCACGGCAACTTAAAAAATTAAAATACAAAACAAAATTACATTTGTATAGCGCCTTTCACTTTGTGAGGACATCCCAAAGCGCTGGACAGGGTGGTGGGGGGGGGGTTGGGATCAGGGAGGGTGGAGGGTACCCAAAGGCATGGTTGAAGATGTGGGTCTTGAGACTAAAACGACGAGCCATCAGAGAGGTTTCTATTTCTAATGATGACAATTCAGTCTTTATGTGATATACATATATATATATCATTAACTCCTTCAAGTTTGCAGGAAAACAAATAAATTGACATGGTACTTGATGGTGGGAGACCATGTTTAAACAGCACATTGTGTATCAGTAGCAAAAATCCTTTTAACTACTGAAGTCCAAAGATTTACTTTACATTAAATTATAATGTTTCAAGTCTCAGGTCAGGGTAACTTATTCATTCTATTCGTTTTTTTCCCCCCGACCTTCGGTATGTACGAATTAAGCCACGGTTTTAACAGTGAGGGGTAGAGACAATGTTCGGTTGGATCCAGGCCATACCCGTTTAAACTTTAAGACGACAGCTGAGTGTCATTTTAGACACGAGCTGCGTGACGGAAACGAGACCGACAGCCAGTAAAATTATATGGAAAAGGGGAGTCGAAAAACCACAAGCCACACACAAAAAAAAAAGTTCTTATGCTTTTACAATCGATTTGGTGGCGTTGGGGTTTCATTCAGAGGGGTGGCATTCAAATCAACAGCGAACAAAAGACAGCTCAGCTCGACCACACAATCGCACCTCTTTTTTTTTAGGGGAGGGGGAGAGGGGGGGGGGACGGTTTTCCCCATCTCCCGAAACAAAAAAAAAACTTTCACCAACTTAAAGCCTCTGAAATGCACTGGAGTCGCTGCTTACATCAGAGGGGCCTTGGGGCCTATTAACTAATAAACGTGTCATTGTTGCAGGGAGTGCGACGCGAGCGACAGCGACAGCAATTGTAAAGGGAGAAGAGGAGGGAGGAGTGGAGGCGTCGGATTTATTACATTACAGTGTGAAATAAAACCTAAATCACGCACCTGATAAGCAAATACGGTGACAACAACGCCGCGGACGGACGATGAAACCACCTGAGCCCCCGCGCCTGTCAAACCCAAATACAACACAGGTGGGGAGCGTACGTCAGTTCCGGCCGGGGCTCAGCTCAAACGAATGAGCCGTTGGGCTACCGAAGACCAAAGTTTTTTTTTAACACTCTCCCACGCGTTTTAAAACAATCCCAACACCACACCGTGGCACGTAGTTTGGTCTTTTTATTTTTTTTTCCCCCCTTCTCCTCCCTCCGGGGCGTTTAAATTCCTCGATGATCTCGCAAGGCCTTGTGGTCTTGGGAGCTGTAGTTTTTCGCGCCCGTCGGGTCCGAGGCGGTCGCCGTGGCAACCCGGTGCAGGGGGACTGCACTCCCGGCGTGCCTTGCGACCACCACGCGGATCTCCCACGCCACACCGCAGGTCGGGTCCGAGCTGGTTGCCGTGGCAACCCGGGAGTGGGGGGGGGCAGGGAACTACACTTCCCAGCGTGGCTTGAGTTTAAAGGCGATCTCCACCAAACCCCCCCCCCACCCAACCCCTTTGCCGCGGTTTTAACATCCGGGTCGTAGATTGAGCCTCTCTTCACCATGGAAGCGTTTCTGTGTTGAGCGGCGCGCGGGGGGAGAGGGGGCGGGGCCTGTTGGTTTGTTCACGTGATCCGTCTGCATAGTTACGGCCATTTTGATGCGATTTTTTTTTCTCTCTCTCTGACGGGCGGATGCGTTTGTTGCGGTGAAGAGAGGGAGAGAGAGTGTGTGTGTGTGTGTGCGGTGTCGGGAAAGAGACACAAGAAGAAAGTCGGGAAGGTTTCGAGAGAGACGGGAGAGGGATCGGGATCAGGAGGAGGCCATTCCGCCCCGAACCTGTGCTTCAACCCTAATGGTTCGATGAGGTCCCGGTGGACGGGATGAAATCCTGGAGACGGCCGTGTTGTCTCGCGCACCGCCGGCCGCCGCTTCCCGAGGGCTTCCATGGCAGGTTCGGTTGCCAGGTTCGTCCCGCCGGCGTTTAAGCGCCAACAGCTCAGCTGCACCGGCGGTCAGGACCGTGACTCCCGCGGCAACGTGGCTCCTCGGGATACCTTCATGTCAGGAGGGAGCAACGGCAGCCGGTCCCCGGCACCGTCACTGTCGGGCCTCCTGGGCTCCTCCTCCCCGTCGCGGGTGATGGAAGAAGACGCTCTCCTTCGGCAGCTCGGCGCCCAGAGCTCGAGCAGACGCGCCGAGGCGCTCCGGACCCTCCGCAACAACATCCAGCAAAACGCCGGACGGCTGGTCTTCGGCAACAAGAAAGCCCTGTTCTCCACTCTGAGCGAAGTGCTGGTCGATGCGCGAAAAGATGTCAGGATCTCGTGCATTCAACTCGTGTCCGAAATCGTCCAGGGATCCGAATGGGACCTGGACCACTGCCGGGCCGCCGTGCTGCCCAAGCTGATCTGGTGCCTGCGGGATGACAGCCCGACCGTGCGCAAGGAGCTCGTGCAAACTTTACACGTCTATTTGAAGTGCACCAAGATCACCGAGGACGTCCTCTTCGCTTTGATAGAGCACGGGCTCGAAAACTACGATCCCAGCGTGAGGAGAGCAACTGCAGTCATCCTGCCCATCCTGCTCACCAAGGAGTTCAACAGCGAAAGTTTGTTCGCTGTCACCCTTTGCTTGGCCAAAAAACTCAACGGTGGCAACGTGGACGATCCGTTCACAGCATTTGCAACTATGGGACGTATAAAACGCCATGTGGGAGACCAGGAATTCAATTCGTACCTCAAGCGTTTGCCACCCACACTGAGGAGAGATTATAACAAATTAACAGAAATACAATTTGAGCCGCATACTAATTTAAATGGACGGGATGTCCAAGAAATAGAGCCCAGTAGGAACTTGAAGACGAGTTTAAGGTTTCGCCGAGGGTCTGTCGGCAGTGTCCAGGATGTTCCGCTTTGCAGGGAGCTTTCGAAAGACCTTAGTAACTTGGAATTTGGAATAATTCCTCAAGAACTATATGTTAGACTCCTAGACCACGATGATTATAAGACCAGGGCACATGCCGTTGAAGAACTAAAGAATGTCCTCAGTGACCTCAATTTTAATTCTTTATCGTTTCCAGCTATTTTAGGTTTTATTGGCTTTTTATCTAATTTACTTGACGACTCCAATTTTAAAGTTGTACACGGTACTTTGGAAATAATCAACTTACTGGTAGTTAAGCTCAATCATGATGTGGTGAATTATCTCAAGCCCATTACATCCACAACAGTAAAAGTACTAGGTGACAATAAAGCTGTCACTAAACAGGAGTACATGAAAGTTTTTATGGGTTTAATGAAACAGGTTGGTCCTCAAAGAGTACTTGACATGCTGCTTGATAATATAAAGCATAAAAATTCCAGAGTAAGAGAAGAAGTGTTAAACATCGTTATTGCTTCACTTTTGACCATCCGAGTGAAGATTTTGATTTACCTAGCCTTTGTCGCACTGTTGCACCTACATTGACTGACTCCAAGCGAAGGATCCGCCATGCAGCATTAGAGGCTTTTGCTGTGTTGGCTTCATCCATTGGTACCAACCGAACATTTTTGGTTAAAGCAGTGGACGCAGTAGAGATACAGGAAGATGGGGATGGGCTGATGGCTGCAGTGCAAGCTAGATTAGCGAGAAGAACTCTACCAAAGTTGACCTCACAAGGACTTGTGGAATATGCAATACCAATGCCAACTTCTGCTCACGGCAGAGGAGTGCAGATTCCCCTGGGATCAGATACTGAATGGCTGCTGGCAACTGGAAGAACTGGAAGTGCGCACGGTGATCAGGAGACTGACTTTTGGAACTATGGATCACCAAGCCCCATTAGTGATGAATGTATCTCTTCCAGAAGAGTGTTGAGTGCAGGCAGAGGAAAGAACAAATTACCGTGGGAAAATGCAAATTCAGTTACCAGGGGATCTATTCAACAAGCTAGGTTACCTAACACAGCTCCGATAGAACAGGTAAGTCTTGAGTTAGATCTCAGAAATAAAATATATGGGTTTGATATTAACAAAATAATTCCTTACCAAGTTGATTAAGTCAACATAAGAAATTCTCAATTTCATTGCTGCTTCAGCATTTTAAGGCAAATCATCAGGATAGACTGCAGATGCAACCTGGAACCTTCTTGTGCTGTATGGGCTTAGCTAATTACTGGATAAACACACTGGGCTATCAGGCCAACCATTTAAATATCTTTTATATTTAGAAATGTATATTGCAGATGTAGTATACAATATCAGACAAGGAAGATATTGCTGAAAAATCAAGATACATCTGTTAATCAGACTGATTCCAAAATGAGCATATGAACTGCATCCTCAGCGATTTGTGTTGATTTATAATGCTTTGATTCTTGGATGGACTTTTGTTGGATTGTACTTGCTTTCTGTTTTATCAATTTTTTTTGCTTTTATATGGTTAATAGAGGATTGAAACCAGGATGGCAGCTGCAGTTTTTAGTTTGCTCTTTTGTATTGCAATTCACTCTCAACAATAATAACAACAAAACAACAAAATTACATTTGTATAGCGCCTTTCAAGTCGATGATAGTACCTAAAGCTGGATTCTTTATTGATTGCAGACGTAAGGTATCTCATTTGTAACTAGGCAACATTGTAGAAAATTGTTTGCTATTTTTGACAGTGTGTAAAGATTCACATTATTGTTAAGGAAATAGAGTGGGGGAAAGAAAGGCTTATCAAGTGTGATTGAAGTGTTCATGAGATTTTTCAATGTACCTTGGATAATTTGTATTGAGTTGTGTGGGTGAAGGGTGATGGTTGGCAAGCCACTCTCCATTAATTTAATTAAAACCTAGATTTTAAAAATCAGAAGAATTCTCCTGAAACACACGTAGTTGTTATTATGGGAAAGATTTGGCATTACATCAGCAGTAAATTGTAGCTTCTGTCTTGACAGGGAGAAAAGTGCTGGAGAAATTACTGGATCAGTAGTTTTATTGTTTGGTGAAGAACAGATCTCTTGATTTATTGTAAACAAGGCTAAAATGTGAACACAGAAAATCAATGAAATGCTTCAATCAATACATCTTGGTGATAGACAAATATAACCCTAAATGTCTCCAAGCAGAATCTGTAAGACAACAAAGAAAATTGTCTGGAAAGGTCAGACTGAACCCCAGCAGATACATAACTCCTGATAGCAGCGTGGGTGGCTAAGTTACCACTGAAGCTTTTCAATTGGAGTGTGCATTTGATTTATAGTATGGGATGGGTGTCTGCTTTCTTGCTTTGTGCCCGCCTTGTTGATATTCACCAATTGTGGTTCCATTCTGCATAGATTATCCATAATTGGTGACTTCATCCTTTATTAGGAGAATGGAAAAACAAATACTAGACGTAAGGGATTTGAGTTTTCTCTGTTACTTCAGTAACCTTGCAGAATAAATGATCTCATTCATTTTCCATTTTTTATGTCAATCTCTGACATAAAGTGTAGCAATTATCTTAAGTGCAGCAATATTTTATTGCAAGGCTTTGTAGGGTGAAAGGGGAGGAGAAAAAATCTTGCCTAATTACTCTTCTCCACATATCTGTATGTAAAGCTTCTTTCTAGATGATGCACATCTGTACATTTCATTGTTTCTAATAACTGTATATGATTTTGCAATTTGAAGCTGTACAATTGACAGCCAACAGTTTATTTTAATTGTAGAATCTTACATCTTTAATTGTAGAACTTTAAAGTACATTTTTTAATGAAATGAACTTACTGTCTTCATGCACTGTGACTAAATAATTTTAAATCATGCTCAATAAATATAAAACTTAAGAATTATTTCACCACAAAAACTAGAAGATAAACAGTATAGATTTTGTCTGAGCTGAATTAGATGACCTAACTCCCTGTTGAGAATTATAATTGAGCAGTGGCCTTTTGGGTGCTTGTCTGTGGAACTGTGCCCCAGCACCAATCCTTGTCTTCAGCAGGGAAGATTGCAAGAGTGAATTGAGGGGAAAAAATTAACATTGTCATTTCTTTCCCCTTGAAGGTTCAACCTTACAATGATGTGCAACAGACTTCAAAACTAAGAACCATTCAATTGATGCAAGCTGCCGATGATATATTTTTTACCAGAAAGTCCAATGTCCGAAGTGCAAAGCTTAATGAGGGCCTGGATTTCAATCTTGAGAGTAACCTAGATGGTCTGAGAAATTCTGGTAAGTTCTTATTCCAAACTGTCCTAATGTCACTTTAAGTGACACTCTTCCTTTTCTACCTGCATGTTCTATTCACTGAGTGTCTATAAAAGGGAAAGTTGGGATAAACTCTTCCTCTGCTCTGAAGGGATTTCCATTTTTTCTGACTCTTCATGTCCTATGAGCTTTCACTACATAGTCTCTAAACAGATTCAATATCATCTGTATTTATTGTTGATGTGTTTTATTAGAGACCAGAAAACTTCTGGAACAACGACAGAGTATACACAATGAAGTGACTTTCTATTCACAAGTGAAGCCTTCTTTTCTAGAGGTAGAACTAACTGTTGACAGTATTGACTCTTGTTAGACACTCACCTGAAAGGATCAGATTAGATCCTTTGTAGTTTCTAGGTATTCAGAGGATGCACTGATTGTTCTTGAATAATGGCCAAACAAGCCAGAAAGCACCAACAGGGAATCTTGTGTCACCAAAATAAAGGAGATACAGGTTGCAGCTTGGAGCTTACCGTTGAAGATTACCTATCTCCACTTTAGGAACTCCATGAATTGTTTAGAAGATTCATTTTGTACATATTCAGGTTAGTGCTGGGGAAGTGCCCTTTTATATTAGCATCCAGAAACTGTTGAGACTCTTCAGTGAGATGCAGCTAATTTCAGACATCTTGTGATTTTAGGTGGGCAGCGCAACCTATCAACACATTGTTTGCAAACATCTAAAAATAGCAAAATGTTGCATAAATTTGTCTTCCTGGAGGAAAGATCTTTTCACCCTTCCTATTCTCAAGTTTTTTTTACAATACTGGGCAGATAGATGATGTGATGTTATTAGCTTTGTATTGGTATTCAAGATATTGGTTCTTCAGCCTAAGGGGTTTTCACAGTTCTATCTGCCAAGTTGCTGGAAAACGATTGTTGTGTCCTCAGTTAGTTGTCAGTTGATGAAAGCAATGCTTTATGAGTACAAGGTTTAGCGCTTGGACCAATAAATATGGCCTTCAGAAATCCTTCCAAAAGAAATTGCACAGTGACAGTGCCAAGTGAAAAAGTTTTGCATTTGAAAAGTCATATTCCATGAGATTTGAATGATCTTATAACATTCAAAATTTGATGAACCCGATATTAGTTCTTGGTTCTGTTTAGTGCATCTCCGTCAAATTGTTGTTGGAGCATTGGTTATGCTATTGTCATAGGGTGCCTTTGTCAATGAGGGCTTTACAGTTGAATGGAGATGAATACTTGGTTTCTTCATCTTTGTCAAACTTTTGACTAAGAGACATGCTGAAGACTTTTTTGGCTCTCTTCTATACAGGCAAGTACTCATGTGTGAATTTACGTTTCACCATGGATATTGTAAGTTTCAATAGCCATTAGTCTGTGGTTACAAGGCAAATGAATGACATTAGAACAAATAGTTCTGGTGACTAGATACAATTTAATCTATTATTTAAGAGGGCGCTGTATTAATTGATCAATCCTGTAGAAACTATGGGTCTCTAAGGAGGTTGCTCCAAATGAGTCTAATTTGGCTGTGGACTACAATGATCAAATCGATGACCTTTTCCTTCTCTCTATGCTATTTTGCATAATTTAAGAGATGGGCGGACTGTGGACTATATTTGTGTATATAAGCCTCATAACAACAACAACAACAAGATTACATTTCTATAGCGCCTTTCACGTCGGCAAGACGTCCCAAGGCGCTGGATAGAGTACAGTATTTCAGACTTTCAATATTTCAGTATTTCAAATAAAAAAACAACCACAAATTACATTTGTGTAGCGCCTTTCTATCAGGAGGAAGTCCCAAGGTGCTGATATACCTCACACTAGTTTAACAATAGTATTAATGGCTCTGGAGTGGAATTATACTGGATCTATCATTTCTGTAATTTGCTTCAAGTTACCAGACAGGGAAAAATATATCTGTCATTGGCCAGGCAAAATACCACTATGGAACTCACTGTAAAAAAAAAAGTTACTGTAGACCAGCAGTTCTTCTTTAAGTCATTGCCTGGCCAATGAAAGATATCTTTTTCCCGTTGACTTGGACTTTGTTCTTGTAACCAGTTGTTCTATGGCATGAGGAATGTGGGCAGCATCACAGATCAGTGTGATAGGAAACATAGAAAATTGTTTTGCTAAACGTCAGAATTTGGAGCAGAAGTGAGTTTGTTCAATATATTAAACATTTCTTTTACACTCTGTAGGTTTTAACAATTGAAGAGCATATGAAAACGAATCAGTGTAAATCTTTCTGGTTTGACTTTGTTTAAGATTGTTGAATCAGTTTTTCACGCAACCAACATTTGCTGTACCCTGAGTGTGTTGTTTTGTGTTCTATCTTTCAACAGATTAAAAAGTGGTAAAATGGATTAAGGAAGAAGGGAAGGTTACTGAGAAATATTGTGAACAATTGAATAAATTCTAAAAGTATTCTTCTTTTGAGTTTGTTTTGTGGAATGAAAGCAGTAAATTAAAAGGCAGCAGGAAAATCCGAAATAATTGCTATGGGAACAGCTTGTTTGACAAAGGAACCTGTGATTATTGCCCAGGAAACTTTTTTTTAACCGTTGGTCCATCTATAAAGTATGGATCAATTAAATTGAATTTTAAATCTGAGTTCAAATTAATACAACTGTTTTTTTATTGTGATGAAAAATGAACTACATATTGTATTTTATTGCATTGAAGTTTGTAACAATGTATTTGAAGGATTTTATTTTCATGTTAAACTTTTAGCAAATTAAATGTTTTGGATGCTTTTTTGAAGAAAAAGGAAAATATTTAAAAGGTATAAGGGAGATGGATTTTCGTTCTTCGAATTTCCTCAGGTTGATTTGGGGTGATTGTCTGTTTATTTTCTGTAATTATACATGAAGCATCACGGCATTGCTCCACATGTCTGAAATGTGAAATGTTAAACTTCAATGAAATCTACAAGTGGTTCTAAAACTATTTACATGTGAAAAACTTATTTTCTTCTGCGAGGGTACACTTGTGCACTTGACATTTGTTACTTAACTATGATCATGGTGATCGAGGTTACTAATTGTACACGGAATGAATGTTCTGGGCAAGACCAGACTTGATTTAGCTGCATTTCAAGTGATTTATTGTTCTACATGTGGATTTAACTATGTGATTTGTTCACTTTACAAAAGGATTTAATCCTGTGATTACATAGATAATGTATTGAGCATTATTAAGATGGCCTTCAGATATTTCTGTAGTAAAACATTTGAAATGTTTTGTTCAACTCTACTCTGATGGTCTTGACCATGGGATGTTGCATAATACTTACTGAGTGGCGTTTGAAGGAACTTCATTAGTTCATAAAATACTAACTTTTTTGAAAACTAGCGAGTTTGGAATACTTGCTTACCTGCTGAATGCCTCAACTATGATTCCACAGTTAAAGGGTAAAAACAAAGGATAAATGGATCAGTAGTATTACCCAGAAATAACTTTTTTTTAAAACTTTATACCAGGTTTTGGAGAATCTCCTCAGTCTCGTCCTTCAGGCAAGAGGGGACTTTTAGGTTACTCCAGAATGTTACACACACAAAGCACCAGTGTGGACTCTGATCTGCAGTATTTTGGAATTGGAAACCATTTGCCACAAGACAAAGGTACCATTTATTTACGTAACTGCTAACCTGCGTTACACCACATTAAGTACATAATATCTGAATGTTGTAGGAAATGAGTAATCAGACTTCATGAGTCACAGTAACCAACCATTATTGCCTTGGAGCTTGCTCCAGAGAATGGAGCTGCATATAACATGATGATTTTCCTTTTTCAAGTTCCCATTTCTTTTTTGCTAGCTGGAGGAATTATTCTAACATGCAGCAAGGAATAGTGGTGTCACACAATTAAATGCCCAGATTTCAGAAATCCAAATTATTTTTTTTTGACCGATAATGGCAACATTAGAAGATGTACTTTTTTTTACCCCTTTTTACATCAGAACATGTACACTCATTTTGATTGCTATCTACATAAAAGATCAAATGTGAACTTGAACTACTATATTAAGCAATTTACGCAACTGGCAATTTTATTTTCTTGTAACAAGGAAGTGCAGTAAGCTATTTAAACGCGACAGAAATGTATAATTCTGCTTCAATTCTGCTTGTGGTGCCTCCCTCACTCGAGCAATAAACTGATGTTCTTCGATGTTTCTTTCATATACAGTAGACATTTCTTCTGATTTACATCTGATAATAGTGTTTTAAAATAAATGCTTTTTTTTAAACATTATAGGTTAATTCTTTCCAATAACATGACTCACAATATCTGTAAAACTACAACTGTTGAACGTACATCATAATTTCAGAGATCCAATGGTGCCCAAGGACCTCACTATTTCCCATATTTTCCATTATTCTCAGCTAACACCAGCCCAGTACACACCTCTATAACTGGAGGAGTCTTAAAGAAAATTCATGAACCTAGCTTTCATGAGCTGAATCTTACCTTTTCTAATTCCTGGCCAAACAAACAATTTGAAGGGCTTCATAAACCTAGCCCTCAGAGGAAATTGATCAATCATTTGTCTGAGGAATTGCCTATTTTAGGTGAGTGAGCTGAGTTCATTTCAAATGCAATTGTGAATGTTAATTACTTGTATAGTTTGTTAATGGTTTATTCATTTTTTTTCCATTTTGATGAGTGCAAGCATTCAATCCCAGAAACATTTTGGAAACGATTGATAATAAAAAAAAGTAAAAGTGAAATATTCATGTGGCTATTCTGATGTACAACTCTCCTATACATCCCTGAAGGAGGCTCAATATGATACAAACTTGTGTTAAGTAAACAGTCATAAACCATTGTTAATGAAAATCGCAGTCCTCCTATCACAATCACTTAGCGAGTAAGGAGATTTTCATCAACCTTGGTGTTGACAGATGATGTTGTGGAGTAGGCATCAGAGGTAAGCCTGATCCTGTACTTGTTGAACATTCCAGTTGCGTGGGTTATTGAGTAGCAAGAACTGTGGCTGATTTTTTTTCTGTGGAGTGTGCATGGTGGGGGTTAGATTTTTACTAAAAATCTGAATTGTTAGTCTTTTTATTGCCTCCTCTGTTGAGATCAAATGAAGGAACTTCTTATTTTGGAAGGTTTCCATTCCTCAGTTTGTCTGCCTTTAGCACTTTGGGAACCATGAAATAACGTTTCTATTTTTGTATTGCCTTGATTTTAGAAATATCCAAATAAAACTGAAATTCCATTCACCTTTAGTTAAGTATATAATCAACCGTGCATGTTATTTACGTATACTTAAAAGGACTATGTTTACACAGGGGACAGTTTGCAAGAGACTCGTTCTCCCATCCCTCTCAAACCCACATTGGTAAAATCGATGTCCTCTCGAAGAGGCCTCATCCCTACGAAACCTGTACCTCCCATTCCCAGAGGCACAAGTCCAATGGTTGAAGCAGAAATAGCTATATTTGGTAACAGGAAGGGAACGAGCAAACCAGATTCAGAGCAGATTTGGGAGGAAGATGGGGGAAAGAAGATAGATGATAATCTCAAATTAGACCTTTCTTCCTTGGACTACAAAGAGGACGAAGCAGATCATGAAGAGGTGAGTGTGTATATTTTCACACTGTTTGTTCAGTTACTTTGTAAACATAAAATGCGTGTGGAAGCAAATAGTTATATTGGACTGATTAATTTTCTGCTGAAATTTGCAGTGCCTCCAAGCTGTTGATGAAACTGGTAAATTCTTTGTTACTTAAACCATTATTCATGCTTAGCTATTTGTTGCAGATGATGATTTCGCTGAAGTCTTTGCGAAATAGTGCTGCAAAGAAGAGAGCTAAATTGAGCAGCAGCACATCTGATATCGAAAGCCCAGACTCTGACCTTAAACTTGAGCTGGGCGTGGATTCCACCTCGCGCACTTCATCGCCTTACACAAGCACTTACACCGAGAGTGGCGTTTACAGTCAGGAGTCACTGACTTCTCCTTTCCCTTGTGACAAAAAGATAACGTGAGTGTTAAAATACTAAGATTGCCAATTTATTGTACCTCGGTTAACCAATGAGGTGGACGATAGATGTGGGATATAAAGCAATGGCAGTGTATAATTAGACATTTATTGGTTCCTTCATGGGTAAGCAATTGCTAGAGCTACTAATTCATGGTTACTAGAGATTGACTTAGACCAAGAATTACCATTAATCCAAAAGCATCTCTGCACCACCGAACACACTCTTGATTTATTAGTTTTCCTGAAAGTCAACATAACATTTTCTGGCAAGTCTACTTTGAAATCAGTGGTAATTGCACTGCCCCTCAGAGCAAGTATGGTTTAGCACTGGATTTTTTTTTATATATGATTTACTGATGGTTAATTAAAGTATTCAGCCAAGACGTGTTTACCCATGAACTGGATTTGTACTTGGAATATATCTTTGTGTGTATGGCGTATAATAAGTATTTGCATTGTTTTGAACCTGACACATGTCCAAATAACACATCGATTCTTTTATTATTCTATCAATAGGTCTGATAGTTCTTCTCGATTAGGATCCAAACAGCGTCTTGGGGGAGTGCCGTCAGGAAAAGCCAGGCTACCAGCTTCAGTGGAAAACAGCTCGGTCTCAGGTACAAATTTTCTTTTTTTATTTGCTTGTTAAATAGGCGAGTGAAACAGGTTATGCAACTCGAGTTTACAGATTTACAGTATCACTGCACCGCTGGGTACTCAGTGCAGCAAGCTCACTTGCTTAAATCTTATGGTTGGCTGACTTGTGGGAAAATAACATGTGTTCATTTCCATAAATCTTCTCTTTCAAAACTGCTTTATGGCTTCTCTGCATGTGTATAAAATATCCTCTGCTTTTAATACAAGTCCGAGAAGAAGCATTCCACTGAAACCTGCTACTTCTAGCAGCACTGTGGTGTCTCATCCTGCCATAGAGTGCTAGATCCTTTGTGTTTCTTTTTCCATAGTTCTCCATATGGTAAGTTATTGATGTGGGCTATGAGTAAAAGGGGGTGGCAGAAGCCAGGCACTTCCTTCCAGCAGAGAGCAGAAGGTGTAGGCTGCTGTGCCACAAGATGCCAAGAGATTAGTTCATGTAGCGTTGACAGAAGATTAGAACAAGGTCTCAAGGTCATGGGATAGTGCATGCAGTTGTGGGAGTGTTTTTTTTTTAAAAAAGCGAGTAAATAGCTTAATAAAAACATACTTGCGTTAATAGTTCATATTTTCTTTAAACAGGAGTAACGTTGCGTGACAAAGCAACTTCGGATGTAAGCATTATTGGCCAGCGCATGAGCTATAGGAATGGAATACTAGATTCTGAAGAAGATAAGCGGATTGAAGTATCTTCTTTAGGTTCTAAATTTCATTCCAAAGAACAGCAAAAAACTCTAACAAGCAATAAAGCTGTGAGAGGTTAGTACAGTTTCTACAGCAAGATAGTTCTCTTATGTCTCCAGACCTGTATCATCTCATCTGCATTATTAATAAGGATAATTAAATATTATCTTGTTTCATGTTGTCAGCTATATATGGAACAAGTTACCTTTACTTTGTTTAAGGGCTCATTAAATGGGTTTTTGACAATGAATTAAACTCTTTATACATGATTATGAAAATAAAAAAGTGGACTCCTTTGTTCCACTGGGATGAACTCGGCTGAATTTGCAATATTAAATTGAGTATAGAACATGTACGTTTCAATGTGTAAATAACTATTCGTCAGCTTATTTCATGATAAAACATTATTCTTCAATATTTCAAATTCCAAACTCCATATCAAATTAATATTGTGAATTCATTAAAGATGTTTTGAATTCTACAAGGTTATCTTTTGATTGGAATTTGCACAATGAGGGCCTATCTCGTAGTAGTCTGCATTTTCTTTTTCTCTACAATACATTCAGACACCTTTGGGACAATTTGTTCTTGAGTAAATTACTTTTGTGTATCTAGAGAAGACATAATGTACATTTGGATTGTAAAATTGTCTTCAACTTATTTGATAATGCACATCAGGTTTGTTCCGAATATTATTTGGCTTCATGAATAACAATTTAAGCAAGAATCCAAATCTTGTGTCTGTATAATATATAAAATGTATGAAAAAAATTGATAGACGTTGTGCTTTGTTGGATTTATTGGCAGAGGATATCTTGAATTAATTAATAATGCAACAGCTTCAGATTACATTTGTGATACATAATATTACCAGTACAACGTGAACCTTTTTTTTGGTAATTGGCACTTGGAAAATTGCTTTTAGAGGGTCAATATTCAGAGCAAATTAATGTGGGTTTGACACCTCACTTAGAGTACCAAAAAGTGTTGGATTTGATTGCAGATTTGAACAAATTCGATGCATTTTTCTACTGGATGATGGAAATAGTCTTTGTAGTATGGGCCAGTATTCTTCAGATTGTGATTAGCAAAGAAAACCTTCTTCCTGATGCTTTTAATGCCTCCTATGCCTCTGTGGCCCAATTTTTAGGTAATTTAGGTAATTAACTTGATCTGTTGCTTCTCTTTAAAGAAATATTTTTCTGAGTAAAATAGGGAGGGATTTTATGTTTGGTGTTTAAGAAATATTGCAGTTTAATTGTGAAACTAGTATTTAAACAAGTTGATATCTTTATTAGGACTGACTGGGTCTACCATCAGTATGCAGCAAATGAACAGCCATGACGTTACTTCAGGATCAGAAGACTCTGTTGTTATTGTAGGAAAAGGTAGGTTTATTGAGCAGCTTTTCTCTTTTAACCCCACAGCCTTTTGTTTTCTATAGAATAAACCAAGGAGAATCCTAAACCTTTACAGACATTAGCTTTTCTACATTCTGTCAACAACAACAACTTGCATTTATATAGCACCTTTCATGCTGGGTAACATCCCACAGTGCTTGACAGTGGTGGAGTCTGACGCCGAGCTTAGGAGGAGAGGGAGGTGGGAGGTGACCGTAAGCATGATCCAATATTTTGATTTGAGACATCCTCCTGATGTGAAAGGCTCTATATGAATGTAAATTGCAGAGATGGTGACATTCTGTGAAAATTCTTTCTCAACTCATTCTTTTCTAATACATTTTTGAGTTGGGTTCTCGAGTTCAAACAAGTTTCAAATGCTGAAGTAAATGTCAGTTATCTTCTTACCAATTAATTTTATATTTTGCAAGGAGTCTTTGGAAGCGCCCTGATGGCTCCATTAACTTGCAGTCAAGCCACGATCTCCGCTCTTGATAATGAAGATGATATCTCTAGCCCAAGGCACAAGATTGAGCCTCCTTCAGGAATCTATGGGAGAGGTGTACATCAGAATAGCCACACGAGCATTGTCACTAGCGAGAGTGAGAGAGAGGTAACTGTTACAATAAATTTGATAGCTCCAGTGTGATGATCAGAAAGTATAACCAGAATAGTGTGAAATAGTAAATCAAAAGTCTTCATAGTGTGAAATAGTAAATCAAGTTTGGTCATGCATAGCGGTATCCTAGGTTTAAATAGTAATTTTGTAAAATCATTTTGCCATGAAAGAATGTATACAATAAGGTCTTAAACCTGGCATTTATTGAATGGATTTGTTGCTTTAATTGTGACTTCTAGTTTCTCTGGTGTTGACTTAGCAGTAGCTTTTTAATCTGGCCCTCATCTTCACTGAATTTGGATAATGGTAACTCCAGATTGTGATCAGAAACTATACCCAATCTTAACTGCAGTTAGAAGTGCCTTATGTAACTATTAATGGTTAAACCAAATAATAATAATTATTGCAATAGATATAATGCCTTGTCACATTTAAGCATCAAAATTTCTTAACACAATGGGTTACTTTGAAGAATAGTGATTTAATAGAGGCAAATTCAACTCGACTGCAAGAGCAACACCCTATAAACATCAGTTTTGTTTTTCATTATTATAAAATGCACAATGACTTGCATGACAACAGAATTATTACATTTGTGAATGAAAATTGGATAAGCAGTCAACATATCAGGTAGTTATGACGCACTTACCATGAGTCACTTGTTTGATTCATTACAGTTCTAAAGTTTCTTTTGAGAGGGGGAAATGGAATGTGCTGTTTTAAAACAATTAAGAATTGCTGATCGACCGTGAGTGGTGTGTGTAGTGGTAATCTATCTGTTATTGGATTACAAGCCATTGTATCCATTGAAGTGGCATATTATTGTGCTTTGCAAAAGATCTGCATGTCAAAATCCGCTCGGGATAAGACGAAGCAAAGGAAACGTGAAGGAAATGAACATCCAGCTGAGCAGGGAGATCAAGAATATAAAGATCATGAAAACAGAGAAGAGCATTTACGCCTAAAGAATATGGAACCAAATAAAATGGGAACTGAAAGTAAGCTCAATTAGTTTTGTGAATTTAATAACGACCGCTTTAGTTGCTTGTTCTTTTGTGATTTTCGTCGCTTGAACTGTATAATTAAATCAGTTTATTCCTTTACGATTTCAGCACATGCTCAATAATACCAAATGTCTAACATTATTATCTTCAAAATAAGAGAAGGAAAAGAAAAAAATGCATGAGATTACTTATTAAATCAGCACAGGTAGTGGAACAAGAAACTTGTAAGGATTTCAAAGTGGAACTTACAGTCTTGTCTAAAATGATTTGTGATTATTATGGCCAAATGTATCTTTCACCTTTTTTATGGTGATGTTGGACCCTCTGATTACATGATAGGACAACAACAGGAGTCTAGTTATTTGGGTCTTTGCAGTATGACCACAATTGATCTTGTTGTTGACTTCTGATTGGAATAATGATTGACATTTTTTAGAACTATTTCCACATTGTTAGTAAACATACCCACAGTTTTATTGCATGTATTTAATAATTACTGGTAAACTTGTTCCTGATGCATAGAGTGGTCTTTTCTTGTTCCATGCTTTTGTCTTTGATCTAGGCCTGAGTATCAGTGGTGATGTTCTTCTGAAAAATGACTATTCACCTGGAGAAACCAGCCATCTCAGTCCAACACACCTCAAACGAACGAGTAGTATAAGAAAGAATCGGACACCCAACTCTCCAAATTCTGGTAAGGATCAGTTCTTAATGGAACGGAAAGGAAAGTACCATTTGATGGAAAGCAAAACCTCCAGCCAAATGCATTTTGCAGAAATAATATTGTGCTTCTGGGCAGAGGAATAAGTATTCTTTTTTTGCTCCCACAGGAGAGAACTCACCACTCTCTAGAGTAACAATGCGCAAAGATCAAATGCCTTCCATCGCACATAGCCCAGATGTTGTAGATCCTGATGAGTTGAGGCCTTTCTCCAAACCAGAAGTTGCACTTTCTGAAGCTCTTAAACAGTTGGCTGACGACGATTGGTAAGTGTTTTTTAATGTGCATATTATATTATATATATATATAAATATTGCATTGTATATTGTTGCTATGTGACCTATGCAAGATATGTCAATTTGTTAAGGAGCAAAAAGCAGCTGAATAAATAAATGAATGTGTGCTCCAACAGTGTTTGCTCCAATAGGGGAACTGTGATATTGTTCATTTTATGATATTAATTTGGGGTGTTTTTTCTTGTAATATAAATAATACTCCTTGCACTTGATATAGTGTCCTATGTTGAACTAAAGTACATTAAATTATATCATGGAGTCCAGCATTACGGATGATAGTTTTCTGGTATTATTATGTTTAACTCCATATATTACCATGGCTTCTGGTATGTTTTTGCAGGGAGAAGAAAATCGAAGGCCTAAATTGTTTTCGAAGTCTTTGCACTTACCATCCAGATGCGATAATCGCAAGACTGCATGAGACTGTCTTTGCTGCTGTTCAAGAGGTTGTTTTAAGATTTTATACAATTCTATTCCATCACTTTCGATGTTGTAAAAATATTAAACACATTTAGGCAGATGCAGTAAAATGATGCCTTATTTTTTCCACGTGTTGTGTTTTGAGAATGAACGATGCTCTAATAGCTACTGTATATATTGTATCATCATAGGTGAAAAATCTACGCTCTGGTGTTTCAAGAGTTGCAATACTCGGTGTAGCAGACATGTTTACAACCTTGAAAAAGAATATGGATCAAGAGTTGGATAATACTGTTAGAACCCTCTTGCACAAAGCTGGTGAATCTAGTATCTTCATACGAGAGGATGTGGATAAAGCACTAAATGCAATGATTGTCAATGTTACCCCAGCCCGAGCACTTTCATCTTTAATTAGTGGTGGATTGAAGTAAATATAACTTTCCTATTTTCCTGTATACTGGATAGTTAACAATGTTACAAAAGCAGCCACGTTGAAACATTCTATAATTTTCTTTTTAAAAAAATACCTTGGTGTCCAGTTCTTTTAGCATTTTCTTTTTTCTGTTCACTGTGACCTTGTGAGTTTTGAGTTTTAAAACTATTTTTTGATGGGAAATCACACCAGTTACTGCTGTGACTGACTGGGAATATTTTAGATTGTGTAAGGGTTCCTATGTGTGTAGACCACTTGCGTAGAACAATAATAGATTGAATGGAGAGCTGAGAAATGGGCGTGTTGATAGCCGCTTGTTCAAAAATTGAAGATGACCTTGTCTGGTCATGTGGTACTATTTATTTTAAAACAAATCTTTAAAGGCAGGTATTCCAGTTGGGTAACTTACCTGAGAATTAATTTAGATTGCTACACCAATTCATCTTTCTCTTTTAACGCATCTAACCATATTTTCACTGCTTTTATGCAGCCACCTTAATCCAGTGGTTAGAAAATGTGCAGCATTGCATCTTTCGAATTTATTGGAGAGAATGGAACCGAGTCGACTCTTACCTGGTATTAAAGATGTCACCGATCGAATTATACCTGCAGTGGCAAAGTTTGTACAGGATGTGTCCCCAGAAACTAGGCAAGTAGTTGTCTTCAAAACAACCCACATTTATATGTCTTGTGCTACAAACCAAAGAATCTAGTGTTGCTCAAGATACCTTTCCAACATCAGTGGAAAAAGGTAGACGGGTTGTATTCCTCAGAGCAGAGGAGGTTAAGGGGGATTTGATTGAAGTATTTAAAATAATGAAAGGAATTGACAAGTTAGATTGTGGACAACTTTTTCCTGTTAGAAGGATCCATTGCAAAAACAACAACAAATTGCATTTATGGAGCACCTTTCATGTTGGGAGGACGTCAAGGGGTCATAACTTTAAAATCAAACCGTTAGAACTGAAGCCAGGAAGCATTTCTTCACATAGAAGGTTGTGAAGATGTAGAATGCTCTGTCCTAGAAAGTGTAGAGGTGAAATGAATAGGGATGTTTGAAAGAGGGAGCGACCGATACATGGGTAGTAAAAGCGTTAAGGGTCCAGGCATTGGGATTAAAAGCTTTTTCCGGGATCTAATACACAGGTGGAACAGACTGAATGGGCTGAATAGCCTTCTCTTGTTCCTGGTTTCCTATATTCCTATGATTGCAGTATACTCCTGAATATTTGGATGTGATTGAGTAATTTCCATATTACAGATATTATGGACGTAAGATGCTGTTTCTTATGATGTCATCCCACCACGACTTCGACAAAGTCCTTGAAAAACACTTGACGCCTAAGGATTTACCTTGCATTCGAGATACTGTTAGTAATCTACAGCAAAAGGTATATGCGAGTCATAATTCTAGATTTCCAGTACTCAAGCTTGTTTATATTGATGTTAAAAATCTTTTAATCTCTTTAATCGAATCAAAAATCTTTTAATCGAATTCAAGATCCTCATCCTCACCTACAAGGCCATTCACGGCCTCGCTCCCTCCTACCTCTGTGACCTACTATCCCCCTACTTACCTGCCTGTACCCTCCGTTCCTCTGCCTCCGGTCTGCTCCACATCCCCCGCCCCAACCGCCCTACCATGGGTGGCCGGGTCTTCAGCCTCTCAGCCCCGAGGCTCTGGAGCTCTATCCCCCAGTGCCTTCGCCGCCTCCTCCCTTTCCTCCTTCAAGGCCGGTCTCAAGACCTTTCTCTTTGACCGTGCCTTCAGCTCCCCTCTCGGCTCTCTACCCCCTCCTTGCTCCCTCCCCTCACGCTGCTCGGGTCCTGACCCAACTGTCCAGCGCCTTGGGACGTCCTCCCGACGTGAAAGGCGCTCTATAAATTAAATCTTGTTGTTGTAATCTCATGAAAGCAATGAAATTACCATTACCGTTGATGTTTCAATCAATACAGTTGTGTTGTGTCTCTTTGTAAGGGCCTTGGAGAAATGCCTTTGGACACCCCTTCAGCGAAGGGCCGGCGTTCTCATCCTAGTAGTGGAGGGAGCTTTCGAGCTTCCGCTAGCTCGAGGGAAGTACATAGTTTGACAGGAAGGTATGATCATTATCCACAGTTTATCTCTGAAACAAGAATATCACGATGTATTGGCTGAATTTGCACGTTTCATATTCATTTGGTGTGGTTATGATCTGAACATAACAAGGATTGAACACGTAAACAGAATCTATAACCAACAGTGCTTGATGTTCAGGGGAATGATACTACACCTGATGATCTTAAAATGTTAATCAATTGTTTACTATGTTCCATTCAAGAGCCACTGTTCATCAATAATTCTTCCATTTAATATTGTTTCAACATCGTTGAAACATCTCAATGTGTTTCACAGAGTTTTACTATAGTGTGTATTGACTGTGTTTTTGTATTTGTCTGCAGACAAGACTGCCACAAGAAAATTAAATGAACCCTTAAAAAAAATTAAATATGTAAATGTACAAACAAATATAACCCTGTCAAACAGAAATGTTAAAAAGGTTAAAAACATTTTTTCAGTATATTTCTGACGTTTGTAGTCATTTTAGTGTTTCATGTTACCAGTATCGTGACATTGTAATTTATAATAGGGATACAGCAGAAGGAGTAATCAATTTACGAGACTATACATGGAAACCAACACAACGGAACTTGATAGAAAATGCAGAATATATCAAGGACATTACAAACTTGCTGGGTGCAAAGGATTTTCGTGATCGTAGCCGAGGGATTGAGCAACTCGTAACAAATTGTCAAAACAATCAGGACCTTGTTATAACAAATATTGTTAAGGTAATTCAGAAATGTCCATTTAAACGCTTAATGGAATCTTAAAATGTGCAATTGTTCACGAATTATAGAACTCTGCAGATGGTTTCTTAAACATTAGGCAAAACCTTTAAAAGTGATTATAGTAGGAGAAGAGGAAATCTTGTTCACAATAGTTGGTTTCTTTGAGGTTTTTAACTTCATTTCACTACATTTTAATTGATAGTTTTAAAAACCAAAGGGGTTGTTTCATTTTCAAAGTACCTTTTTGTTGATTTTTGTCCCATTTTTCGATCCTAATTCCATAATCATTCAGCAAAGTTGATCTGCAAATTAAGATCTGAAGTATTTCAATCTATTTTTCTGATTTGAAACATGCCTTGGCCAAACTCACAGTGGACCTCACGTATAAGGGCAAAATAGTCCATTCTATCAAATGTACTTAGTAATCCTTTCATTTGATACAGCATTTTATCTCATTATTAGAACTTCTCAAAGTGCTTCATAAAATTTATTGTGAAATGTAGTGACTGTTTCGGCACGCAAGTGCATCAACCAATCTACGCATAGCAGTGTCCAGCACACAGCCTTCAATAACTCATTCTATTTTGGGGATTAATACAGGATAACAAGCAGAAAACTTCCATTCCCCCACTACTGCCAAAATATAGTCATTTAAAATGCTGCATTATGTTCTGTTATTTCAAGTGACGTTTTAATTATCCCCCTCTCCCCACCAGATTTTTGATGCTTTCAGACCTCGATTACATGACTTCAACAGCAAAGTGAATCAAATGGCATTAGAAGCAATGCGGAAGATAATTCCACTGTTGAAAGAAAATCTAGGTCAAGTTTTGAATATAGTTGTGCCTGCCATTGTAGACAACAATCTAAATTCCAAGAATCCCGGGATATATAATGCTGCCATTAGTGTTGTTCAGACCCTCATTCATCATATAGGTAAGTAGAGGTGAACTGAAATAGTAATTAGGTCACCAATCTAAAAATTGATGTAGTTGCTAAAAATCGATTGAATTGCTTTGTAGTATTTACAACAAACTTGCAGATCTAGAAGTAGAGGGGCTATTTTCAAAGCTCATGGCATTTTTCTTAATCTGTTCAAAAAAAATCTTCAAAATGCTGAAACATGCAAAGCAAAATGTACAATATTGTCATTTTCTAAGTAAACTTGGTGTTTATTTTGTAAATGTATCTTAATAGGCTATTTTGTTTTACAGATAATTCATTACTACTACAGCTTTTCTGCAACAAGGCACTGTTCCTGAATGGAAAAGCAAAGCAGGATATGACCGAGAAATTGGCAGGTCAGGCAAATTTGTTACCTTTGATATTTTAACAATAAACATTACTTTGAAGTAATACTCAGATGGTGATTAAATCTGATGTCCGATTAGATTGATAATCTTGTATTTTGTTTGCCCACCTTTGGAGATCAAATAAATATTTTGCAGCAATTTCCTCGAGGTTAAAATCCATGTGAGGTAGATGATACAGAGTCTCTAAAGTAACTGCTTGTTTGGTCTAATGGTCATTTTTCATGTCGTGCTTTCTTGTATTTTCATGGTCTTGATGTCAGCCATACTTCTAAGGATTCTACATTCTGGTGGAGGTTTGCTTTGTACGCATTCTAGTGGCTGGTTTCAGAGCATCAATAGTGGAGACTTGGGAAGCTGTTAATTTTTCACTGAAGGCAATAAGTTAACTTGCAAATTGCTTATCTGAATTAAAGAAATTATATTGAGTAGTTTATAGCTTTAGGAAATCAATAAGCACTAAGACAAAAGCTTTCTGTATTTCAGATATTGTACCTGAGCTGTACACACGGAAGCCTCAGGTTGTTGAGCAAAAGGTATTGCCCGTTTTGTGGCATCTTCTGGGGAACATGACGAACAGCGGCTCAATTCCTGGAAGCGGAGGAAACATCCGCGTGGCTGCAGTTAAATTGGCAAACGTTCTCTTTGCAGCAATGGGTCAAAACTTAATCGATCAAGCCTCAAATCAACAACAAAACATCGGAAAGACTTTACAAGATCTGCTAGACTACAATCCCTAAACCGAGAAAGCGCATCTTTCAGTGTTAACTTGTTGAAAATGAGCGGAGGGGGGAAACCAGTGTGATTTCATAGTGCCTGCATTTTTTTGTACGTCAGATTGAAGATCAGGACAAATCAGTGCTGTTTGCATACCACATATGCTCCATGCCACAATCAGATTTTAATTGCTATAGACATCCTGGTTTATCAGCAACATTTACACAAAAATCACTCAGCTATTTTGCACTCTTGTACAATAGAATCTATCGTACACAATCGGGTGTATCAATGTATGGAAAATTGTCTTTGTAAAATGTGTGGTGCATATCAAATATATATCTATTTTGTTTGCAATCAAGTGTATAGTGTTTCCTAATATACCCACCTGTCTTATTTGATGCTGAATCTCCATATGATGGTGGGGAAATGGTGGATTATCTTCGTAGCCGGAATCAATGTTGAATATTAGTCCCCAGTGGTTGAGAATAAAAAGTGTTTTATCGCTCTGATTGTGTGTTGTACAGTATTACCGTTGCTCCTGCTGCTGATTGTAAATTATTATTGGTTTGACTGCAGAGTATAAAGTCCTACTCCTTGTAATGCATCTAGAAATGGCTAGTATATAACACGGCATGACCAAAATCCTGACATAAAAATATTTTTGTTACAGATTCTAATGTATAGAGTTGCATAAGACATTCTTGATATAACAGAACACATATATTCCATATTTTTGTGTGAACACTAAAATAATCTTGCTTTTAAACTACATTTTATGGAACTAATTACACTACAATACATTTGTGTAATTTCAATTGTTGACCATAGTGCCAGCTGCACTTTAGCATTTCATATAACTTCACAAGTAAAAGTAAATTTTAGACAAAATGTGGAATGTTTAAAAGAAGTAAATAAATGATTTTATTTCTTTAAATGTTTTCTGTGTCTCATTCTTCCAAGGAACATAATAGTCTGGTTATTTAGTGGAGTATTGCAGTTTAAAAAATTTAAATAATATGCCAAAGTATGCCTAACTTTGACACTATTTCCTAATAATTTTCTACAGTTACTAATAAAGGAGCATTAAATTAATACTTCTTTTACACTGTTAATTATGTTTGTCAATTGTGAATTAATGCTAAATTAGGGAAGAGATAATAATCCGTGCATTTGGTATAGTGCCTTATCAGGTCATTGAGTTATCTCCGAAGTGCTTCACGGAATATACAGTGAACTGACTGTATATTTTGTGGGATCGAAGTGACTTCTACATTATATCAGTTCAACAACAACAAGATTACGTTTGTATAGCGCCTTTCACCTCGGAAGGACGTCCCAAGGCGTTGGACAGTGTACAGCATTTCAGACCCGAGCTGGGGTTGGGGAAGGGGGTTGGGCGATGAGGAAGGGTCTTGAAGCGGGACTTGGAGGCTAAGGAGGGGGAGAGGCAGAGTGACTGGGGGATGGTATTCCAGAGGTTGGGGGCAGAGTGGCTGAAGGCTCTCCCGCCAATGGTGGGGCGGGTGGGCTGGGGAACGTGGAGCAGCCAGAGCCGGCTGAGCGGAGGGAACGGACGGGTTGGTAAGAGGGTTAGGAGGTCGCAGAGGTAGGGTGGGGCGAGGCCATGGAGGGCTTTGTATGTGAGGACCAGGATCTTGAACTGGATCCTCTGAAGGATAGGGAGCCAATGGAGTTGGGCGAGAATGGGGGAGATGGGGTCACAGAGTTTGGTGCGGGAGAGGACACGGGCTGCAGAGTTCTGGATTATCTGCAGCTGTGGAGGGAGGAATTGGGAAGGCCGACAAGCAGGACGTTTGCATAGTCGAGCCTGGAGTTCAGCCCCTGAACAAAGACTATTTCCCCTCCAATTCCCCAAATGTACTTCATGGGACATTGCAAGGCATCCGCCGTTCCCCCAATATCTCTCCGCGCGCAGAAAGCTTTCGACGACGGAGCAGAGAGCCGCGGCCGCAGTGCGGACAGTGCACCGGGCGGCGCTCTCAAGCCGAGGGAGTCGTCATCGTTCACGGGTGAGCCTCCTCAAGCCACGGCTACGATGCCTTCATTTTGCTGCTGGACGTCGCGGCAACATTGTGTGCCAGGGCTGGGGGGCGGGAGATCAGAACCGTAGGATATGACAGCGCAGAGGGCCCGGCGGCTGTTCGGCCCATCGTGCCTGCGCCGGCCCCTTCGGAAGAGCTTCCCGACCAATCCCCCGCTCTTTCCCCTCCAGTTCCCTATTGAAAGTTCTTATTGAACCTGTTCCCACCGCCCGAACGGTACCTCCATAACAACCCTCTTACACCAGGGAGTGGTTTGTTGTGGGGAATGGGAGGGGGGGGCGGGAGAGAGGGGGGGGAGAGAGAGGGGGGAGAGAGAGGGGGGGTGGGGGGGAGAGAGAGGGGGGGAGAGAGAGGGGGGGGTGGGGGGAGAGAGAGGGGGTGTGGGGGAGAGAGAGGGGGGGAGAGAGAGGGGGGGAGAGAGAGGGGGAGGTGGGGGGGAGAGAGAGGGGGGAGAGAGAGGAGGGATGGGGGAGAGAGAGGGGGGGTGGGGGGGGTTGGGTTGGGGGGAGAGAGAGGGGGGGGTGGTGGGGTTGGGTTGGGGGGGAGAGAGGGGGGGGTGGGGGAGAGAGGGGGGGGAGAGAGAGGGGGGGAGAGAGGGGGGGGTGGGGGGGAGAGAGAGGGGGGGAGAGAGGGGGGGGGAGAGGGGGGGGTGGGGGGGGAGAGGAGGGGGGGGGTGGGGGGGGGAGAGAGAGGGGGGGAGAGAGAGGGGGGGGTGGGGGGAGAGAGAAGGGGGGAGAGAGGGGGGTGGGGGGGGGGGGGGAGAGAGAGGGAGTGCTTGTCCCGAGTTCTTTTGTTCTCTGGGGCTGCGGTGTGTGTGTGTGTGTGTGGCGCCCTCTGGCGGCGCCTGTGGCCGCGTTTAACACGTCTCCAATGGGGGGGGTGTTGGTGCTGAGCGTAAGAGTGCGCCTGCGCGGCGGGTGCTGCGCGTGCGGGGAGTGGGGGGGGGGGGCGGGTCAGTGACGTGCGCCTGCGCGGCCCGAGCGAGTTGAAGAAAGTGAAAGCGCGGAGGAGGGGAGAGAGAGAGAGAGAGGGAGAGAGAGGCCGAGCGCGCGAGGCGGCCCCGACCCACAGCCCCTCACCGCCCGCATCATGGAGTCGGAGAGGAGTAAGTGTGAAAGGAAACACGGCCCCACAGTTGGTCCCGGGCCCCGGGCCGGGCGGGACCTGGTGGTAAATGGCGGCCTTTTGTCCGCCGCCCTCCTCCCTCCCTCCCTCCCTCCCCGCATCCACTCACTCACTCACTCACTCACACAGGGCCTCTCGCCCACTCCTCAACCATCCCCGGACTTTCCTGCTCACACCGGGCGGGCGGGCGGCGGGGCGGTGCTTCCAACCAACCAGGCAGCCAGGCCAGCCCCCGGGGCCTGCAGGTTCTGCTGACCCCACCCCGAGTCGGCTGGGGGGTGGGACTGGGGGGGGGATGTCGCCCCCTGTCGGCCTCCTGACCCCCCGCCTGTCGTTGGGTTTGTACAAGTGGTTATTTTGGGGGAGTTGGTGGCAGCTGTGCTCTGAGATATTAAATGACTTCCTCCCCTTTCCTCCTCCCAAGGCCGTGTCTCAAGACCTTTCTCTTCGACCGCGCCTTCAGCTCCCCTCTGGCCTTCAGCTCCCCTCTCTACCCCCTCCTCACTCCCTCCCTTCCCTCCCCTCACCCTGACCATCTCCCCCCTCCTCGCTCCCTCCCTTCCCTCCCCTCACCCTGACCATCTCCCCCCTCCTCGCTCCCTCGCTTCCCTCCCCTCACCATCTCCTCGCTCCCTCCCTCCCCTCACCCTGACCATCTCCTCGCTCCTTCCCTCCCCTCACCCTGACCATCTCCCCCCTCCTCGCTCCCTCCCTCCCTTCCCTCCCCTCACCCTGACCATCTCCCCCCTCCTCGCTCCCTCCCTTCCCTCCCCTCACCATCTCCTCGCTCCCTCCCTCCCTCCCCTCACCCTGACCATCTCCTCGCTCCCTCCCTTCCCTCCCTCACCATCTCCTCGCTCCCTCCTTCCCTCCCCTCACCCTGACCATCTCCTCGCTCCCTCCTTCCCTCCCCTCACCCTGACCATCTCCTCGCTCCCTCCCTTCCCTCCCCTCACCCTGACCATCTCCTCGCTCCCTCCCTCCCCTCACCCTGACCATCTCCCCCCTCCTCGCTCCCTCCCTTCCCTCCCCTCCCCCTGACCATTTCCCCCAGTGCTCGGGTCCCGACCCAACTGTACAGCGCCTCGGGACGTCCTCCCGACGTGAAAGGCGCTCTATAAATGAAATCTTGTTGTTGTTGTTGTTACCCCCATTTCTCCTCCCTCCCGCCCACCAGATTGCTGATGGTGGTTAAAGGACGGCAGCGGACCATTTTAATTGAAATCTTAATATTTGTACAGGATTTTTTTTTAATCTGTCTGATTTATATATAACTCATACTCATCGTGACGTTTGAACTGTTATTGGGTCCAGTGCATACTTCTCCTTACATTTTTGGTTCCGGCTGTATTTAATACTGTAGTTTAAACTGCTGCATAGATCTAAGAACAGTTTTAAATCTCTTATCTAATGCATTTTAAAAATATACATCATCTAATAGCAGTGATTGTGTAATCTGTGCACATATTAATGTTTTTATCTGTCAGCAAGCACCAGCAATTGTTTTTTGGTGGCTTTTTCATCTCGTTCTACGTTAATCCTTGCCGTGGTGAAAATACACATTCTTTGTCTACAAAGAAAAGTCATTATATTTTACATCATCTTTGCAAAGTTATTTGAGCTGCTTTGTATCTTCCTTCTGTTGTATCTTAAAATCACAAATGTGAATCAGAGCAGAAACTTTTACAGCAGTTCATTCAAATATTTTATGGGAGTTGCTGATTCTTTTCTGTCATGTCGACCAGATTGGATTTCTTACTATTTCCTGCTCAGCTAGGAAAATGACACTTGCTTTCAATCTTTAACTTGGCCCTTCGTTCATTAATCCATTGCCCAGAAATGAAAAACAGTACTTGATTTTTCCTAATTTATTTTGATGAGTGAGAGAAGCTGCAAAAACAATGTGCGAAGTATAAGTCAAAATGATAGTTGGAAGAAGGTCTGTTTGGAGTTTTGTAATATTTGTGCGATTTTATTTTAGCCGATGAACTTTTTTTCTTTTCAGACTCAAATCAGACTTTATCAGCACCGAATGATAGACTTAACTCTGTGGACGAAAGTGACTTTGAGAAGCCTGGGTGTGAAAACACTGAAGCCACAGTTAATTCACGTATTAAAGATGCATTGATGCCAAATTCTTCTGATGCAAGTGGAGTCTTTGCTACTGCCGCAGAAATTGGAGTTACTGACACAATTGGAGAAGCCACTGCGGAAACAGGAATAGACTTGATTGAAGCCTCAGCATTGCAAGCGGGATCGCCTGAAGGTTCTGCATCAATGGACACAGAATCTCAACCCGATAACTCGCCAAATGAGAGACTAGCAGAGGATCTAGAGAAAGCAGAACCAGCTGACTTGGAAAATCATTTACCTTCAGAGTATGAAAAGTTTTGGAAAGTGGTTGAAGACAACCCTCAGGACTTCACCGGTTGGACTTACCTGTTACAATACGTAGAACAAGAAGTGAGTAAACCTACTTGTGTGCAGAACTGGAAGGGTTACAAATACTAAAAGGTTCCATGTTTTGCATGAGATTTTAAGCTGAGATCCCATCTGCCTGTTCAGGTAGATTTTTTAAAAAAAAATATCTCATGACATAAAGATCCCATCACCATGTTTCTCCTTGTGTTCCATGTGAGAGTTTGAAATATCACGGACAACTGGAGTGTTGGACGGGGCAGGGAAATTAACAACCAAATATAGGTTTGTGCGAGTAAAATGTTTAAATTAAAATCCTTAAATTGATATTAATAATGGTTCTAAACTGTGCGAATTATTGATGGGTACCTATATGATGAAATAAACAGAATTCTGCTTTTTTTCAGAATCACATCTTGGCAGCCAGAAAAGCTTTTGATAACTTTTTCTCTTACTACCCGTACTGTTATGGTTATTGGAAAAAGTATGCTGATTTCGAGAAGCGCCATGGCAACATGAAGCTGGCAGAAGAGGTGGGTGATTTCTTGTGACTTTGTTTTCATATGTTTTTTTTACAAAAACTTTTTTGTTTTAATTTTTTCTTTAAAACCAGGCCTTGTCTTAGGTTGCTACTGGAAGTCGGGTTCCACTCAGAAAGGCTAAAGCAAAGGTGAAGGATGCGAGAGAAAAGTCTTTGAGAGTTTGATCTTGGCTTTCAGTAGATGTCTTTTTCAAGGTATCTTCCACTTTCACGGATTTTTAGATTTGAAGTAAAACATTTTTCCCCATAGCAGTTTTCAGCTAATGTCTTCTCTCTTTGTTAACAGGTACATTAGTACTACAGTTTGTCGAGCTTTGCAGTGCAAATCACTGTATTACAGTGCAGCTTAACAAGTAGGGCAGGGCTTTCCTGACAGTTTTTATTAGGTGATACAATTTCAATTCAAATTGGGTTTTCCCCGTTTTTATATTTGTTTTATTTTTTTTGCTGAATTTTATTACATTTCTGGTTAGAGGCTGTCAGTGATGTTCTAATGGGTCTGTGCCCTATGGTCTGTACCCCAAGCCTGCCCCTACCTGGTCAGAATGCAGGAACCATCTCACACTCTGAAGATCAAGGCTGTACGCGTGGAGAGCAGAACATTGTGATGTTCTTTCCACCCTCCACAAAATGGTAATGACAGATTATTCAAAACAAATTCCTGATTTTTATCTGCATTTCTGAAAATAAGTTATTGGGAAACAAATTTCCAGTGTACACTCTCTGCTGGAGGTTTCTATAACCAGTGGACTTTAGTTATTATCAGAAAACTTTGTCGCAGGTATACAGACGAGGACTGCAAGCAATACCTCTCAGTGTTGATCTGTGGCTTCACTATATCAGTTTCTTGAAAGAGACCTTGGATAACAGCAATGCAGAGACCGGTGCCAAATTAAAAAGGTAATGATGGGTTGATACTTGCACTTCTATCAGATCAAAGTTTTATTTACATTTTTACCTTTTGATCCTGAATATTCCAACTTTAACTTCAGTAGAGCAGATGAAGTCTTGAGACTTAAGTTATATTCCTGACATAATTTTGTGATTGAGTAAATGTGTCAGCCAGGCACCTTAATTTTACAACATTGATCAAGGAGCTTGTATTGATTTATATTTAAACATAAAACATTATTTTAGGTGAAGTGGTTTCAGAATGAAGCACTTCCTTTCACAGATTTGAGTGTTTTACAGATAGCGGATAACAGAATTGTTTTTAATAGGAATAACAATGGGTGAATTATGCTGAATTTTCTTCTTGATGCATTCACAGTGTGTTTGAGCACTCTGTGTTAGCTGCAGGGACGGACTTCCGCTCAGACAGACTGTGGGAAACGTACATCAATTGGCAAAATGAAAGTGGAAACCTGGTGGAGGTGACTGCAATTTACGATCGGATTCTTGGTATTCCAACCCAGCTTTACAGTCACCATTTCCAAAGGTAAACTACAGCAAACAAGGTGTGGTCACAATCCTTGTTAGGAGTGTTTACTGTTTTTGGAAATAAACTTTTTTCAGAGAGTAAAGATTAAAAAAGAGAAGAAAAAGTAAATACCAAAACTAAACATGGACAGAAAATTAGTTTATACTTTTTCCATTGCAAGGAGGAAATTGCAGTTGAGAGATACAGTCTCACTGTTTTCTGGTGCTATTCCACTTATGTTTGTCGACCATTGTTAAGATTGCTGCTGCTGTTCATTTGTGTTTTTGTAGGGTGAAACCATTCAGAGCTTAATATATTTTCCAACTTTTAAACTATAATTTCCTGACCAATAACAGCTACATAATCTGTATGAAATGTTATTTGCAAGTTGTGCTGAACCACAGAATATACATATATATATTATACAATTTATCACTTAGTAAATTAAAAATTGTAATAGCTTCTTTATTTTTATGCAGAGGTTCTACAGTCCACAAAGGATTAAATGTGAAATTCTCAATAAACTGAATCTTTGGGGTAGGAAAATTCCTGTAGTGCATTTAACATTTTGTATTATATAAACTGGAATTTTCTTTCCTATAACTGTCTGGTAATAAAGGCTCTGAACTGCTATTTTATGATGTGTGAATGATTGCTGTTTTTCAGGTTCAAAGACCATGTTCAAAATCATTTACCTAAAGATATAATCTGCACTGAGGATTTCATGAAACTACGCAGAGAACTAGTAGTCAAAAATAGCCACTTTGACAATGATGGACCTCCAGGGGATGACGTGGAACCTGGAATTGATTTAAATGATCCTGCACAGGTACACTATTTGTATAAAATTACTATTTACAACCTTTGAGTAAGTAGTTTGAGATCTTTTGCTCCTATTGATTCAGTCTATTTTTTTTGTCTTGGGGCAATATCATATTTGTTATTCTCTTTTGATTTTGGCGAGTTTGACTTGCTTTGCTTGTCTCTTTTCCAATAGTGGGGAGGAAAAAAAAATACCTGTATGTTCTTTGCCTTTTCAGATTGTTTCTGAAATCGAGAACATGCGTCACCGAATAATCGAAATTCGCCAGGAGACGCATAATCACAATGAGAATGAGGTTAGCAGGCGATGGACATTTGAGGAAGGGGTAAGTAAGAGGCCAAAAATGCACCTGAATTTTAATGTAAATTAAATTTAATAGAAGTATTAAGACAGCTGTAAATTTACAAAGAAAAGTATAAAGAGTACTTTGTGCCCATTGTCAAGAATACCTAATCTATAAAATTAGGTGAGCTAATATTCATAACCGCTATACAATTATTTGTAAATAACGACTGACTGTCAAAACACTACTAGGAATAACCAGCTAATCATCTGTTTCAAATTTCCATGTGTTTTAATCGTCAACAACTGATAGCGCTCAGTTATGTTGCATATTAGGTATTGTGAAATCAGTGGGAGAGGTGTTGAATGCCACTGAATCTGACTACGCCATTTGCAAGTATTTATAGTGCAGAAATGCTTTGGCTGTTTTTAGTGTGATACTTAGCAAAGCCTGTAAAACCTGTTACATTGCAAAGTCTAAATTATGTATCCAGAATGTTATTGCAATTGCGAGAAATATTTATGAATGTTTTTTACATTTCTAAATGTGTAAATAATTGTAATAATAAGTTCACAATTTGATCTCTAAGCAAATTTGTCTTTTATCCTAGATTAAACGACCTTACTTCCATGTCAAGCCATTGGAAAAAGCACAGCTAAAAAACTGGAAAGATTATCTTGATTTTGAGATAGAAAATGGAACCCTTGAGCGTGTGGTTGTTCTGTTTGAGAGATGTCTTGTGGCCTGTGCCCTTTATGAAGACTTCTGGATAAAGGTTTGGTGGCGCTTTGTGGATAGAAAATACTTCAAAATATTGCAGAATTATTATTTTTTGGGGGGAGGGTTAAGCAAATACAGATCAAAACTTTGAATCTGTAAATCGATTAATATCTTTCCTGAGGTTCTGTTTGTTTGTAATGTCTGGGAATACTAAAGTCAGAAGTCCCCATGTATATAATTTAAGTTTTCTGATCTCAGCTGTAGTTAATGTAGTGGCTGTACTATTGATCTTTTATTTTGTCAGCTGAGTGTCACTTGCAGAAACCCATCACTAAGCTTAAGAGTATCCAAACCAGACTTGAATTCTGCATATGTATGCCACTTACAAGTGGGAATTTCCCCGTGTGCAATGGAATATGCACTCTCTCTGGATGGAAGCAACCCTACTTAGTACTAAATGCAGGTTGGCAAGAGCCGGGGCTTGGCTGTGAGTGTGCCTCACCATTGATCTGCGCTTGCAGGTCTTGTTTAAGGAGGATAATATAGGTGGAACTCTTGGTTGTTATGCAGTGACCCTAGCTAGCTGTAACAAATTAGTTGTTGAAAAATATTGATCTGTAACATATTTGCCAGTGTGAGTCACAAGCTATTTTCTTTCAGTATGCAAAGTACATGGAAAACCACAGTAATGAAGGTGTGCGGCATGTTTATAGCAGAGCCTGCACAGTTCACCTCTGCAAGAAACCCATGGTACATTTACTTTGGGCAGCTTTTGAGGAACAACAAGGTGAGTTGTAAAATCCACTAAGTCTGCACATTTGTTGCTTAATTCTGACGACTGCATTACAAGTCTCTGCTCCAGCACAAGTCTCTAGTGTTGCACTGAGATTATCAACAGTAATTCAATTGTGTAACCAAGGCAGATTAGTTCTATGGAAACAGTGGTTGAGACAATGTTCTAAAAAGCTCCTCTTGAGTAGAATGCTGTATGAATAATGAGGATATTGCCCGTCAAATAATAAGGACATATAAAGTACATTGAAAACATGAGATGTTTTAATTATGTGATTGTTGTTTGAAGGGAACATCAATGAAGCAAGAAGAATTCTCAGATCATTGGAAGAATCTGTGCCAGGTTTGGCCATGGTCCGCTTAAGGCGGGTGAGCTTAGAGCGTCGTCATGGAAATATAGATGAAGCTGGCTTTCTGCTACAAGATGCTATTAAAAATAGCAAAACCCCTAGTGAAGCTTCTTTCTATGCTGTGAAGTTGGCTCGCCTTTTATTCAAAGTGGAAAAGAGTCTTTCAAAAGCCAGGAAGGTTCTGGTTGAAGCAATTGAGCGTGATAAGGTATGTTGCAGGAAATATTTCAAATGATACTTGGCAATGCACATATTACAAAAAAACACGTCTACGTTTCTGTTCAATTTCCATCCAGAGAGGTATTTCCACCTCTCTTGTTAACACAGAGCCAATTTCAAAAAGTAGCTCTGTGCTGCGTTTTTTCTTTTTAAATTTAACTTGTCAACTTCTGTTTTAAGATGGAGGAACAATAAGTGTTTGTATACGTAAATTCCATTACATACAGAACTGATGGCAGTCAATTCTTTGACAATTGCTGCTGAGTTTCCGTATGTTCCCACTATTGTAAGTAGTTGTAAGAAAGAAATGTAACTCCTGATCAGATTTGATTAAGTAAAGACTTTGTGAATTTGTGTCACTTTAAAGAGAAGATGGGAACTGAGTCATCTGCGTTGCTATTCTGAACAAATGCCACAGTTAAAGTATATTTGTTCTGGTTAGGGCTGCAGATTTGGCATTTTTGGTCAGAAATTGCAGAGCAGCACAGTAGATTTAATGAACATCGTGGGTTTATAGCCATGACAAATCTGCAGCCCTAATTATGGTGATTACTGTACGTGACATGGCAAATAAGATGAGTAACAATTGGTATCTATTTTCTTGTAGGAAAGTACTAAACTATATCTGAACTTGTTGGAACTAGAATACAGTGCAGAACTGAAACTCAATGAGGAAAATATTCTGAATTGTTTTGATAAAGCTGTAAGCAGCTCAATGCCTATTGAAACCAGGATAGCTTTCTCTCAGAGAAAAGTTGAATTTTTGGAGGACTTTGGATCTGAGGTGAAAAGGTAAATTTAAAGCATCATATTGTTATACCATTGATTTCCTTATATATTTAAAAAAAACTGCTTTTGATTTGCACATTGGACTTTTGAAAGCAAGCTGTAAGGTAAGTTGAAATCTTTTGTTAAACTGCAGAATAATCTATTAATGATTTTCATTGTGGCTCCTGTTGGCTTTCACCTAAACTGTTTGAACAGGAAAGAATGTTAGAGATTGGTATCCACACCCATCAGAAGGAATCTGTCCTGCACCTTATAAATGAACCAGGAGCGCTTAAACAAAAAACGATAGCTGTAATGAAAAATTCTCCATGCAAAATAAGTTTGGTGGATCACCTGCTGGTAAAGTGTACAGGATTTGATTGGGCCATTCTGGGCAGTCGTCTGAAACTTGCACCTTTTTTTAAAAGAATGCTGGGGAAGAACAAAATTCTGTATTATATGGGGTAATACAGTGACTGCCAAAAGCCTTTTTTGTGCAATTTAATTCATAGGAAATGTGAATATCAAAGGAAGAAATGGGATTAACTCTTCAAAATGAATTGAAGGAAATCGCTGTATATCCTGATGTGACGTCTTCAAATTCTATAATTGTGCTGGAAATGCACATTCACATGAAGCGTAAACTGGGAAATGGTTTAAGATCTTTGTAGAGTATTTCTGCATGAGATAGCATTGATTCTTGCCTTGATTTATTCCAGTGCTATGGTGTGTGAAGCAAAAGTTATTTGAGAGTGTTTGAAATCTGTGACAGCTGAGCATTGATAATCTTCTTTTTCCTAGACTTATGGTGGCTTATGATAATCATCAAAAGCTTCTTAAAGAGCAAGAATCTTCTAAAAGGAAGGCAGAAAATGGGTAAGTAGTATTTAGGACTCGGGGACCTTTCTTTGTGCAAAATGGCTGCTGCATTTGCCTGCCAAAGATCACCACATTAATTGATTGGAATAATTTGAGAGGTTTCTATGTAATCAGGCATCATAGAAGTGAAAATTATTTCATTGTAAAGTGAAGCTTTAGGTCTTGAACCTTTGATTTGTCACGTGGAGAATATCCAATCTAATTGAAAACACTTTCTCACATTGATCGAGGGAGAAGTGGAGGCTCAATCACTCGCTCCTTACAGCCCGTTACAAAGTGCAAAATATATGGAATGTGTTCTGGGAACAGGTCACCTACCTGCCACCTTATCTTTGAAGCACTTTGAGATGTCTAGAACACGTGATAAGGTGCTATCTCAAATGCAAGGATTATTATTATCTACTTGTTATTCTTGCTTTGTTACTTAGGGAGCAGTTTTTTTAAAAAAAAGTTGTATTTTGGAGAGGATTACAGATGAAATTCTAGCTTTGTGATTTTTGTTTAAATGTTGCAGATCAGAAGAGCCAGAGGGAAAAAGCACCGACCTGATGATGCATCATTGGCATCTACCCAGATGATGGGTGGAGACTTGCAGGCTAATCAGGCTGCATACCACTACAATGCTTGGTATCAGGTGAGCAAACCGTTCTTAAACATCGAGTCAAGGAACTCAGGGAAGGGAGTTTTCCCTGATTTCCTAGCCAATGATCCCCCGGGTAATAAAAAAAATTGGTGATTCACTTCGATTTTTGTGAGACATTACACACTACAAATTGGGTGCCGTGTTTGCCTACAAGTATACAGTATTTGTAGGCAAACATTATGCCTACAAACACAATGCCTGCAAATACACAAATTTAAAGTGATGAGGTGTAATATCAAAAGCAAAGAATAATATTGACTATCTTAGAATAAATAATGGTAATGAGAATCGTGATGAAATTAAATCTGCTGTCTTCAAATCTGAGGACTTTATTTAAAGCCTTTACTCCCCCAAAATTTCAAGACGACTTGCTTCTATAGATCCATTAAAATTTATTCCTGTAACCATTAAAATTTATTCCTGTAACCATGTACTGCATGGAATTTCTGTTTTTTTTTAAAGCACCCAACTCGTTGCAAGACGCTGTTCAAGATGCCATGTTTTTTTCCCGGTTCTTTTCACACTATGTTTATTGTATCTTGAAAGAGTTTTAAAACGCTACCCCATGTAAAGGGCAGTATATAAATGCAAGTTGTTGTTGAAAATGTTTGGATCCTGAGATTGGTGGGGAAGGTGTTCTTAAAGTTTTTCTATTTATGCCCAGTTTAAACTGCTGGAAATGAAACTATCACTCTTTATGTACAACCTATTTAACTAGTACTTTTTTTTTCTTTTCTCACAGTACAACTACCCAACACCCTGGAACTATGGGCAGTATTACCCACCTCCTCCTACCTAACTTTATAAAAATCATTACAGGATAGGTATTCGCTCCAAAAGCAAGAAATATAAAATACTTCATTTTAATATCTACAGCTGTGGAATTATTTTGTCAAGGAATCAAAAAAAACTTTAGGCAAAGTTGTTTTGGGGGGGAAGGGGAGTTTACCATGATATATTTGAATGGTTTGTGTTTGAATAAATTTTATGAATTCTCATAATGACACCTTTTAGAATGTGAAATCTTTTTTAATTTCTATTCTCTTCATACTTTTTGTTAATAGAAAAATTAATTAAAAAAACTGCTGCAGCTGACTTCTGGTGTTTGTTTTTTCACTGACCGTTTCATGCGAGCATGTTGAAGACTTGTGCCAAGTACCTATCAAGCTTACGAATGTAACTCATGCTTTGCTTTAAGAAGCTAGCTTCAATGAAGTGTTTTGCCCTTATACAGTACTTTTATATCTGCTAAATTAGCAATAACCTGCCTTTGTAGAGACATTACATTGTCTGAACAGTTCATACAATATGCTCCTAAAATTAGCTATACTTGCATATTGGGGAACGGATTTGAATGTTGCATATGAAGCATTTTGAGATGTTCATTCTGTCAAAGGTAATACACAAGTCCAAGTTAAAATAAGTGATGACATGTCACAGAAATGTTCAATGATAAAAGAAATGGCTAAAAAAGGTTCAAAACCAAAGGTGCATAAAAGAGCACTCTGCAGATCTAAGTGGCGGAAAGATAAGATAATGTATCTGTGAGTCCTGTAGCTCAGTGGTTAGATCACTCGCTTTGCAAGTGAGAGACTCGAGTTCAATCCCCGGCAGGTCAGGGCCAAACCTTGGGCAAGTTTCCTTACTCCACACAGAGCCTAATAATAATCCTCCAAAAACAATAACAAATTGGTCATTTTCAATCTACGACTGTCTGTGGGACATTGCTGTGCGCAATTGGCTGCTGCGTTTGCCCACAAATACACAGTCGATTCACTTTACGGTGTGTTCTGTGAAGCGCTTTGGGACGTCCTCCCGACGTGAAAAGCGCTATATCAAATGCGAGGATTATTATTAATAGAAATGCGAGAATGTGGATTCTCTTCATTTAGACTGGAGCTGTTGCCACCTGCCCGGGAAGCACATGAGACTCTGCCAATCTGATTCCCTTGGATATACCCAATGCAAAAAGCTGAGACTTGAACTCCACCCCATCTGTTGACCTAAATGCATCCAGGCCTGAACTGTCAGCCATTTCAATTTCTGGCCAAAACAGATACTTTATAAGTTTTACATTGAAACTGAAGTGGGATCTGAGAGGAGGAATTCAGCTGAAACCCCACGACCTTCGGTGGGGGGGGTGTCGCCCCATGCGCATGCGCGATTCTCCGCCGTGCAGTTGGAGGTGCGCTTGCGCGGTGGCGTACAAAACCCTCCGCGGGATGGTCTTCCGTACAGTCGGGAGGTGCGCTTGCGCGGTGCCGTACGACGCCCTCGCTCTCTCTGCGTGTAGCTGCGCTGTCGGACGGTCGCTGTTCGGTTCGCTCCGAGTCGGGACTGAGGCCTTCGGTGAGGGTTTGGGGCTCTTTTTTTTCTCTCCCCCCAACCGCGTGGGACCGCTTCTTGACGAGCTCAGGCCGCCTCCCGCGCTGCCCTCCGCCCCGCGTCGGTGATTCGGGCGGTTGAGAAGCGGCTGCTCGGAAACGCGCTGAGGCGGCGATGGCGCCGGGCCCTGTGCCGCCCGCGCTAGGCCCGGCCCGGCCCCCTCCCCCCGCCCCGCCCGCGCTAGGCCCGGCCCGGCCCGGCCCCCTCCCCCCGCCCCGCAGGCCCGGGGTCCGGCGGGTCTGGACTCTGGAGTTTAAGCCGCTGACGGATAGTTTCGCTGTGGGTCGGACCCGGTTGGGACCGAATGGAAAATCGCCTGTGGTTCCCGGCGGCGGCGACTCTAAACCAACCGCGTGGCTCCCGCAGACCCTCCCGCCCGGGGGGGGGCCTGGAAACGGCTAAACTGCACCGGGATAGGCCCAGCGTCAGGGCCGGTGCCGGTGGGGGGGGGAAGCCGTGTTACTGGGGGGGATACAGAGAGCGGTTGGAGGATAATCTGACGGTGGACAGAAGGAGTCCCTGAATGATGGCAGTTGTTTGGTTTCCGACAAATCTAATGGTGAAAGAAGCGATTTTTTTTTTTTAATCGGTGTATTATTTGCCCAGATTCTGTTTCAATCAATCAATCAATCGATCGATCAATTCTTTTTATTTATATGTACTTATATTTCGCCCACAAACTACGCAGCGGTCAACCCACTTTACGGCATCTTCTGTGAGGCGCTTTGAGACGTTTCAACGGTGTGATAAGGCGCGATGTCAAATGCAAGGATTATTATTATTATTATTATCTTAACCGTCCGCGCACCTGTACTCGTTGCACCACGATGGAGCGATACACTTTACACCTCCTGACCAGCGGCAGGCGACTAATATTTCAGACAGATTAGGATGCTTCCATTGCATTGTAGCGCAGAGGCATGAATGTTTTTGTGTTGCCCGCAGAATCATCATGCAGCTTTTTCTACGCGCTCAAAACCTCCATTCCCTCGATGTCACAGGGAAGGAGACGGTCGGTGAAATTAAGGTACGGATAAACACTGGTTTGCGGCTGCATCGGGTTCGAAATGATCTTGAAGGTTGAGATAGCAAACGTGGGATCCGCGTAATCCTGAACTGCAGAACATCTTAAATGTTTCTCATTTTAAGGATTGCTTGGGTGCGTTTGAAAGGTTCTCTCGTCACCAATACCGACATCACATAAATGTCACTGATGGAGGGTTAGGTTTCAGTACCGTTTTCTCCTCGCTATTGCTGTAAAAAAATTTAAGGTGTATTATTCATTCTTACGTTCTATTCGTGTGTTTTATTTCGTGGCAAAAAAAATCTGCTCTACCCAAATCTGTGTTTTGTGTTGGGGGGAGAATACTATCTGAAGTAAACAATGCAATGGTTCATTTAGTTCTTTCAATTTGCAGAATTTATAAAGGTGCTATTTCTGGATTATGCATTCTGAATCCAACAGTGCTGAGGGTGTTTTGGTTCAACCCCTAGGATTTTCGGTACTGATAAATGTATGTTTTCTTCCAGGCCCATGTTGAAACATTAGAAGGGCTCGCTGCGAGTGACCAGGTCCTCCTGTTGGCTGGCACTCCCCTGGAAGATGATGCCGTTATTGGCCAATGCGGTGTCAGTGAGCACTGCACTCTCGAAGTAGCAGCTCGGATGCTTGGTGGTAAGTATGAGTGACTCGGTGGACTTTTCTTGTTGTTATTCTGATCTCAAGCAAGCTTTAGTGGATGGACAGTGCAATTCCAAAATCAACCAACACATTCTGAAAGTGGTTATTTGGGGCATGTGAGGGATTACTGAGTTTACTTTCCCTGCTTTTTAGAGATCCTGTCTACAGTAAAACTCGCATAAGTCATTTCTTTATAAATCATACAATCACCTAAGTCCTTTCATGTATCCGAGCGCATTCAGTTTCCTACCTACAAAAAACACTTAAGATTTCTTTGCACTTTTTGTATTTTCAGCGCCTTGGGACGTCCTCCTGACGTGAAAGGCGCTTTATAAATGGAATCTTGTTGTTGTTGTTGTTGTTTGTAAATCAGCTAAATGACTAAATCAGAATAGTTTCCTGCTCCCAAATACTGTACATTCTAATTCCTATGGAAATCATCTTATAACTTGTAATGCTGCACTTACCAGCTACATTAAAGTACACCACGTATGGCAGTGTGTATGTTAGTGACCAGGACATTGTCTTTAGTTTCTGATGAAGCAGGTGCTGACTGTTCAAGTGATGAGGCGGAGGGCTCCAACACCAGGGATTCCACATTCTCAGTGCCGACTGTTGGGGAAGCCTATCATGCTCTGGATATTATTCGTCGATTCTTAATGGCTGTGGATACCCCTGTAGATGAGATTTTGAAATTGGCTGACAAATTTGAAGCTATTTTAATGAGTCAGGTTGCACAACGAGTGAAGCAGAAAACAAATTGCTGAATATTTTCAGGCAGAGTCAATTGAGGGTTTATGTCTGACTTACGGTTTTCCTTGATTTATAATTCAGTTATATTGTTAATAGTTTTTTTGTAAGAGTTTATGTTCTATTAAAACAATTCTGTTTTGAAACCTGTTTGCTAGTGCCATTCATTGTACATGTTCTCTGCACGTGAGATACAGTACTGTACAGAAAATGAAAAGGATGGGATACCATAGTTTTAATACACATAGGTTAAACATGGGACAGAAAGCTTGTCATCAGCCAAACCTGCATGACAGGATTTAAATACTGTGCATGTAGAATATTAAAGGAGCTCCTGGAGGAAAATTGTGGATTATCATACAGTATCTGCAACTGCATTTAATTATTTTAATGTTTGCAGTCTGAAAGCATTTCCAGAAAAATGTAGAGATATACAGCACAGTACTTGTGGAATGTATTTGTTATGTGTAAATCATATAAAATCTGGCTTAATACATAACTTTGCATAAGTAGTATTTGCTACGACTTATACGTTTGCCCTCAACTTATGTTAAATGTTATAGTCCCGACTGATAGGACATATGCGAGTTTCACTGCATTTATTGTCTCTTTGGACAGGACCATTTTAGTGCTAATGTCAACTAAAAGGATGGGGTTTTTTCTTTTTTTAAAAAAAAGGTATGACTTGAGGTTGAAAAATAAAGAAGTGAAAATTGTGGTGGGAAGTTTTACATTCTGCCCTGTCTTAACATTTCATTTCTGAAGAAGTCTGAAATAAACTGTTGCTCTTTTCCCCTTTCATTAGGTAAGGTCCACGGATCTCTTGCTCGTGCTGGAAAAGTAAAGGGTCAGACCCCAAAGGTGAGTTCATTGCGATTGATCATCCTGTAAACATGGTTGAAATATAAATAGAGCAAGATAACCTCGGTGAATGGGCGTTGTTTTGTCTATTCTGTGTGCATTTGTGCTGTATTTTTTTTAAAAAAGCAGTAAAATGACCAGCAAGTCTTTCGTATTGCTGTATTAGTTTGGAATCTATCCTATTCTGGAAATTTGTCCTGGATTATTTTATAATACTTGTACAAATATTACACAGGTGGCAAAACAAGAAAAGAAGAAAAAGAGGACTGGCCGTGCAAAGCGACGCATGCAGTACAATCGCCGCTTTGTAAATGTTGTTCCCACCTTCGGCAAGAAGAAGGGACCAAATTCAAACTCTTAAACATGTTTTGACTTGGTTTCCTTTGAGCAGAAAATTAACTTGACTTGGTTCAAGAATTAATTCTAATTCTGTATTTGAGAGTAAGGCATGGTTGGCTTTTCAGGACTATGGAATTCCAGAGGGATCAGTTGATTGGTATGTTTGATATAAAAATTCTGTAATGATGGCTAATAAAATGCATTTCACTCACTTTGCTTTCACTGCTTTGTTTAGCAATTGACTCAATGATTTTCAGGCCACTAGATTTGGAAAAGATCTCAACTTGCGATGCTGAAAACAGGAAAGTTCAGCAAATATCTGATGTTCTCTGACCTATGGTCAGTAGCAATTATTTTGAACATTTTTAGTTTGGAAAATTGTTCATGTTGTAGGTCCTTCTCATTCTATGAATGCAGAAAATAGAGTTAAGAGGGAACGATGAAAAAATATTGTGTTTGGTTGCAGGGATGGAGCTAAAACCAGAGGGGTAGTGCCATTATGGGGGAGTGTCTCTGTTCAAGGAACGATGAGATTCGTAAACATGCAGGGGGTGAGGTGGGTAACAGGCATGTGCTTATGAGACCAGTTTCCATTTCCGTCCTCACAATAATATGACCAGAAGTTGGCAGAGCAAAGGACGACTACAATCACTAAGGAAAGTGGAAACTCACCTTGCTAAAATAGACTCTGTTTGTAGATCACAACAAATGTATTCAAAATCAGCCATACAAACAAAAGGCAGTTTCTCGTGCTAAAAAAACATTTATTGCATTTATTGAAGATAGTCTTGACTAGTGCAAGACTTAAACTGAGCATAACTGAAAAATCATCTGACTTCTCCAACATTGTGATGGTGTGATCACCCACAACGCATTGAAATGAAGAGTTGCTGAACAAGGTTTTAAACAATTATAATTTTCAAACCAAATATGTCCACAAGTTGTATACCGCTTGCATTATTTCAAATGCAGTGCTTCATAGGATAAACGTGAAGAAGCTAAAGTCTGTTAATCGATATCCACCAGTTCAACTTCAAAAATAAGTTTAGCATTTGGTGGGATTCTGTTTGAAACAGTTAAAGAAAATCAGGTTGTGGTGAAATTTTAAAAGCTGTTAAACTGCAGTAAAGCCACATTTTTTGCGATAACGAAAGTATGCACTTCTTTGAGATCAATGGTAGATATTTATAATGTTTAGATGGTCGGAGTGACATTTATAAATCCATAATAAGTAGTTATTGTCAGGTCTGTTTGAAAACTGCGCCTCGGCATACAATATTATTAACACACAGTACCACAATCCCAATCCACCATTCCTTTGAAAGGTTCAAAACCCTAACATCAGCGCAATAAACAGGTTGCAAGTTCAAAACTTGAATTCTCCGTCTTTTGAGGGTGTTTTTGCAGGGTCCTATAGCTCAGTAGTTAGAGCACTCTCCTTGCAAGCTAGACAGCTGGTTCAATTCCAGGCAGGGCGAAACCTTGGGCAAGTTTCCTTACTCTACATGCCTAATAATAATCCCTCCAAAATAAAAAATAATAAATTGGGACACTGCTGTGCGCAATTGGCTGCCGCGTTTTGCCCACATATATACAGTCAATTCACTTTACAGTATATTCTGTGGAGCGCTTTGAGATGTCTAGAAGATGTAAAAAGCGCTATATCAAATGCAAGTATTATTAATATTTTTCAGGAGGTGGACAGAGTATGGTTTCCATCCAGGAGCTGCTAATGTGTTTGCCTCTCCTGTAATTTTCACAATTCTTCCTGTGCCTCTTCCAGCACCTTGGGACATCCTCCCAATGTGTAAGGTTCTATATAAATGTAATTTGTTGTACAGGATCATTTAAGACTAGTAGGTACTGTACATTGCACTGGACCCACTAACCTGTAACCATTCTGCAACTACGTTTGAGTTCTTAAGCTGCAAACGTTCTTCATCTACCATGTTTTTCACCAGACTGCCACTTGAAAAGGATACTTAGCATCTGGCTGCCCTTTCTTGCCATAAGCCCACTCCGACTCAATCTCTAGACAGGCCTTTTCCCCTTTAGTCATTGTCAGGAGCGCTTCATCCCACTGCACAGAGAAGAGAGTCTTTGGTCAGTTAAGAGTCGGACAGCAAATGGGAGACGATCCTGATCACTTGTACAAAACATGATTTCAAAGGACGGTTTTCCTCAGACAATCATTACTGTGGAAAGATAGCTCTATGCTCTTACCCCACGGATAACTCTTCCAACTCCTACTTTAAAGCTCAATGGTTTTGATCCTTTTTTCTTTTTTGAACCTAAAAAGGGGAATATAATCCAATAATTATCCCAAAAGCTCTCTGTACCCCTTTATAAAGACAATTCAGAATATTATCTTGTAATGTAATAAAACATATCTTCAATAGCAACATCTTTAAACATTGGATTGTGTTCACGCTATTTTACCTAACGTTTCTAATTAAATGAATAACAACAACAAAAACAAGATTCCATTTATAGAGTGCCTTTCACGTCGGGAGGACGTCCCAAGGCGCTGAGCTGTCCTTAGGACAGCTTAGGAGCTTAGGATCCTTAGGAGCTGAGCTGTCAGAAGAGGCAGGATACTTTCGCATAGGGACAGAACGACTAAATACATTAGGAAGGAAAGTCACCAAGCAGCATTCCTACATGGATCCCAAGAGACAGCCCAGAGTATCAGTGGAATAGACATAACAAGTCGACATTACTTTGTCTTAAAAATACATTGCCAATTCCTTGATACCCTAACAGCTAATATGTGCGGCACTAAGCTATGCAGACCCAAGGTTTTCAGTTCAATTCCCAGGTTTAAGGTCATCTCCAAGCAGGAAAAGCCTTTCAATTGTATCAGGACCCCTGGTCCCATTATTCATCACTATCCAGTGACTCCTACTGGACATAGGAATCTAGATATTAAATCAGAATATAGAGCTTGGCTTTGATTATATTTCCCACTCCCTCCCCACTCGAAACACCCACTGTGCTTGGCTCACAACACGAAGAATAGCCACTTAGAGAAGGCACCAACATGAACCAAGGCCCTTCAAACTATCCTAACAAGGAATGAACACCTTCAGGAGGATGGGGTAGTCCACATGTATGCACATGACATCCAACTCTACCCCCAGCTCCGGTCCGAAACTGACTGTCCAGCGTGAAAGGCGTTATACAAATGTCATTTTGTGTTGTTGTTGTTGTAGTCTCTTAATTTGAACATAAAATGCCATACCACAGGAAGAACCCCGGGAGCAGCCTATTTCATTGGTTCGTTGAGGAATACAAAAGAATCTGTAAGTGTTCATACTAACTTATCACATTGAAATATCTCGAAGCATGTCACAGATCATTATTATCAAGTATGGTGACTGTTTTTTCCAGGCATGCATAGAAATCATTTGCACCAGGAAAGGTCCCATGAGGGGCCATTGAATGGCTTGGACTGGGAGAAACGCTTCTCTTTAAACCTAATAGATTGAATGAGTTTCAAAAGGCAACAATAAACTATACAAATTAATTTGGGTCCTTCACTGCGGCAGATTATTAAACATTTCTGCATTATATGATCCTTACTAGAAGCAATGTTTGTATCGAACACCGTTCCATCTTCTAATGTTCCCGTGTACCAACAGTGGACAGTGTCACCCTTCTTGGGAAAGTTGATCCGGTCTCCTTTTTTCAACACATTTTTGGTGTATTTTGGTGGGCCCTAGAATTAATAAGCAGGATTGAAACTGTAGTTGTAGTCATTTAATTATTTGACATGTTATTTGATATGTTAAATAAAAGTTAAAAAGGTTGATTTATAGCTCACATCATGTTCCATCACTATTTTAATAAACACTAATGGTTATCAAGAAATAAAGAACATGGTTTTTTTTAAACAAAATCTGGAATGCAGGTCCTAAATGCAACTTTGAAAACAGCTATCGATTGAAAAGTATGCTGTAAATTTGACCACTTGGACATTCGCACCAGTCCTGGTTGAGTGTGTACTAAATCAATGCCTTGTTTATAGTAGCTACCCGGGTAATAATGCCCATAGCACGGCCATAAATCAAGAAATATTCAGTCAAGAAAATGTAATTATTTGAACCTGTATATCACCTGTCACGTCAGGAGGATGTCCCAAGGCACTGGACAATCAATGTTTTTAATTTAAAAATATATATATATATCTATAATTTCTAATTTTAAAACTTATTTTATTCCCAAACCTCTGGAACGATTTCTTCAGGCTTCTTATCCTTTGGTTTGTCTTTTGCAGGCCCAATATTCACATCCTTAAGCTGCTGTGTGACTTCTTCAGTACCTTTAAACCTCTGTAAATGTAAAAATAAATATAGAAATCTCCCCACACGATTAATTAAAAATCAAAGGGAAATAACTTGCCTATTTATGCAGTCTTACACAAATACTGCACAGTGAACAACAGTGAAAGCGGGTTTAACTGTATATCTGCATAAACACCATTGAATGATCAGTACACCCCATTGTTGCACCTATTAAATGTTTGTTTACATTGACAAACCTTTAGCTTAAAATTATACATTTCTCACAATTTCTCCATCACAGTAGAATTAAGCCTCAATATCTAAGCTACATTTGCAAAGTTATGTTATTGGTTTAAAAGGCTCCTTCCTTACCTTGCTTTCAAACAGTTGATTGTAGGCAATAATTAGCTGCTCCTTCTTTGCAGTCTTGGCTACATTTTTGATATTTCCCATCAATTTATGTTCAGAAAGAAACTATTTTTTTCAAAAAAATGTGCATAAGTTAGATAATTGTGTACTGTTGAGGAATACCGTGTGTATTCATATCTCATCTATCAATGCAATGAGCAATTTTGTCTGATATTTGAGTGGATTACAGCTGTTCTGCTCCCCCCCCCATGAAACGTTTTGAATACTTGTAATACTAAAAGTTATTAAAACACCATTGAACGATTTTGTTTCATAATAAAGTATTAGGATTGAGATTAATTTTGCGCTTCAATTTTCTGTACTGTAACTTTGTACAATTTTTTAAAAAAAGCATATCTATAAATTATAAATGAGGTGTTTTCCCCCTTCCCTCCCTGATCGAACAGAAAATCAATAAGGAAGAGAGATGGGGCACAATGCGGGAAAATAGGGGGCACGGGAAGAGAAGAGAGAAACGTAGAAAGATTCATGTCCCTTAAAAGATTTCAAACGTGGGATTTTTTTATTTTTTTTTGCTTTTGCTTTGCAAAAAAAAATGCCGCGGGCGCGAGCGATGGATCGAGCGAGCGATGGATCGATCGGTTAAGAACATAAGGGTTTGCTACGGCGAAAGAAGACCAAACAAGGTCCGTCTAATTGGCCTTCTGCCATCCTGGCAGTCGCTTGACATGTCGTGTCCCGAACTACATACCGTATCCCCAGATAAGTTATGATCCGATGCGATTCACTGCCCGAACCCCAATCATTCCATTATTATTAATAATGATGGTTATTGTTGTTATTATTATTGTTGTTGTTGCTGTTGTTGTCACTTGACCATTTGTCAGCAAAGACAATTTCCCCACAGAGAGAGAGAGAGGATCACTCAGTTAGATTGAGAGAATGGAGTGAGAGAGAGAGAGAGTGAGAGAGAGGATCACTCATTTAGATTGAGAGAATGGAGTGAGAGAGAGAGAGAGAGAGAGTGAGAGAGAGGATCACTCATTTAGATTGAGAGAATGGAGTGAGAGTGAGAGAGAGAGAGTGAGAGAGAGGATCACTCATTTAGATTGAGAGAATGGAGTGAGAGTGAGAGAGAGAGAGTGAGAGAGAGGATCACTCATTTAGATTGAGAGAATGGAGTGAGAGAGAGAGAGAGTGAGAGAGAGGATCACTCATTTAGATTGAGAGAATGGAGTGAGAGAGAGAGAGAGAGTGAGAGAGAGGATCACTCAGTTAGATTGAGAGAATGGAGTGAGAGAGAGAGAGTGAGAGAGAGGATCACTCATTTAGATTGAGAGAATGGAGTGAGAGAGAGAGAGAGAGTGAGAGAGAGGATCACTCATTTAGATTGAGAGAATGGAGTGAGAGTGAGAGAGAGAGAGTGAGAGAGAGGATCACTCATTTAGATTGAGAGAATGGAGTGAGAGAGAGAGAGAGAGAGTGAGAGAGAGGATCACTCATTTAGATTGAGAGAATGGAGTGAGAGAGAGAGAGAGAGTGAGAGAGAGGATCACTCGTTTAGATTGAGAGAATGGAGTGAGAGAGAGAGTGAGAGAGAGGATCACTCATTTAGATTGAGAGAATGGAGTGAGAGAGAGAGAGAGAGGATCACTCGTTTAGATCGAGAGAATGGAGTGAGAGTGAGAGAGAGAGAGTGAGAGAGAGGATCACTCATTTAGATTGAGAGAATGGAGTGAGAGTGAGTGAGTGAGAGAGAGAGAGAGAGTGAAGTCAAGAACCTCGAGGCCTCTGTTTGTGGCTGAGGCAGCGGGAGCCGCACTGGCGGCCGCTGGAGTGAGAGCCGCAGCCCAGGGCGCTGAGACCTCTCCCACCCCCACCAATGGCCGCCATTGCTCCCCCTCCCTCCCTCCCTCCCTCTCCCCCCCCCCACACCCCCTCTCTCCCTCTCCCCCCCCCACCCCTCACCGGCTCCGAGGCCCTCTCCTGCAGGAACTGGATCATCTCCTTTTTAGACACATCGTCGCCCTTCAGCTGCTCCTCGCTCCACGCTCTGACTGCTTCACCTGCCATCTTCCTCCCCCTCGTCCTCCTCCTCCTCCTCCCCCTCGCGCCACCGCCACCGCCGCGGCTGCTCCTCCCTCCGCCTCCAGCAACAGCCGCGGCGGCGGCGCGGGGCGGGGCGGGGCGGGGGCGGGCGGGCGGGGGGCGGGGCCGAGCCAATAGCCCAAAGTCCACCCAAAAGTAGCCCCGAAAAACAGCCCCCAATAATATTACGCCCTTCATCTCCTATCATGAGGGCGGCGGCGTCGTCACAGGTTGTTGTGTAAATCGTGTCGTGTCGTGTGTGTGTGGTGTAAAAAAAAAGTTCTTCGAAGGTGAAAGGATAAGAAAAAAATGTATTTTTTTTGGGGGGTGGGGGGGAGGTTTATCCCCACCCGCCCGTTGCCGCTAAAACCCGCCCAATTGGGCGTGAACCCGCCCACGCGCTCGGCAGATGGTGGTGGGACTTGTTCACCGCCGCCATCTTGGCCATCCCAACCTGGTGCCCTGTGAGGCCTGACCTTGACTGACTGACTGACTGACTGACTGGGGGGGGGTCACAACCACACCCCAACACCCCCCACCCCCCTCCCTCCCCCCAAACTGTACCCCCAACAATGGTCTGGATTGTTTGTTCTTGTTCCTCCTCCTGTTTATCGCAACGCCCGTTGGCGAGAAGCGACTCAGCGGAACGCTGCTCACCGCCCGCTGGTCGAGATCCCGGCGCCCGCGCGAGAGGCCGCTCCGCAAATGTACATTTGCCGTTGTGGTGGCGGCGGCGGTGGTGGCGGTGTGGGTGGTGGTGGGCGGGCGGGAGACGGGGTAGGAAATTGCTGGTCCTGCGAGGGGCGTCCGCGCGAGGAATTGGCCCCTCATTTCGAGGGAAGGCAGCTCCTCGCCGGGATCAGCGCCTCGGGACGTCCTCCCGGCGTGAAAGGCGCTCTCTTTAAGTGCAATCGTCTTGCTGTCGTTGTCGATTCAGAAGATTGCAGAAGATGGCGATAGAGGATTATGGGCTGAAGAGTGTAGGGGGAGGCAACTCGCGGAAGGTGGTCAGCGAGGACAGCTCTTGAGATATCGAGTGTGGACGGGCAAAAGTGCATGGACCCGGGGTTTAGCTGCTTTTGGGCGACGTAAGGATGGAGGTGGTTGATGTTCTGGAGATCGAGGAAAGCTGTGGCCGTCAAAAAAAACAAAACGGATGTAGAGTTCGAAGAAAGAAATGATCCCCATCAGCCTTCAAACCTCGGGCAAGTTTCCTTACTCCACACAGAGCCTAATAATAATCCCTCCAAAACCCAAAACAATAATAAATTGGTCATTTTCGATCTACGACTGTTTGTGGGACATTGCTTTGCGCAATTGGCTGCCGCGTTCGCCCACAAATATACAGTCAATTCACTTCACAGTGTGTTCTGTGAAGCGCTTTGGGACGTCCTTCCGACGTGAAAAGTGCTATATCAAATGCAAGGATTATTATTATTATTAGAGGTGTCCACCAGGCAAAGCTTAAACGGGGAATTTACTATATTCACGTCAGTCGGCTCAGCTGATCAGCTTTTGCACAAGTTAAATAAAGTTAAATAAGCAGAAAAGTCCATCAAAGAAGTTACAACAGCCAAATTCAAGAAAGGAAATGTTGTGGTAGTTAGGAATTGGCCAAAAGGAAGACTTCACCTCATTAGTACAGTATTCTAATTCACAACCTTCTGGTTTCAAGTCTGGTGCTCAAGCGAGCAAAGTATGCTGTAATGTTCAGATTTTTAGAAAGTTCCATAGAAATGTCTTACTATTGATAACATATTCATGCCAAATGTTGCACTTCCACTCTGTCTCTGTGAAGCACTTTGACACGAATACTCTGCGTGAAAGGCATTTTGTAAGTGTAAATTGTTGTTCGAGTGCTCCGAGACGCTACCCCACGTGAAGGATGCTATCATAAATAGCTGCAAAGCTGTCAACATCAGGTTAGTCTACTTGGAGTGAGTGACATAAATGATGAGCGCGATTGATTGGAAAATATTTAAACACAGTGGAAGTTATTATTTTTTCACCAGTGACACAGTTCAAAATAGATTTTGGGTGCATTCAAAGTGATTCTGCTATATTTTTTGGTCAACTGGGTACCTGACATGCTGCTACTATGTGGCACCTGGTGATGAGGGGCCTGAGGCAGCTGTTGTAGCTAAGGGTATCTTACCTGATAGCAATAACAGTGGGTGATGTTTTGAAGATGGAACAAAATGGTCCTTAGTCTTAGTTTGTTCTCAGTGTACAGTGTATAATTACCACAATTTTTAAAAATATCATCATTTAATTCAGTTTTATTTTGGGGAACCTCTTGCCTATTGGCATCAAAGTAATAATTATACTGTAGTTATGAATAACATATTTGAAGAAGTCAATTAATGCCGATTTCTCCAATAGCCATATAAGAGTTATGAAGATGCTCTCTCGGATGGGTCTTTTATTCTTCCCAAGAATAGTATGCTCTTTGTGGTTTCTTCATAGATCATTAGGAGAAATGGTCTGTCAAATTTGATTAAGGCAGGGAAAGACAATGTCATAATTCCCACAGTAGTGACTGAAGTAGCTTCGGTACCTTTCTCATCAACTTCCAGCACTGCATCGTGAGTAATCTTGCAAAATACAAACACAGGAAAAACAAACAAATAAATAAATACTCGATTTGAGCTCAAGGTGGCAAAGCTAGACATGAGGCAATTGTTCTTCTAGGTTTCCAGAGATTTCAAAATGTATTTACTGCATCTCAGAAAACATTCTGATTTAATGCACTAATCTTGGTTGATAAATATTGAAGCATTGTCTCAACTCTAAATATTAACTATTACAGTATTATGAATGCATACATTTTTCTAGGAAGGTATTTTTTCTTTCTTGCGTTGGCAAGATATAGATTGGGTGTTTAAAGAAATTCTTTCATCTTTGATCCTAAGAGGCTTTTTTTAACTCAAAAATCTAAAATAGTAGATTGCTAGATATTGCAATTAAGTGTACCGAGGATACAGTATAAAGTGTGGAAGAAGAAACCATTTGACCCAATCAACCTGTTTTTGCAACCATAAAAAATACATCTAATGCCGCTCACTCTAAACCACATAACTACAAAGATAATCAAGCAAAAAATATCCTTCAGAAAATTCATTGATACCCCACATACATCGATCCCCACATACATACATAACAACAACAACAACAACAAAATTACATTTATAGAGCGCCTTTCACGTCGGGAGGAGGTCCCAAGGTGCTGGACAGTCAGAGGTCAGCACCCATAACCCATAGGTATAATGGAGATTGCACCTTCTTGGTAATGCCGCCCTAATATTTAAGTACTGTACAGTGTATCCTAATGACTCGTTCAAGAGAACATACCTGGGAAACCTTCAGCTTCACACTTTCACTTATTCCAGACAGGTCGGCATGGGATGTAAATACATCTGTAACTCCCATTTCCATCAAGATGTCATTTAATTGGTAGGAATTTTTCACCATTAGTTTTGGAAAGTACAGATTGATGAATGAACTGTGGAATAAAATAAATTAAAATGAATAATAATAATAATAATGAATTATCATCGAATTCAAATGATACTTGTGCAGGGCCATGAACCCATCAATCTGAGAACGTAATAGTTTTGTATTTTAGTTATTAGTTACCTTCTGTAATGAAGTTGCTCCAACCATTCTCGGGAAAGATTTTCTTCCACGTGAGCTAGTTTATGTTCTGTAGGTAAGATGGCAATCATGGATATATTTCCTAAATAAACAAGCTTCACTACGGTGCAGAAGAGATTTCGGTCGAAAACTATTTGGAATCTGCCACGTTTGAACATCATTGGAACGTTTACTGTTTTGCCGTCGTCCGTTTGAAAGGTTGTTACTGCAGTGTGTGCTGGATCAAATGGATTCTTCCATTTACCTATTGGACAGAAATATAGAGTAGTTTGGTATTTAACACAGCATTTAATATTTAAGATTGCTGCTGTTCTGCTGTTAATAATGTTTAAAGACTGATTTGTGATAATATAGTAATTATTTCACAACCAAATAGCAGACGTTTCAGCCCTGGAGAATGTCTCTCAACAATATCAGCTTTGATTGCAATTGATCTCTTCCCTGGCCGGATGTCCAAGTTACTAATAATAATCCTTGTATTTGATATAGTACCTTATATCATCGAGACGTCTATCAGTGCTTCACAGCATATACTGTAAAATGTAGGTAAAACACAGCAGCCAGTTAGTTGGGCATAGCAATATCCCACAAACAGCCATGGAGTGAGTGATCAATGTTATTTGGGGAATTGTTGACCAGCACACTGGGAGAAAGTCCCTTCTGTGTTTGAATAGTCCTATGGGATTGTTAACGTTTTCTTGAACAGGCAGACGGGTCCTTGGTTTTAACATCTCATCCGGGCATGGTGTTTACCAGTCAATGGTCCCGCAACCAGGGAGGAAATTATGTATTCAATACCTTTGCCAGGTAAGAGCTTTTCAATTAAGATCAGATTTTACTCCATCCTGGAGTCCCTTTGCCTCACCCCTTCCCTCACCCGTGCCTTCAGTCAATTTCCCATCCACACCCACCCCCCACCCCACCCTTGCCCCCACCCCTTGCGAATCCAACCCTCACCTCGACTGACCAGCACCTTCAGACAACCTCCTGACGTGCGAGACGACTACATAAATGCAATTTGTTGTTGTTAGCGATCTATTAAGATTAAACACGTTTTACATGCACCCCTTCACATTATAATAATAATAATAATAATCCTTGCATTTGATATAGCGCTTTTCACGTCGGGAGGACGTCCCAAAGCGCTTCACAGAATAGACTGTAAAGTGAATTGACTGTATATTTGTGGGCGAACGTGGCAGCCAATTGCGCACAGCAATGTCCCACAAACAGTCGTAGATTGAAAATGACCAATTTATTATTGTTTTTTTTTTGTTTTGGAGGGATTATTATTAGGCGTGTGGAGTTAGGAAACTTGCCCAAGGTTTCGCCCTAACAGCATGTCCTAAACAAGCATTCAAAAACTGAATCAGATTACCTTTAAAAAACATGTAGTTGATAAGCATCAGTTTAGTCGCAGGTTCAATTGAGTCAAAAAGTTTTTGAATTTTTCCATTTGTTACCTTTTTGATGTAATTGTTAATTTGCTGTGTGGCCCCTTCGGGATCTAAACTAAAATCCAAGTTGAACACATCAGCATTGTAAAACTTTTTGGTCTCATTTAAGAAGCCTGGCCGTACAGCAAAATCCTTTTGAATATGAAGGGAGTTTCCCGTTGACAGCAGAAAATTGCTATTTTCCATTGTCAAGGTCTGCAGCAAGTTCTTGAAGCCGGTGTTCATTTTTGTTCGTCGATCTTGGGTCATGTTCTTAAAATGAAGCCCTCCTAAGAGTTGCTCACGAGACGCTGACCTGGTTCCCAGAGACAGCATGGCTAAAGCAAAAGAAATGCTCAAAGGGGAGAAAAAAATGTTGGACGTGCTGTGGTTAGTGATTGTTTTGTAGAGATGGAAAGCAAAATCGGAATTTGCTGCAGAAATCGTGGCCATATCGGCAGGTGGCCGATCTCCTGGTGACTCCATGGGTTGGGAATGAGCTTCTGCTCCACTGGAAGAAGCAACTATCAACACAACGAGCACTGGAAGCAGCTTCATTTTGGCAGTTCTCCTCGACCCTTATTTTCTGGAGATGAACGGAACAAAGTGTGAATGTTTCCCAAGTACAATGTTTCTCCTGCTCCCTGCTTCCTGCCTCCAGTTGGTCACTTTCACGTTGCTCCCTTTCATATTGCTCCATCGCACCGCCACACATTACACAGTTGTAGGTGGGTGAAATGTACCAGCCCTCAAGCATTGCAGCACTGATAGTGAAATAAATGGTGCAGTGCTTGTCTGTGAGCGCTTTGGCTTGCAAAGCCAGGGAAATTTTCACACATCCAAATTTCAATCAGATCAACCAAGGACCTTCCTGGTTTTATCTTATTTTTCTATTTATTTATAATAACACTCGTTGGACATAGTTATAATATCTCCAATCGCTCTTTGTACATATTTAAACGTGTTTCATACAAATAGATTTGCATTATGTTTGATTTCACATGCATGAGATTCCAAAAATATACTCGCTTAAACAGTCACCATGAAAGCAATTTTTTTTTTCTAAAACATTTTTTTTATGCATTTGGAAAGTCGGAGAACTAAAGAAAATCAATCGTGGACAATTAATAAATCACGTTTTTTGTTAAAATGTCATACAGTGTTTTACTAGTTAATATGCTGCATAGTTCAACAATATTTTCAGTACCTGATTGTTAGTTCTCTCCAAGAAAAGCCCACAACTTGTGCAACTGTGCTCTTATAGACATTGCAAAAATGTACTTTGTTCTTTGGTAGTGGAACAACACAAAGATCGACAAATCTGTTGGCTCTTCATTACACAACTATGGTTTTCAAAAACATTTTTTTGCATCAATTCAGCATTTTTGTGAATTAATGTTTAACTTTTAAGAAATTCGAAAAGTTATTCTAAGAACAAGTTGTTGCACCAACGTAAATGTGAGGGTAAAAAAGATGTTTTCCTGAATAACATTATCAATGCACTTGTAGAAAAGATGAAGAGGAACAAATAATAATCCTTACATTGTAAAAGTACATCCTTCGGATGAAATGTTAAACCAAGTTCAGGTAGATATTAAAGATCCCATGGGACTATTCAAAAAGAAAAGTGAGTTTCTCCAGGTTTCCTGGCCAGCCACCCCCAAATAAAACTGGTTACGTTGCTGTGCACAGTTGTGGCCGCCTTTTCATCTCACAGTAAATACTGTGAAGCGCTTTGAGACATCCTTGACGTCATAAGACATTATACCAAATGCAAGGATTATTATTAAGATATATTTGTAACATATATTGGAATCATTGTAAAGTCGAAGAACAACTTGCGTTTATATAGGGCCTTTCATGGTAGATAGCATATTGGAGGTCTTAACAGTGGTGGAGCTTGACACTGAGCCTGGGAGAGGGGATAGTGACCATTAGCACAGTCGAAAGAAAGGTCTTCAGGTGGTTAAGGAGGGGGCAAGGTGGCGAGATTGAGGGAGAGTTCGCTAGTTTCGGGGTGTAGTATACTAATGTACCAAAAACTGGTTTATGTGAATTTAAATGGAAGAAATATATTTCTTAGGTAAAAACTTGTAATGCATTTTTTTTGAATGAAAGTGGTCGTGTGTGTGTTGTTGTGTGGCAGATTAGATTTTAGTCAGGAAGGTGTAAGTCTGAAATGTACGCTGTTAATGGCTGTTGTCATTTTCATACTCCTATCCTCCTATCACACTTGCTCAGTTATTTGTCTTTCCTCCGCATTAATTTCATTAGTAATTTGATATTTTTAGCCAGCTATGGTTTCAAAGGGTTTAATTTCTGATGCTGATCAATACTGTGCTAACTACCTAATGTTGAATTGGCTGCCCATTCCTGATATCCTCTAATTTCTTGGAAACATGTTTTTAAATCTCTTGATCATAACTTGCTTCTAGTTTACTCATAACTTAAGTGAACTAACCTGCTTCTAATTACATTATCCTCAAGCTTTTTTTAATAGCTGATCATTTCAGTTCTCTTTTGGATAGTTTTTAACCCAAGGGTGTCCTTGATTTCTACCAGAGTTGAACATTTTGCAAGATGTATCCCTTTATCTGGTTTGCTAGGAACAAATATTTAACAGTAAACATAAGCAATCCAAAGGTTTTTTGTGGAGTTTAGATTGTGACATTCCTGTTTTATCTGATGTGTAACATTGCGGTATTTATGCCATATATTTATGAGGTTTTTTTTAAAGTTGGTAGTGTAAACTTAATTATTATATTCAATGCAACATGAAGCTGGAAACTTAATACTCTGCCCTACTACAACAATCTCTTGTAACCCTCCTCCCCCTGCTCCATCAACATGATAATAATAATTATTATTATAACTCTGACCTGCTTTCATGTTCCCTACCTCCTTCAGCCTCTCCCCCCACCCCCCCGTAAGGAACTCTCTCTCTGATTGCAAAGCCCATCTAAAGATCTTTTTGCCCTTTGGCTACCTACCCCCTCCTGCCTCCTTCCCATCTCAGGCTCCCTCTCAGTCTTTAGAAAAGTGTTTTAAGACGTGGCCCCCGCTCCCATCATGTGAAAGGTGCATTATAAGGTTGTATAAACACAGATTGTAGTTACACAAATTGTGTTGGGGAGTCACACGACTTGTCCAAGCCATTCTGCTTGGGAAAGACAAGTTTGCAGGACTATGGGGAGAGAGCGGGGGAGTGGGATTGATTTGGATAGCGCAGACACGATGGGCTGAAGGGCCTCCTTCTGTGCTGCATAATTCTACGATTCTACTCATTACCCTAACGGGAGGAGATTTACACGGGGACAGCTTGCTCCTCCCTGTTCCCTCAGCTAATCAGTATCGCAAAGATAAATAAATTGTATTTTTGTTTTGAGTAAAGGAAATAAAGCAGAATGCAACAACAACTTGCATTTATAGTAGCGCCTTTCACGTCGGGGAGGGCGGCCGAGGGATTTGGACACAATCGGGATGAATTTTTCTTTGAGGTGAGCAAACGCTGAGTGAGGGGGTTTGCGTCGCAGCTGGAAGCCGAGACACTGCACATTAGTCATGTTAAAATTAGTAATGTTAAAATTAGTAATGTTAAAATTAGTAATTAGAATGACATTGTCATTCCATCTGACAGTAATTGCCGCGAAGCACTTTGAGGCATCCTTCCACCGCGATAAGGCCTTGTGCCGAACGCAGGGTCTTCGTTATTATCCCCGGGCCACCACCGACTGCCACCGCTCGGCTGGCTCCGGCCTCCTGGGTGTCCATCGTACCCTCCGCCCCAACCATCAGCGGCCACACTTCCAGCCCCTACGCCACCAAACTCCAGCCTTGCCCCCCCCCCCCTTCTCCTCCCCCATTAAGACCGTCCTCTTCGACCGTGGCTCTGGTCAGCTGCCCCCCCGGGCTTGGGTGGGTCCTGCTCCAGCAGTGTGAAGCGCTGTGAGTCGCTGCCCCGTCGTGGCCGCACACAGTGGGAGCGAGGTACAGAAATGCAAGTTGTTGTTGTGGTGGTGGTGGTGGTGACGGTGGTGGTCGTCGCATTGAGTCACTGAGCGGCGGGGGCGGGGCGGGGGCGGGGCGTGGTGTGTGGGCGGGGCTGCGCGTTGACGCAACACGTCAGTAGGCGGCGGGTGGATTTGAACGCGGCGGCGCGAGGCCCCGCCCCCCCGGGCGGCGATGAGCGGCGCGAGGCAGCGCACGCTATACCAGAGCTGGGGCTCGAGCGGCCCGGGGACCAACGGCCGCCAGCCCCGGCCTACTGCCAGGGAGAAGCCTGGACCCTCGGCCGCCGCCGCCGCCGCCTCCGCCGCCTCTCGGGACGGCTTCGAGGACGAGGAGGATGACGACTTGCTCCTGGTGGCCGCCGCGTCCGAGGCCGAGCGAAGCCTGCGTTCGGGGCCCGGCGTCGAGCCGCCGCCGCCCTCCGGCTTCGACCTGTCCTCGGGCGACGTGTGGATTTACCCCACCAACTACCCGGTGCGGGAGTACCAGCTGAGCATGGCCCGGGCCGCCCTCACGCGCAACACGCTGGTCTGCCTGCCCACCGGCCTCGGCAAGACCTTCATCGCCGCCGTGCTCATGTACAACTACTACCGCTGGTTCCCCTCGGCCAAGATCGTCTTCATGGCCCCCACCAAACCGCTGGTCGCTCAGCAGATCGAAGCCTGTTACAAGGTCATGGGCATCCCGCAGGAGCACATGGCGGAGATGACCGGTAACTCCACACACACACACACACACACACACACTTAACTGCTATAATAATAATCATAATCCTCGCATTTGATAAAGCGCTTTTCACGTCGGGAGGACGTCCCGAAGCGCTTCACAGAACACGCCGGTCGAGTTGAATCGACTGTACGTTTGTGGGCGAACGCAGCGGCCGATTGCGCACAGCGATGTCCCACAGACCGTCGCGGATTGAAAGTGACCGATTTATTATCGTGTTGGGGTTTTTGGAGGGATTGTTATGTTTCGGGCTCCGTGTGGAGTAAAGGGAACTTGCCCGAGGTTTGGCCCTGACCTGCCGGGGATTGAACTCGGGTCTCTCGCTCGCAAAGCGAGCGCTCTAACCACTGAGCTACAGGACTCCACTTCTCACAGCTGTCTCCCGGTGCTTCTCCGAATCTTACTGCAAAGTGGATTGATTGCATATTTTCCGCCACAACAACTGGCTCTGCTCTGCAGTACCTTTCACGTGGGATTTCACTACTCCCCAATTGCTCTACAGTTTAAATGAATTCGGATCCGCGAGCGCTTCCCGATCAAATAGGGCGCTGCCCCTGCAAATGCTGTTTCTGTAACTGGCTACGAGGAGCTGACCGGAGTTGTTTGTGCCCACGCCCTTGTATAAAATTAAATATGTTGAAATTGATTCAATATCTGGCTGAATGTGCAATGATTTCACAGGGCAGACGTCGGCAATGGATCGCCAGAGTATCTGGGACTCCAAACGAGTTTTCTTCCTAACGCCGCAGGTTATGGTGAATGACCTTTCTCGTGGGACTTGCTCTGCAGTTGAGGTGAAGTGTTTGGTGGTTGATGAAGCTCATAAAGCACTAGGAAACCATGCTTACTGCCAGGTATGGTACTGTAAAGAACGTCTTGCCTCCCTATCTCTATCTCCGACCTGCTTATACCACAACCTGGTGCCTCTACTTGACTGACTCCAGCCTTCTGCATGTCCTTCGTGCCCTCCATTCCATCATTGGCGGCTGCGCTTTCAGCCACTACGCCCTAAAGCTCTGGAACACTCTTCCTCTATCCCTCCACCTTGCCCCTTCCTTTCCCATCTTCAGGTGGTGCCTGAAGTCTTTCCTCTTCGACCTTGCCTTCAGACACCTCCCTCTCTTCTTGACATGGCATCGTACTCTGCCACTGTCAAGCGCTCTGGGATGCTACCCTGCATGAAGGATGCTATATAAATGCAGGTTGTTGTTGTCTTAGCAATTCTCGTGTTTTTCATCAGAAATTTACAATATTGTTTTACTTGTTTTATTTCTCTTTTCAAAGGTTGTGAAGATGCTGTGTAACTATACACGTCAGTTCCGTGTTTTGGCTTTGAGCGCGACACCAGGCAGTGACTTAAAGGTCTGTTATCAAAGGTTTATCTGTACATACGCAAAATGTATGACTTTTTCCTCCCATCTTCACTATTATGAAGAACTGCAAGCTTAGAATTATGACTACCGCTATACACAGGGGAAGCACTGTATTGTCAGCTGTGCAGTTCTTCAGTTGAATCAAGGTCCTAATGTCACTATTCCAAATGAGGATGAAACTCGTCTATGTAACATCCTAGTGGGTTACTATTTTAGATTAACGAAAAGTACCCTGAATTCAATGGGTCTAAGTGAATTCTTCACCGTGTTCAGTGTGCATTGACAGGCATGTAATTATTTAATGTTGTAATTACAGGCTGTACAGCAAGTCCTTTCAAACCTGTTGATTGCACATCTAGAGATCCGATCTGAGGATTCCCTGGATATTCAGGCCTATTCCCACCATCGACAGATAGAGAAGATTGTTGTTCACCTAGGAATTGAGCTGAGTGGTATCCAATCGTTATACTTGGAGGTAGGTGCCCCATTTCCCTTCGAGAATGAGGTAAAACTGCACTAAAAGATAATCCTGGCTTAGGCTCCAAGGTAACAGTTGTTCCATTTGGTTTGTCAGGATTCAAGCTGTTAGTGAAGTTCATAAAAGTTTAGTTTCAATGTATTTTTTTTCAATCGTTCAGTTGTACTTTCAAGCAATATTTTCAGCCTTCTTTTATGTGGTTAATTATGTCCTCTTTATTATTGTGATAGTTTAATTAGATTTATTGCAAAGCGTGTTTTTGATGTATTAACGTGTCAGCCTGGCTTGGTAAACTGCACTCTCACCTTTGAGTCAGAAGGTTGTGTGGCTTCAAGTCCCATGTTTGGACTTGAACCCACAACATAGTTGGCACATAGTCTAAGATGACATTCCAATGAAGTACATGTGATGTTTTACATTGTCAGAGGTGCAATTCTTCAGATGTTAAACAGAGGTTCTGTCTTCTGTTCAGGTGAATGTTAAAGATCCCATAATACTACTGGAAAAGAGAAGGGAATTTACCCAATAAAAAGTTGGAAGGGGGAGTGGTGGGGGAGATCAGATTTACGCATGTTGCTTTGGCTTTTGTTAGTAATTGTCCTGTTTACTCAAATAAATTGGGAGTGAAATCAGAAATATCTGCAAAATACTTGATAAAATATTTATTCCGACAATATTGCAGTACACAAAATAGAATGTCAGTCACAAAACAAGACGAGTCGTACAGTTCTGTCAATGAAAAGGAATGCCTATTACAAAGCTTAGTTATAACTGCATATCTGACGTTTATCTTAGATGAAATATTTTCTTCACCAAAATGTAATTTCAAATATATTTTTATATTCTTTCCTTATATCTCTAAATAGATTTGAGCGTTTACTGCAGGCCGTGAAATACAATAAAGGCTACAACTGGGGTTCTAGCATTTTTACTTTTCAGGTACAAGAATAGTCAGCTTCACAGCAAACAAAAATAGTATTGGTGCACGTTATTTAAAAGTATACTGCACTTGACTAACAGTGGCATAACGAGCATCCTGCAAAACAATATGCTAGAATGTGCTCGTTGGTGAGCTGGTTAAATATGTTTGAACTATTTCCCAAGACGTTCTATTCCCCAATTTATTACAATAAAAATCTTCAATCAGGAAAAATAAGTTCCTGCGACATTACCAGAGGCATGACATTTTGTGGCAATACAGGAATTGCTTCCAGATCAAAGTGCTTTTTCAACTATGGCTGCAATAGCAGTTTTGTTTTTACGTGCACTGTAGTGAAAACATACATGGAACTGACATCACTGGACTGAGCAACTGAAGAGTTCCACCATCATAGTGAATTGTTTAATTGCAATTCACTTGCTCTAAGCTTCCCCAGCAACTGGAATATTTTAGTGTAAAGCTTTCTTCACAGAGGAGAATGCACTTCAGCCTCTTAATTTGGTTCCTGCCATGTTTTTCACTTCAGTTCTACAATGTAAAGAGGCCAGAGGGGTGGGGGTGTTTTTTGTTGAAGATTTGTTCTTACACCAGTCAACCTTACCTTCATCTCACTTTATAAAACAATTATCAATACAAAGCATGACAAATATTAGCAAATAAATGTTTCAGCGTATAAATACATTAAAACTAGCAAGTTGTATCAGTCGGAACCATAACATTTAATATGACTTGTGCAAACAAGTTGCAGGCAAACTGTCTAAGTAGTATAAAATCTGATTTAATCAATAATTTACACTGCAAATGTGTAATTCAATGGGACTCGGTGATTATATGACTTAGGCGATTATACGATTTATAAAGATAAGACTTGTGCGAGTTTTACTGTATCTCCTTAGAAACCTTTTTACGCACAGATGTTTAACATCAGCATGAACTATATTGCAATTCTAATGGACCACTATTACCATTCATATGTTCAATAAAGCAACAAGAAAAGCAGATACATGAAAGGATTTTCATGATTCTCTGTAAAGGACAGACTTGAATTAATGCAATCCATATTAAATTGTGGTTGTGAGTTATTTTTATTTTGCAGTGCATTTTCAATGTACTGACAGCTATTTCAGAAGTATTCTAAACAAAGTAATATCTGTAGAGTATTTGTGGATTTAAAAAATAGTTTAACATATTAATCAAACCAGACATGGAGTGTTTGTGGTTTCTGGGTTAAGTTAACAGAGTAGCATTTGCAGATTGGGAAAAACATTTCAAGCTTTGACTGTTTTCCTCCTGCATATCCTGCTATGTGAACCACTGAAATTGAATTGATTGTCCTATATTCAAAAATATACCACTAGGGTACAAATAGGGAAGGGGGGAAACAATTAAGAAATTGTCATAGACAGTGGTGCAGCGTGCTTGTCCAACCCAATGGCCTACTTCTCCGATTGGGCAATGATCATTAGAAAATTGCCATTATGGCTATAACTTTATACAATAAGGGGAGAGGCCAAGAACAAAGGTATTTCTTCATATATCTACCTGCTGTGTGGCACTTCATCAGCTACTTGTGCCCTATAAAAAGAATGTACTCTGTGTAATCCAGAAATTGTAGGTAGGACATGTAATATTGCTGAAGGGTGATTATGTGAACCACTGAAATTGAATTGATTGTCCTACATTCAAAAATGTACCACTAGGATACAAATGGGGAAGGGGGAAAAGAATTAAGAAGTTGTCAGACAACTATTGTAGCCTATCCATTGTAATTAAGAGTTTAAAAAGTCCAATGAAATATCACTGATTTAATGTGCAAGACAAATTAAAAAACAAATTGTGTAGATAAAATGACTATTTTGCTGAATGTCCAAATGTGCTGTCACGAACAGTAACCAGCAGTGGCTAAAAATCTAAATTGAACAGATTATTCAGTGGAACAGTGGTTTTGGAATATGTCTTAGATTTTCCACTTTAAACTTTTACATGCATGTGATTGTCTATTCTATGATTTGGTCTTGAATTAAATTTAACCTCATGCTCAAGTTACAAAATCACTTTCACAAAATGGATCATTATTCTTTTATACGAATGATCATTCTGCATTCCATTATCCAGTACATGATCACGGTCTCTGTATAAACCATATCTCATTCTGGTGATTGGGAGCAGCAGGATTGGAGTATCTAGCAATAATAAAGGTATCCTGCAGCAACGGCTCTGGATTGTCCAGATATTCTGCTAACTGGTTTATTTCTTGTAGAATCGAGTCTTCATTCGTGACGCCATTAAAAGGCCTGAATGCAAAAATGTATTATAATTTTTTTGTATAGGTTATTGGAAGGACCACTAAAGTATTTTAAAATGCACATTCTGGATATATATTTTTATGTTTAGAAACAGGAAGAAATTGGGGAGGGGGGGGGGGAAATGGCACAAATAGTGAAATTTGGTGAACACTGGGATTTATTTTAGAGCATTAAAACAAAACATCAAAACAGGAAATATTTCTTTATCAGGATGGTAATTGGAAACCAGTTACCAGGAAGGGTAGTTTGCTGGTAACGCAGCTTGATACTGTGATGGGAGGGTGAGACTACCCCGCAGGAAGGGTGCTATATAAGTGCAAGTTGTGTGAATATTCTGAAGGATGAGATCAAAGCGGCTGAAGGGTCTTCGTCTGAATCTCTCTGATTAATTCACACACATTGGTTGACAAAATATTAATCAACACAATGTATTAAATGCACACTTTTTGGGTTTAAGATTCTTACCTGGTATAAACAATGTTAGCAGGCCACTCCTCTATCTGAATGTCTGCTACTGACGGCTGTGGAATCTGATCTTGAAACTGTCCAGGCAGATGGTAAGCTACAGTAACTGTAGACAGCAGTTCTGACCGGGACTGGTTGGTACGCACTATGGTAACAATGGGGAGAGTCATCCCCAGATAGAGACCTGAAGAAATAACACATCAAAAATCATTGTGTCCACCCTTAAAGGATCTACAGCAAATTCAAAACCCTTTTTGACTTCCTCCTCTCAGAATGGTGCAAATAACTTTTAAGATATTTCTCTAGTTTTAAAAACAAACTCTGTTCTGTTTAAGAAGTTACTGAAAAGAAATGCAGAATAGCAACATTTTAAATACATATACCATCACATTTAACAGCATCTTATTGTAATACATATGGTCAATTCAATTATACATGTTTGATTTCCATTGTTCAATGTTGTGTAAGAAACAATTAAATATAGAAGGCCTATGTGCATATATAATAATAATCCTAATGTTTATGTACACAGCCATCCCTCTCCTCGCAAAATGTTCATTTAACATAATTGCATTTTTTGTAAATTCATGAATTGGTTTTGTTGTTTTGAGAAATCAATGTTTTTAGAATCTAAACAATTCTTGAGTACCTTCAGCAATTTTAAATTGAAATACAACCAATTGGCAGATTACAATCAACACCTGATTTTTTTGTATGTTTATCACTTTGCATTGTCTGGACTGTAGGTATCTAGAAATAATCTGCCATTTGTGTGAGTTACCTGATGAGTTTTGCCCACAGATGTATCTCATCAGTTTCATAAATCCCAGGCACGTGGCCTGCTCGTAATTGCCTTCATCCAGGTTGACACAAGCCCATTTAGCCTTTTCATATCGACGCTTTTCATACAGTACTTGGTCACACTGAAAAATTAACGTGAGAAATAAATGAGCAATTCTAGCAGTATACATTTGTAGAAATAGCATAAACTCGATATGGCAAATGGCTCCTGTGCTAAACACTGTATCTCATAGTTTTTACTATTTGGAACTTATAATGTAATAATGGTCTGCCAAGTCCTTTAGCAAAGAGCGTGAATTTTACTCATTACCTTTTTCTTTTGACTTATTTGTGCGAATGGTACCATCTCTCTGTCTTGAGGCTGGTTATTTCTTGTCAACTGTTGGATTGGTTCTGCCATTTCTAGTAACACAAGAGTAAAGGAAAACATTAATTTCAATAAGTTTATGAATGCTGTGTAATCAAACACTTGAATTTTCAAATCAAAAGGAGTCTTAAATCTAGAAATAACATGTGTTTGAAACCCAGGCTCGGACAGGCCATTTGCAGAATGACACTGATCCAAAATTGATCTGCCATACAAATAGTTGCAGGATTTAGTTACAAATCTGAAGTGCATTAGTGAAACTGAATGTGTAAAATTTCGCAATGATTAAAAACAAATACTACATTCATATTTTATTCTTTAACAAAGAGAAGTCAAATGCATTGCTGGGCATGAGCTTGTGTCTGAAATCCTTACCACATGAGTTGGTAGTTAGTCTCAATTGAGCTCTGCAAGTATCTCTCGACTGGGCGGAAGACTCCCCTGAGGAAATTCCTGTGTTCTTCAAGAGGATTGTTAGAACCGGATGTGATAAGTTACTTTGCCCTGTCTTGGGTAAGGAACAAACCAGCGATAGGGATATTTTTTTTAATGTGTGGTTGCACTAATTCTGCTCCTGCCACTCATGCTGTTTTTTTTTCTTTGTCGTCCTCCCCCTCCTCCATTTTCACCTCATGCCTCAAAGCATGTGACTGTTTTTTCCTTCTACTGGGATGTTTTAATGAGCCAGATGCTTTCTGAAATCTTGCACAAGTGAGTATTTCTCAACTGTGTGTTGACCGGCTTCTTGACTGTATGGGCATTAAGGGAGAACAGGGGGCAGATACCTTGGCTATAAAGGCAAAATCAGTTGAGATGTTTAAGAGGGCTGCACATAGTTTCCTGGTAAATTAGGCTATTAAAAGGTTTGGAGAAAAAATGTGTGGAAATTGCTATTGCTGCTACGTTTATGCACAGAAATTTATTTTTGTGCAGACTCCAGTGTTTGTGCCACTCGGAAAACCAAAGGAGCAGTTGTGGATAAACGTTCTCCTAGTCTACACAAAGTATTTTTATATGGCAAACTGGAAAACTATTGATCTATTTGTTAGGTCAGGATATTAAGGGATACGGGGCAAGGGCAGATAATTGGACTTGAAGTACAGATCAGCCATGATCTTATAGAATGGCAGAACAGGCTCTAGGGGCTGAATGACCTACTCCTGTTTTGATGTTTCTAAGGTTCCTTACACTCCTGCAGTTCTCTCTTCTCATCACTTAGTGATGCTGTGAACCAGCTGAGGACTGCTCCGCACTGTACTAGATTCGTGGGTGTCACAATAATAGTTTGAAAATTGTGGTAAGACAAGATAGTGCAATTTGAGAAGTTGGAAAATTAATCAGGGCTTGATATATCACCCTTCCGAATTATTGCCAGCGCAGAAACCTGAGAAAGAAGAGAGAACTAAACTGCAGGAGTGTAAGGAACCTTAGAAACATCAAAACAGGAGTAGAAACCTGATTACGGCATGCTGCAATCGGTCTGCTTTCTCACCGGAAAACACATTTGCTTCTCTTGGACAAGAAAATTTGCAAACATCTTTTAATATGTAAAAACATATACTGTTCATAGGGAATATGCATCTACTTTTCCACCAATTGTTAACAGATTTTCTACCATCACTCAGTTGAAGAACATGTGAGATCTTAAAAATCTGAAATGTTCTCACTGTGCAGTTATAGGCATTACATCAGATGTGCGGTTTATTATTGATATGTATGGCATTTTAGTATACTTTGTGTAGAGTAGGTGATTGTTCAGAATGTTTCATTTTAAACTTCTATATTGGATGTTGGGATAATTGCTGGAGTTTAACCAGTTAAAAACGTACTGCTTGCCATTAAAAGCACTAGCTACAAAACTTCCTGCTGCTGTCCAGCTCGGATCACCCTACCCTTCAAGGCATTGGCAAGTAGGATTAACAGGATCTGAGTGGAATGATGTTACTACAATAGGATGAATGTAGAAATGCTTCATAACGGTGATGGATCACCAAGGTGGGAAGGAAGGGTGTTCAGGTGACCAAGGGCAGAGTCACAGAAATACATTGTACAAAGTTCTGAAGGCATGAAGCAAAAATACAAGGCAGTGGGTTCTGGGGAGCGAGTTGTAGAGAGAGAGAGGAAAGAAACACTGGGATGAGCGGAGTGAAGAATGAGTAGCAAATCAGGATCAGCAGAGCAAGGCTGGAAGAGATTGCGAGGATTGGGAGGGGCGAGGTAGTGACCTTTCTCTTTGACGGTGCCTTCAGCTCCCCTCTCGACTCTCTACCCCCTCCTCGCTCCCTCCCTTCCCTCACCCTGACCATTTCCCCCCCCCCCCAATGCTCGGGTCCTGAGCCAACTGTCCAGCGCCTCGGGACGTCCTCCCGACGCGAAAGGCGCTCTATAAATGGAATCTTGTTGTTGTTGAAGCGAGTGGATATCAGCACAGTTATCATGGGAGACTCGGCGAGATTCACAGTGAGATAGATCATTCAGTCGGCTCTGAATTGATGGGCGACGTGTGTGGGGGAAAAACTCAGCGTCTGAAAGATCAATACAGGATCCCAGAACTGCTCTCCATGTGAAACCTCGCTTTGCTCGGGGTTATTATTATTATTATTACTACTACTACTACTTAGTGGAGTCCTGTAGCTCAGTGGTTAGAGCACTCGCTTTGCAAGCGAGAGACCTGAGTTCAATTCCAGGCAGAGGGCGAAACCTTGGGCAAGTTTCCTTACTCCACACAGAGCCTAATAATAATCCCTCCAAAACCCAAAAACAATAATAAATTGGTCATTTTCAATCTACGACTGTTTGTGGGACATTGCTGTGCGCAATTGGCTGCCGCGTTCGCCCACAAATATACAGTCAATTCACTTTACAGTGCGTTCTGTGAAGCGCTTTGGGACGTCCTCCCGACGTGAAAAGCGCTATATCAAATGCAAGGATTATTATTATTATTATTATTATTACTATTGTTTGGCTGAGCAGTGATTCCTGTGGGGGGGGGGGGGACGACCCTTCGCTGTGGTAGACTCCTGTGAGGGGAGGAGGGCTGGAGCTGGAGGCTGACCAAGACCCTCAGAGCTGTGTGTGGGGGCTCCGGCCCTCCCTCGGGCACTTTTTGGGGGAGTAGAAACGGCACCGGGGAAGTTGACGCTGTGCTTTCAGCCGCATCCGAATCTGCGCCGAGCGATCACCAGCACTTCGGACAGAATCGGTCCCCTTTCGAAACCGGGGATGGATGGTTCGAAGCTGTTTTTTTTGGAAAAAAATATGTAATATATATTATATATTCTATTCAAATATATAATATATATTTTTTTAAATATATTTTTCTACCTCCTGTTTTTTTTCCCCCCCCTTCGTGTTGCCAAAGTGTGTGTGTTTTTTTAAAAAAAAACACCACACACACAAAGGCGTATTATTCACCGAAACCAGAACCGACTAAATTACGTTCGCGGGAGAAGAGGGTAAGAAAAGAAAAGAAAGAGAGAGAGAGAGAGAAAGAGTGAGAGAGTGAGAGAGAGAGAAGCGAACAGAAAGGGGTTTACACAGCGGGTGCAAAGCAAAGCAAAAAAAAAAAAAAAATGCATTATAAATAAAAACCACCGGAGGGTTCTCTCGGGGCTGAGTGAGCGGTCGCCCTACCGACCTCGTGGCACCTCCACCCGGTGACCGCGGCCGATGGTTTGCCAGTAAGAGAAGAGTCGGTCCCCCTCCTCCCCCTCCGGCTGCTCGTCGCCTTCCTCCAAGACGGCATTGCTGTTGGAGACCGACTCCGTGCTCTCCCCCTCCGGCTCGGGCCCGGGCCCGGCGGTGAGGTCCTCCAGAGTGATCTGACCGCCACCGCCGCCGCCGAACTGACAGCCCTGTCCCGCCATCTCTGCCCCCGCGGCCGCCCGTCCCCCCCACTGCGAGGCTCCGGTCTTTAAATACACAACGGAGGCAGATGGTGAGGGGGGGAGTGGTGTGGGAGTGGTGAGGGGGGGGGGGGGGGTGAGGGGGTGGGGGCACAACACCAGGTTGGCAGCCGCCCTGTCTCGGGCAGAGCTTTTAATTCGCTCCTCACGTGCTGCAGCTTCAAGAATAACTCGGGGGTCAATGAAATCAAACCACAGACAAACACACAGCAGAGAGGAGAGCCCCCACACCCCCCACACACACACACCCACACCCCCCACACACACACCCACACACCCCCCCCCCCCCCCCACACACACCCACACACCACACCCCCCCCACACACCCCCACACACACACACCCCCCCACACACACACACACACACACACCCACACCCCCCACACACCCACACCCCCACACACACACACCCACACACACCCACACACCCACACACACACACACACCCACACCCCCACACACACCCCCCACACACCCACACCCCCACACACCCACACACACACACCCCCACACACACACACCCCCACACACCCACACCCCCACACACACACCCACCCCCACACACACACCCCCCACACACCCACACCCCCACACACCCACACACACACACACACCCACACACACACACACACACACCCCCCCACACACACACCCCCACACACACCCCCACCCACACCCCACCCACACACACCCCCCCCACACCCCCCCCCACACACCCCCACACCCCCCCCACACACACCCACCCACCCACACCCACACACACACCCACACACACACCCACACACACACCCCCCCCACACACACACACACCCCCACACACACCCACACACCCACACCCCCACACACACACCCACACACCCCACCCCCACACCCCCCACACACACACACCCACACACACACCCCCCCCCACACACACACACACCCCCACACACACACCCACAGCCACACACACACACCCCACAGCCACACACACACACCCCCACACACAACCCCACATACACCCCACACACACACCCCCACAGCCCCACACAAAAACCCACAGCCACACACACACACCCCACACACAACCCCACACACCCACACACACCCCCACAGCCCCACACAAACACACCCCACAGCCACACACACACACCCCCACACACAACCCCCACACGCCCCAACACACACCCCCACAGCCCCCACACAAACACACCCCACAGCCACACACACACACCCCCACACACAACCCCCACACGCCCCACACACACACCCCCACAGCCCCACACAAACACACCCCACAGCCACACACACACACCCCCACACACAACCCCCACACACCCCACACACACCCCCACAGCCCCCACACAAACACACCCCACAGCCACACACACACACCCCCACACACAACCCCCACACACCCCACACACACACCCCCACAGCCCCCACACAAACACACCCCACAGCCACACACACACACCCCCACACACAACCCCCACACGCCCCACACACACACCCCCACAGCCCCCACACAAACACACCCCACAGCCACACACACACTGAAAAGTAGATCAAGTGACAGAGAGAGATGTATTACACCAACAGAGAAACAAACCAACAGCAAAAAAGATGTTAGAAACAAAGACGCACCGAAATAGCGGTTTCAGTTGTGGTCGAAGAATGTAATCTGAATTCATTTGTCTTTGCACTGACAGTGGGGGGGGGGGGGCACTGAGTGCTCAGTATAGATGTAGAATTTCTAGTGTAGATGTAAGAGGAGCAAAAAAGATAGTAATACTAATAATATTGTAAATGACCAATAAAGAGGTGAAGGATTGGCTGAGAGCAAAATGACATTCTTGAGTACCTTCAGCGATTTTAAATTGAAGTACAACCAATTGGCAGATTACAATCAACACCTGATTTTTCTGTATGTTTATCACTTTGCATTGTCTGGCCTGTAGGTATCTAGAAATAATCTGCCATTTGTGTGAGTTACCTGATGAGTTTTGCCCACAGATGTATCTCATCAGTTTCATAAATCCCAGGCACGTGGCCTGCTCGTAATTGCCTTCATCCAGGTTGACACAAGCCCATTTAGCCTTTTCATATCGACGCTTTTCATACAGTACTTGGTCACACTGAAAAATTAACGTGAGAAATAAATGAGCAATTCTGGCAGTAAACATTTGTAGAAATAGCATAAACTCGATATGACAAATGGCTCCTGTGCTAAACACTGTATCTCATAGTTTTTACTATTTGGAACTTATAATGTGATAATGGTTTGCCAAGTCCTTTAGCAAAGAGCGTGAATTTTACTCATTACCTTTTTCTTTTGACCTGTTTGTGCGAATGGTACCATCTCTCTGTCTTGAGGCTGGTTATTTCTTGTCAACTGTTGGATTGGTTCTGCCATTTCTAGTAACACAAGAGTAAAGGAAAACATTAATTTCAATAAGTTTATGAATGCTGTGTAATCAAACACTTGAATTTTCAAATCAAAAGGAGTCTTAAATCTAGAAATAACATGTGTTTGAAACCCAGGCTCGGACAGGCCATTTGCAGAATGACACTGATCCAAAATTGATCTGCCATACAAATAGTTGCAGGATTTAGTTACAAATCTGAAGTGCATTAGTGAAACTGAATGTGTAAAATTTCACAATAATTAAAAACAAATACTACATTCATATTTTATTCTTTAACAAAGAGAAGTCAAATGCATTGCTGGGCATGAGCTTGTGTCTGAAATCCTTACCACATGAGTTGGTAGTTAGTCTCAATTGAGCTCTGCAAGTATCTCTCGACTGGGCGGAAGTCTCCCCTGAGGAAATTCCTGTGTTCTTCAAGAGGATTGTTAGAACCGGATGTGATAAGTTACTTTGCCCTTTCTTGGGTAAGGAACAAACCAGCGATAGGGATTTTTTTTAATGTGTGTTTGCACTACTTCTGCACCTGCCTTTTTGAATTCTTCTGATGCTAACACTACCCACTACGTGCGCGCGCTCGCTCGTTGTGTATGTGTGTGTGTGCGCACAGTCTGATGGGTGGGAATGGGTCTTGTTTTATTCTGTGCTTGCAATTCCAATCGATGATAGTTGTTTACAGTTCTCAAATTCAACATGACGCAGATCTTCAAAATTGCCTGAAGCATATTAAATAAAAAAGAGCTTATTCATATGGAACTTGTTTTCCAAAATAGCCGTAACTTTTTTTGTCAACTGTGACTGCCACAAAGGATTAACTCAACTCTGATATTCCATTGGCTGCCATGTCACCTTGATACAAATGATTTGGGCTCAATAAGACTCTAAAGTATATGAAATGAATATTTGTGCCTAAAATTCTCTTTTTGCATTGCTTGGATAGTGAGGCGTTTTGCGAATAATACTGCTTGCTTGTATAACTGTTATTCTGTTATGTGTTTTTGTCAGACTTTGGCCTAAAAAGCATCATCATAGCAAATTCGTATTAATCAGTATGAAGTTAAAGTTGACAGCTTGACAAATGTGTTTTAGAATATATATCAGTGAATAAAATGCTGCTATTGAGAAATTAATTGTGAGTTGGGATAATCTATTGGAATTTTCTCAGCAATTTGTATGGAAAATACTGTAGGTACAAACTTTCATCCCTTGATTTGTTGAGTGTAAGTGTGTTGGTGCAGTTTATCATTTTATTTTTCTTGACATTAAAATGGACAATGTACCCTAGCTTTCAAAAGTGTTGACACAGACTGTTTGGGGTAACTGTTGAATTTCTGGGTGAAACCAGTACGGTTATGCTCTTGCTCAAGGTTGTCCAATTCGTTTTCTTGTGGCCTTTTGGTAGCCTATATTTTTTGATCATCACTGTCCACAAGCCAAAAGGGATTTTTCATGCCTTTATATGGAAGAAGTGATGCGTTTTGAATCTCCTATGACTTACTGGGAGTCCCTCTACCACTTGGCTGTACGTTAAGCTTAATTTCTGGAATATACCCTTAGTTCTTTGTGAACACGGGAATGAGACTCCCAGCATGTATACCAGCAGAAGAATGCATGTTCGAATTTGGTGTAGCTGTGTTGCTGCAAGCCGGACAGAGAATATAGCGCTGGACTGGGACAGAGTAAGTAAAATGTTAAGTTTAAAAATGTTCAGAAGACTACAGATCAAGAGTAATCTCATTGTACAATTGTATTGCAGTAAATACAATTGTACAATGAGATTACTCTTGATCTGTAGTCTTCTGAACATTTTTCAGTTGACTGACTCCATATACAAGTCATAAACAAAAGTCCGACAATCTACTGTGGTCTTGTGATCTAATCGGAGTAAAAGTGGCATGCTGAATTTGTGCTATGGTGTGAATAGTGTGTTATTTTGCTGGCATGCTGCTGTTGGTTTTGAAGTCTTGTGATTCAGGACAGCTGAGGGATGTTTTGTCACTTTTACTATGGCTGAGAGAGGCACAGTGTAAATAAAGGGAAGAAATGGGTGTTGGTGCAACACAACATAAAATGGAAGCAAGCTAAGTTCAGAGAGGGACTCCTGCAAGTTGTTGTTGACTTTTTAATTAACAGGCAGAAGAGGAAAATAAACCATGAAGCACAGCATCCACCAGGGGAACAACTTGTTGGGAATCCAGGGGGCAGCTCTTTATTTTCTCAGCATATTTCCCATCCTGACTTTATATTCCTTAATATCCTTACTTGCCAAGTATGTGTTCACTACAAATATAGTACAACTATACTTTACAGAAACATTGTGTTAAAACACTTTGAGATGTTCTTGATGCCAATGGGAACTATGTCAAATTCAAGGATTATTTTCTTGTTATGTCTCTTTTGCAGCTGCACCACAGAAACTCCAAATGAATGCAAATGCATTTAAACAGTAAGTGCTCTGTCCTTTAGATGAGATGTTAAACCAAGATCTTGTTCACCAGTTCGGGTGGATGTTGAAGAACTTTTGGGCTGTTGAAAAAGATAAAGGAGTTTATCTTGGTGTGTTGGCCAACAGATAGGGGTTTCTCCTGCTGTCCAGCCCAGCAATCCT